TCATCTTAATATAACGGACGTTCATTCCTTCAAAAACAACCAATAGGCATCGTGCATGAAGCAAACATGTGAGAGAAATTTCTTTCCCCACTCACTCATTCTCCCCACTCACTTCCCCCACTCACTTTCTTAGGACCCTATATGAGGAAAAAGACGCTGTTACAGCACACTTCGCTTTGGCGATCTAGCTTGTGCAGATGTGTTTTCTTTTTAAGAGTTTCTGCGAGTTTTTCCTCAGTCCGGCATCTTGGAAGCCATCAACGGACTACCTTTTTCATTGCTACATGAGAAAGGTAAGATAAAGAGTGCGGTAAAACTTTAGAATAGGATCTTCTCCGAATTTTGATAAATTTTTGCTACTTGCTGGATAAAATTCTTTGTTGTGACTACGACAATGATAATCAATGGAAGGAGCCCGAAAAAAATGTTACCGAGCTATTTTTTTCATGTTTTTTCGGGTCTTATAAAACTCTGACGGAAACATACACCAAATTTAAACTATTGAGTAAAAGTATAAAAAACTCAATAAACTTTAATAAACCAAAGACATAAACTATTCTCCGCAATAATTTAGACTTTATAATATAAATTTGTGCATTTGATTAAAGCAGAGCATGATTGTGAATAATGCTCTGCTTTATTTTGCTTGTAATTTATGATACGTAATTTATGATCCTACTTTGCGTAAGGGTCTTGCTAATCTTTTCAGTATTCATTTTTAGTATATCGTAGACTCATTGTTTAATAAGACGAAAGATTCGAGTAACAACTATGAACGGTATTTAATCAGTATAAAATCGATATTTAAAATTTGAAATATATGGAATAAAATTTTCATGTTTTTTCCTATAAAGATCTTAGCCCCCTCCCCCTTCCCTTAATATACTGGGTGTTTCAGACTACCCGGGTCACCCGATTTTTTCGTTAACGCGACATTTCAGAGAAAAATATTTCAGACAAAGGTTGTAGAACTTCAAAAGATCTATTTACTGACGCTATGAGTTTGACCTTGAGATAACCTTGAAAAGTCCAGTCAAGATCAACATAAAAATCTTAAATGGATATCCAAATTTTTTATTACATCATCTTTTTCTAGTAATTAATTTGAACAACTTTTGTCTGAAATATTTTTTTATTTACCTAATATTTTTTTGATATATTTAAAGGAAACTTGATAACTTTTTCAATATTTAACTCGCGATATCTCGCTACCTATTTGTCAAAAGAAAAAGTAGTATTAGACTTTTTTGCTCTATTTAGTCTCAAGAATATATTTTTACAATAGCGTCCTGATTTTTGTTAACTTGCTGATTTTTGGAAATTTCAAAATCATCAAATTAACCAAATTCAGGGCGCTATTGGAACAATATATTCTTGAGACTAAATAGAGCCAAAAAGTCTAGTATTACTTTTTCTTTTGACAAATAGTTAGGGAGATATCGCGAGTTAAATATTGAAGCCCTATAACTTTTGTCTGAAATATTTTTCTCTAAAATGTCGCGTTAACGAAAAAATCGGGTGACTCAGGTGGTCTGAAACACCCGGTATATGTAAAACTTTGTATACATGTTTGTTCACAGCTAGTTTTGTAAATTATTTTGTAAATTACTGAACAAGAAAACGTAGTTTTTGGTATAATAGTATTTTTGAATATTTACCAAAAAAATTGTTCAAAAAATAAGTGGGTAATATTTTTTTCAGGCTCCACCGATTGATTATCACTGTCGGAGTTACAACAAAAATTTTTACCATGAGAGTAGCAAATAAATATCAAAATTCGGCAAAGGCCCTATTCTAAAATTTTACCTTTTTAATATATAATATTATTACATATAACATCATAATTATCTAGCATACATAGACCAAACATTGGCGTATTAATCTACTATCCCATCGCCTATCTGCCGTTCGCATTCCATCAAAACTGCCACTAATATGTGTACATTAAGGTCATTCAACAATACGTGTCGTAAGTTGTAAGCCGTAAGAATTGGCGAATCACAGTCGATTATTACAAAAGTAATCGGCTATAATTGGTCAGTTCTTACGGCTTACAGCTTACAACACATATTGTAGAATGACCTTTACTGGATTCCTTCCAATTTCGTCGCATGCGCATGCACGTGAAACCTCACCAATTCGCAAAACTGCTTCATAGCATTACCACAGTATTATGGGTGCATTCAGTGAGTGCATCCAAAACCACGAGTGCTCACTGAGTGCTCACAGATAGCCGCTCAGCACCGCTTATAGTCGTATTCCCGTATTCATAGTCAGGCCTTATATTTGAGGCCTCCTTATATCCATCTTTAGATGCTGCACGGATTATTTTATTGGCTATAGACCATCTGAAGATAAATTTAAGGAAGTCTTAAATATAAGGCCTGACTATGAATATCAGTGTTAATGAGCACTTTATGACGTACTGGATGTACGCTCAATATAGCATTTAGCACAATCGCTCATTGAATGTTCACATCCGTTTCTAACATGGTCAATTAAACCTTAATTTGAGTTTATACTCTCTGTAGACAAAATCTGAAACCCAGAATAAAGATTAATCAACGTTGGTGAGAAACGGCTATCAATGAGCACTCTATTAGCACCCTAAGTCAATTTGCTAGATGTAAAACTCCCTAACTACTTACAGTGAACGCTCATCATATTCGTAAACGTAGTTTTACATCGCTCACTTCGCTCACTCAGCTCACTTTAAGATCATTCTACATTACTCGCACTAATCGTAAGTTACAAGAAATTTAGCAATTGCAGTTTATTGTTTTTATTGCGAACGAAGAATATTAGATAGCTATTGACGAATTTCTTGCGACTTGCAACTGTATGACTAATATAGAGTGAATTTTATGCTCCTTTTCATTTTTTTCGCGTCAACGTAATATCCCTAAAAGTTAGTAACTAATATAATTCTTGTGCTGGTGAATTTGTACTAGAAATATATTTATCAGGGAAGATTCACACAGGCAGAAAAGCAAAAAGCAGAAAAGCAGCAGCCAATCAAAAGTCGCGCTGGTAGTTTGTCCTTCTCTTCTGTCTCTCTCTCTCTCTCTCTCTCTCTCTCTCTCTCTCTCTCTCTCTCTCTCTCTCTCTCTCTCCCTCCCTCCCTCCCTCCCTCCCTCCCTCCCTCCCTCCCTCCCTCTCCCTCCCTCCCTCTCCCTCCCTCTCCCTCCCTCTCTCTCTCTCTCTCTCTCTCTCTCTCTCTCTCTCAAGAGAGGCTGCTGCTTTTCTGCTTTCTACTTTTCTGCTCAGATGTAAATCTTCCCTCAGAAACGATATTTATATCATGCATAAAATATTAAAGAATTTTTGTATTAGTACGCTAAATAATATTATTTGAAATGCAAAGACGCATTATTATGATAGTTTTACAAAATGAAATAGAAGATAATGATATGATTATTCAAAATATAGTAAATTATGAAAATGATTTGTATGGAGACATGTTAAATAGTAGAAATTTGCATTATCGTAATCAACAGTGATAGGAGTCAGCGATAGAAAACTACGCTCACGAATATGGCGACTGTTCACTGTGAGCAATTAGAAAGCGTTTGCACCCAGTAAATTGACCTAGGGTGCTCACTGAGCGTTCAGTGAGCACTCAGTGAGAACTCGTGGTTCTGGATTCACCCAGTACTACAACCGCTCACTGAGCGCTAAATGAGCTCTTGCATCTGATTGGTGTATATTTTTAAATCTAAAGGAATATACCAATCAAATGATAGCTCATTGAGTGCTCAGTGAGCGGTTGTAGTACTGAATGAGTACGTTCAGCAAAGAAAACCGCTCAGTGAGCAATTAGTGACTATTGGTCCTTACTGTTAGATCCTTATATTCAGGTCTGGTCTACAATAGATGTTGTAAGCTGTAAGCCGTAAGAACTGATCAATAAAGCCAGCGGCACACGGTGCTTGTTTTCGTGCTGGATTGCTTGCTGGATGAAAATACTGCGTTCTGATTGGTATATTTTCGAAGATGGATGAAAATGCACCAATCAGAATGCAATATTTTCATCCAGCAAGCAATCCAGCACGAAAACAAGCACCGTGTGCCGCTGGCTTTATAGCCGATTATTTTTGTAATAATCGACTGTGATTCGCTAATTCTTATGGCTTACAACTTACGACACGTATTGTAGAATGACCTTAAGCAACGATTAACCATATGACCGAATTTTTAATATAATATTGTTGTTTTATTAAAATCAGTAAAATGAATGAAAGAGGTGGGTATAAATGTTGTATAATAAACTGCAAAAGTGCAAATTTAAATTTGCAAAGTGTTAAATTTTTAATCAAAATGTGTCCCCTTCAAAACAATATAATATAAAAAAAAAGCGGACCTCAATATCATTTAGTTTTCGAGATTTTCTACCTGTTACGTTTGAAATTTAGTACCCTGTATATATATACATCTTTCTATATTATAATTAGTAATATGCTATATATTATTAATTATAATATTATTAACATATTATATTAATAATAGTTCATATTCTTATATTATTTTATAATGTATATTATAGATTTGACAGTAAATATTGAAAAACAGCAATAAATCTATTTTAGCTACTATTGTCATTCAAATTATAACCCGCGCACAACCAATAACATGGCGGTCTTGTAGCACCTGAGATCAATGGTCTGTTCTTTTCAGCTGCACTACTGAACTGGTGCAATAAATTAAAATGAGAAAAAATATAGTTGTCTCATTCTAACTTATTGCACTAGTTCCGCAGTGCAGCTGAAAAGAACAGACCACAAAAGAACCGTCACCGAGTGAACCTACTGTTCTTTCTTAAGCCAGCGACACACGGTGCTTGTTTTCGTGCTGGATTGTTTGCTGGATGAAAATACTGCGTTCTGATTGGTATTTCCGAAGATGAATGAAAATGTACCAATCAGAACGCAGTATTTTCATCCAGCAAGCACGAAAACAAGCACTGTGTGCCGCTGACTTTATACCGTGGCATCACAGTCGATTTTTGACTACCTAACGTTAAGGAACGCTCTAGACTTACGATACGTTTGCGAAGTCCTTATCTAAGAATCTATTAAGATTTGTAATCTCTAATGATTGTTGCAATAAATAACGCAAATCTATTTTATGGTAAGTAAACTACAAAGTTAATAAAATAAAAAAAATAGCGATCCATTGATTTTAGCAATTACATATTTTGACGCTAATCATGAATATGTTCAATTTGTTGAGGTTAGGGAAGATGTACAGATCGTACGCGACCATAATTATAAAATATATATCTAACTGATTGTATTTTACAATATTTATAAGTATACACAAGTATGCATAATAACTTTAATATATGGAAATATTTTTCTGGAATATAATATGTGAATTTTCTATAAGAAATAATGATAATGATTCAAAATGATACAGGTACAATTAAATACTTAAAAATTACATTATTTTCTCGATGAATTTCGTATTTTGTAGGAAAATTTGTTTTTTAGCACTTTTCAAAAGATATATTTTTCTATTTGATATGAGATTCATCGTAAAACTCGTCAAGAAGAAGTATTGAAAGCCTTAACATATTTACTATTATGGTTCATTTGGAGAACTTCTCCTGTGACCTATTATTTTTCTTTTTTTCTACATTTATTTAAATTTATTTAAAATAGACTTATTTTACGTGTTCACTGCTAATTGTAGCTAGATAAGGTTATATTTATATGTAACAGTTCTAAGGTGATTAGATATGAAATAAGTTTCTTTTTTTTTAATTAAAATCTTAAGTACCATTATATTAGGTATAAATCCTTTTCAAATTCATGCAATAATATAATGTTAATGTCATATAACATATAATTTTGTGCATTCATATACTAGACATAGAATAAACATATATCAGAAGTTTTTAATTTCTGATTTATATTATTCTAAAGCTTTGGACATGTTGATACTTTCATATGAAATTTTGTATTACTTAAAGCCATTATTATTTGTATAATTTTATTAGGTTTATGTGATACAGATAAATTGGAGTAACAAACTAACTATATATTTGTTGTATTTCTGTAAATCCAGTAAAATAGCTCTTTCTACTTTCCATAACTATCATTATTTCATTATTAATTCTTTTATTTTAATCCATATATTTATTAATTTCTTTAATATTTTCAGAAAGTTCATTGATCTCATAAATTAGATGGAAGCTGGTTTATATCAAATTAATGAGAACGCAATGGAAAATGAAATAGGAAACAGTAAGTATATTCCTTTTCAATTCTATATCTTTTTTTCTTGTTTTCCTTTCTTATAATTTATAGAAATATATAGAGATAAGAGAGAATTTTTTTTAATCCCACATTTCTAAATAATTCAAATATTTCTGATTTCTAAATATTTTACTTTTCTGGTATACTTAATTTTATTTCTTTTCTCTACATATATCTCTACAAGGTGAGGAAAAAAGATGGAAATCCTTAAAAATCTCGAAAGATATAAGTTTTACAGAAAAGCGTTTCAGACAAAAGTTATAAGGCTCAAAACGATATATTTACTAATCTTATCAGTTTGACCTTGAGTGGCATTGCCAAGGTCAGGTCAAGGTCAATTTATTTTTTTTTTAAACAGAAACCCCCATTTTTTATTATATCATCTTTTTCTACCAATCAATTTTTGTCTGAAACACTTTTTATTTGATTAATATTTTTTGAGATATTTAAAGAAAACTCGGAAAATTTTTCAATATTTAACTTACGATATCTCGCGAACTATTTGTCAAAAGAAAAAATGATACTAAACTTTTTTACTCTATTTGGTCTCAAGAACATATTGTTCAATAGTTCCCTAACTTTTGTTAACTTACTGACTTGGAAATTTCAAAATCATCAAATTAACAAAGGTCAAGGTGCTATTATAACAATATATTCTTGAGACCAAGTAGAGTAAAAAGGTCTAATAGCATTTTTTCTTTCGACAAATAGTTGGTAAGATATCGTAAGTTAAATATTGAAAAAGTTCCAGAGATGTTCTTAAATAACTAAAAAAATATTAGGCAAATAAAAAAATGTTTCAGACAAAAGTTGGTTAAATTAATTAGTAGAAAAAAATGATATAATAAAAATGGGGGTTTCTGTTTAAAAAAGATAAGTTGACCTTGACCTGACGATGGCAGCGCTATTCAAAGTCAAACTGATAAGATCAGTAAATACATCGTTTTGAGCCCTATAACTTTTGTCTGAAACATTTTTTTGTAAAACTTATATCTTTTGAGATTTTTAAGAGCTTCTTCCATCATTTTCCTCACTCTGTATATTCTATTTCTTCTATTTTTAGTTTTAATATTTATAATATTATAGTATTAATATTTTCTCTAAATATATGTAAATTTAGATATAACTGTAAACATTTTGTTATTACAGTTTCTGCAAGCATGAGCGAAGAAAGAGTTTCCAGTACTGAGTTACTTGGAATTGATGAAGTTAATGGAAATACTGGTTCCATCAGCAATCCCCATTATACTAAAATGACAGACTTAATGTACTATGGTAATAATAAGCGCAAAGCAGAAGCATATGAAGACCATACATCTTCTTCCGATGATGATGCAGATAATCATCACTTTAGTAATATATTAAGTCATAGCCAAATGTCAAGTATTGATGGTCTTGATGGAAGTAAACCCAGTCATGCTAATAAACAACGGAAGCTAAATGATGAAAATAAAAGCAAGACTAATGATGTATCCTTCATTGAGAAGACTCAGCGTATGATGGAAAAAATGGGGTATCATCCAGGAACAGGTCTTGGTAAACACAGTCAAGGTCGGGTAGAACCGATAGAACCATTCATGCAATATGGTCGAAGAGGATTTGGCCATTCTGCACCAAACCTTAAAGAGGCGAGCCTCAAGTGGGTTCCTCAGGATGAAGTAATAGAAGTAATTGAAGACATGGAATGGATAATGAACAATTATCCTGTGTTGAGGAAGACGCACATTGAAAATTGGTTAGTATTAGGACCTAAAAAGGAAATCATAGACGATGAGACTACTTTCTGTGACCCAGAGATAATGGCACAGCTCATCAATTCGAAATCAATGTTTGATGGTTTAAACAAGGTTGAAATGCGAAAGGCAAGAACTCGTTCAAATGCTTACGAAACCATCCGCACCGCAGGTTTCCTAAATCGTGCAGCTGTTAAGATGGCGAACATAAATAAAGCGTGCAATTTTATGTTCACTGATGGAGTAGATATGAAGGACGAGCTGTTATACTTTGCAGATGTATGCGCTGGCCCTGGTGGTTTTAGCGAATATATTTTGTCAAGAAAGAAGTGGCATGCTAAAGGATTTGGATTTACTCTGAAAAATGAAAATGACTTTAAATTAGACGAGTTTTTCGCCGGACCATGCGAGACTTTCCATCCATTTTATGGATCTAAAGATAATGGTGATGTGTATGATCCAAAGAATCAGATAGAGTTCAGAGACTTAATCATGAAACACACATATGGAAAAGGAGTACATTTTATGATGTCAGATGGAGGTTTCTCTGTGGAAGGCAAAGAAAATATACAGGAGATTTTATCAAAGCGGCTCTATCTATGCCAATGTTTGATAGCACTCATGATAGTGAGAACAGGTGGACATTTTGTAACAAAGTTATTCGATCTGTTCACGCCGTTTAGTGTTGGACTAGTTTACTTGATGTACAGATGTTTCGACAGTGTCTGTATTTTCAAGCCCAACAGTTCTAGACCAGCTAATTCTGAACGCTATTTAATATGCAAGGGAAAAAAGGAAGATACAGAAGAAGTAATGCGTTATTTATTTGATGCTAACCTTATGATGTCACATATCTCAAAGCAAGAGAAGGACAACGATGTGACCCAATTGGTACCGCTTAGCGAGCTAGAAGCAAACGAGTCGTTCATAAAATATCTGAGAAACTCGAACGACACCCTGGGAAAGAAGCAAATAGTAAATCTCTTAAAAATCGCAGCTTTCTGCGAAGACACGTTACTAATCGAACCAAAGCAAGCAGATATGCGAAAAATGTGTCTGCAACATTGGAATTTACCCGACAAGAGTCGTGTGAGACCGTATAACGTCAAGCCGCAAGATAAGGTAAATAAATAAATAAATGTTTATCATTGTTCTAGAGTCTTGCCCTCTAAGAGTGTTAACAAAAAAGTGATCAGCAATAATTATTATGCTTATTCATTTTAGATAATATTTATATGTTCAAATATACAGATTGTGCTGTTAGGCAATCATAGAAAAACAATATTTTTTATAATATCAATAAAAATGCATTTATTACACTTCTTAGGTAGCTGTGCTGATTATTTTGATTTCTGATTGTTATAGGTACGAGAAATCTTAAATAATTCTGCAGATTTCATCGGGCACGATGCGCAGAAACTGACCAAAGAAATAGTAAATGTCACAATATTCAATAAACCATACGATTGGTATTGTATACCATGCGGTTCTGGACAATACGTTGATGAAGATAAAGCAGCGACGTTTTATCTGGGCCTGGGCAGGAGGAGAGTATATCGTTACGTGAAGGGCAAATGGGAATCTATCGGGGACGTGAAATTGGAATTACCGCCCAATACTCTCGTATATGCTGAATTGGTGTACGAATCGAAATGGACAGGAAAATACTTCACCAAGTCTCGTGCGCTGCACATCTTAGATGCTTATATGCTCGGTGGTGAGGATGTAAGCACGAAATATATAACTCACAGGTAAGATATTATTTCCATTTATTTTATCGGACATAATACGAATAATTTCATTTATATTTTCAATATCTTTACAAATTGAAGTAATAAATCGGTATAATGTTATAGATCTATCGGTATAATAATAATAATACAAAATGTAGTCTCTATAAATATCGTCGGTGTATACATATATAAGACTATAGTTAATATATATGAATATATATTCAATGAGATATTTATATTATAGGCATAAACTCACAAAGAAATTTTGCGATGCTTTGTGGAAACCAACCCCGCATGACTACGTTTGTGTGCGAGCTAAGGAAATCTTCATGTTCGAACCGAACATAAATAAGAAGTTGCGAATTGCACCACGTCGCGTGAAAAGTATGTCAATGCCGTTCGAGTTTCCAAAAAATCCATTGGAACGCGATAGCGAAGATGACAAAGAACCACTGTATTTTGGACTTAACAGCGTACTCTTCTTAAGAAGCACCGTTCATCCTTGGACCCGTCATGTCAGTCAAAAAACAAATTATACTTATGTTTTTAATCGGGATACAGGATTGAAAGAGTATGACAACCGTAGACCGCAAGCTGCTGAAGCGAATTTCAAACAAGCATTCGAGGGACGTGTTATTTGGCACTGGCCACAGGACAATGCATTGAATTTGGACACGTTGCTTCAAATGCTCAGGCCAAATCTCAGCAATCATGAAAAGTTTAATTTGTAATTTGAATTATCTGAGTATTTAATGTAAATACATTAGGATCTTGTTTCTTTATCTCGATTTTTTTCGAGAAGTTTATATCCAATTTAGGTTTGCAAAGTAATTTGCAAAGTATGGATAATTTATGACAGGACAGCATAATTTATGACAAAACGGAATAACTTATTGGAACGGATGACTTATTGCATCGCATCTTATCTATATTTTATAGAAAGCGGTCGTGATATATCTCAATGTATATATTTTTTTATATATTATACGAAGATAATATGAACCTGTTAGTTATTATATAACTATAATAGTCATTAAGAATATATTTTTATTATAGCAACGTTTAAATTTGTATTTTTTTATTCTCCAAAATCATGGTTAATACATTTCCCACACTATATCTGTTTAGACATGTCTGTACATATCCTATATCCTATAAAAATATAAAGGTAGGTTCTGCCCGAGGTTTCTACCGACCTTCGATCTCTCAATGAACATTAGTAAAATAAATATATAATGCGAATAATTCAATAATCTATTATAGAAAAAAATATAATAAGATACATAAGATATATAGTCAAAAGAAAATTAAGAAAAAGAAAGAATTTTAACATATAGCGGTACTTGGACTCAAATAGAATTTATATATAAATTATAACATGTTAATTTATTACAAACAACCTCTCGATACACTATTATATACAGCTATTTTTATATTTAATTTATGTATATATATATATATATATATATATATATATATTTATATTTACATTATGTGTATATAAATATCATCTGCACACGCACTCATCTCACTTTCGTACATAGTTTTTCTTTTTAAATTTATCTTTGACGCTTTCGTGGTAAATATAATGGTTTTAATATGGTTAAAGAGGAAAAAGCGTTTTCGTCTAGAACAGTTCAGTAAAGGTGAATACAAATTATTAAAGTGCTTCTATGAATATATACATAAATTGAAACGAGAAAAATATATTCTAATTACTCGAATTGTTGTGAGTTATGTCAGATTGTACTTCGTGAAATATAATATTGTAACAAGTTATTGTAAAATTAATTTTAATTAATATTTATATACGTTGGTTTTAATTCACTTACAAATTTAAGTTTATCGTTAAAGTATTAAAGTTTAACAATTGACATTAATATTATATTATATAATTAGCATCAATAAAATATCTTTAAATGGACAGATTTCTATTTAGCCTACTTATAATTCAGAGATATATTGCTCGTTTTACTTTATGTATATATCCTTTGTTTCGATGTACTTGCAATATATAAGTCTCTGTAAACATCAGTGGTAAATTATACTCTTTGATTTCATATTGTGTTAAATAAAAATATGTTAAAGTTCTCACTTGTCAAATATAATTTAACAATTTAGACTTGTACTTATAAAACGATGGAAGAGAAATTTAACGCGTGACTATGTCAACTTAATAATTTTTGGCAGTTATATATGTAGAATATCTTAACGCATTATTATATAGTACCGGTACGTTCTCGACTCTTCTGACGATCCTTGGTAACGGTAGTCATGCTAAAGTACTTTGAGGCCTTGCTTCCCAAATTTTAGACAAATATAAGTGTAAATGTTCATTTATATCACTATAAGTTGACAGTGGATACAATATCCGTTTCTGACTTCGCGTACGTCATATTATAGTCGCGAGGTCTATTTAACAAAATAATATAGAATAAACAGGTTTTATTATGAATTCATCAGAAATTTAACTGATTTATGGCACTTTATATATAATACTTCTAGAATTCAAGGGAAGAAATAAATATATAAAAGAATATAATAAATCACAAAATGTATCATCTATGATACGAGAGGACAGTGGTTGCCCACAGAAGACGTTGCCAAATCCAACGCGGCACTCTGCATGGTACAAAATTAGTCATTGCACCAGCCAAGTGACGCACCCAGTCCCAGATACCCCATGGCGCATGACCGCCATTCACATAAAGGACGTACGTGAAACCATCCTTACATTTGCCGCGAATCGAATAGTAATATGGAAGAAAACTGTGTAGTCGAAAGTGACACCTCTGGTAAAACAGTATAGCGGGAACATTGCTAGATAATACATGTAGGAAGACTGCCTTAACAGAGGACCGTTCAGGAGCAGTGACATGGGCCAGCAATTGTTCCAGTAGTAATGAAGCTATACCATTTCTCCTGTATGCACGACGTACGCCCAAACTGAGTATATAGCCTACTAGACAATCTTTCCCCAAACTGGAGCACAAAATACCACGGTCCTCCTTGTTCAGCTTGGTATATGGCTTGATTTCCGCAACAATCAGTCCTATTATTACTCCACCATATACTGCGGCAAGTGCGTAAAATCTCGAAGAGCTTGTAATATCTTCGTACCACGAATAAGGATAATCTGTAGGAAGAAAAATTGAATTAAATCAAGTTTAATAGACTCTTAAATAGTACATGTTAGTTTAATTAAGAGTAGCAAAAAATTTGATATACACAGATGTTTTAGTTTATCTTGAGCTTTCTTCAATACTATACTAAGAAATTTGATAAATGTTTCTATGAATAACACTTTCATTATCTGTGTTATCAGTTTTATTCTACAATAAAAAACAAGATTATACTTGAAGAACTTATAGTAAGACTAATATCAGGCAAGAACTAATCTGTTAAGCAATATCTTACAGAATCAAATATCTTTCAAGAAATTAGTATTTCACATATCCTCGAAAAGACAAATGTTCAGTCTACAGATATAAAAGAGAGTTTGACGTTTCAAGTTGCACATGTCACCTTACGCGCAATGAGTGGTATTAAAGGGCTCACCTATTGGGAACCAATCCTGACAGAGCGAACGCACTTCCTCCAAGTCGTCCGGGCAGAGGAAACGCAGCTGCACCTCGCCCAGCACACACAACGGCACCGTCACCGGCGTCACGGTGGCAGTCGCCGTGGTGCCACCGGTGGTCGAACAACAGCTCCGAGGAGTGACGGTCTCGTTCGTATATAAGCGTTCGCCATCCGGTTCGACGACAGCAGCGGCGGCGACAACGGCGGCGACAGCACCAGATTCACTTCTCTCAATCTCCGGCAGGATCAGGTACCGGTTAAAGGACACTGCCATCGCGCCACAGCAACTTCTTGACCATCATCTTACGGCTGATCATTTGCGGCCGCCGGGGCAATGCGCGCGCGAACAAAGCATAGACACAAGCAGATCACGTCGTCACCACGCACACGCGGCCGCTGCTGGTAAACACGCAGCGGCGCGTCGTGAACATTTTGTTTTTGTCCGTCGGTTCGTTAGCTGACTCGAGCAACGGCGTTGGCCCCTCATTCAAGAACACGACAGACGTAACACTCGCTGTCTCACACGCGCGGACGTGTAATGTAAACGAGTTGCTTTCATCGCACGCGCAGGCTGACCATAATTGAGAACCACAGCCCGGGAGATTCTCTCGAAAGATAAATTCTCTTAATGAATTACGAACGTGTTTTGTAGTTTATAAAAAAAAATAAAACAATTATCTAAGCAGTAAGAATCAAGGAAAGTCGATTACTAATGTTCTAGCGTAAATTCGTAAAAGGCGAATATTTTCTACCTTGAAAACATTTTAAAATATTTCCTTCTTTCGAGAGTTTATGTAAAAAGGAAAGATTTATAATCGTTCTATAAATGTTTCACCAGAGAGGAATTCTAGTGCGCGATTGGTCGATTTCCCTATGCGGTTTATGTTTTAGTGGCTGATCGCAAGTCCAGCTGGAAAACGAAATATAAGCGTGCAAATCCCATTTCATTCAATCGTTATAAAAAGCAAAAAATGAACACAATTTCCGCTATAAATGCAATAAAGTCGTGTTCATCGAAAATCGATCGACGTCATGAAAACGCGATTGTACATGTTCTCGGTGAAAGCGCGTGAAATGTCTGCGCGAGCGAGGTTGCTTTGGATCAGCTGTTGTATTCGAAGTTACTCAGTGCGCGCGTTTAGAATCGCTTGAAATTTCGGCGCATCACTATGACGGCAAATAAATCTGTAATCGTCCTTGCGCCGAACGGCCGCCGGCAAAATGTGAAAATTACACTCAACACGACGATTTTGCAGGTAAATCAAGCGATTTGATATTACGCGCTCCTTTGTTTCTTTCTCACCAACGATTGACAGTGATTACGTTTTCTCTGTGAGAATAATGCAGACGTCACGCAACACGTTGAGCAAAAAAAATGTTTACGCGACATTTTTATGTTGCGACTGGTTTTCCATAGGTTTTGGAGGAGGTGTGCCAGAAGCAAGGCTACAACGTCGACGACTATGACATTAAGTGAGTACGACACTTCGAAACTTCGGTTTGCATTGTGATATAATTTCCATAAGCCGTATGTTACATCTCACTGTTACAGACACGTTCATCGGATATTAGATCTTAACACGACGTTCCGCTTTAGTGGTCTACCGAATAATGCTCAGCTGGAAATGGTAGCTTGCACAAAGATGCGCTCTGTATCGAGTGTTACAATTGGTATACAGCCAGAGGACGGAGAGAGAATAATGCGCGATTTCTCGCCTAATACAACATTAGCTCAAGCGTTGATAGACATATTTCCCAATTCGGACCTCGAGAGAGCTGTATTGATCTATATGCATAGTGAGGTATAAGGTGTATTAATGAAATATAGAAATTGATATGTTTGACAATTGCTGCACGATGCAAGCATAAAAACGAAAGGCAACAAAGATGCACCTTTTTTTTTCTGCACAGGTATATGGAAGAGAAGCATTGGAGAAAACGACGTTGAAATCACTAGGCCTAAACAGTGGAAAGGCGATAATACGATTAATATACCGTAATCCCGAGCAATTAAAAACTCAAGCACATGTGTCAACACCTCTGCTCCCAAAGCCAGCCTCGGTAGTGGACTCATGGAGTGATTCATCAAGTAGCTCAAGAAATGATAGAAATTCTCAAAGAGTACTTTCGCCAACAGCACACTGTAGTAAGACAACAGATGACATGACTTTGTTGCCAACAATTGTGCCAGATACAGAGAATCAGAACAAATCGGGAGATGAGATAAACCTGGATGTAAACATAGATGAAGAAAAAATGGAGACAACAAATGAAACAAAGTCAGATGTAAATGCAGAGGAGAAGATGGATATAGAAGACGAACAGACAAATGCAAGAAATGAGGGGGAAAACCAGGAAATAGATACATCTGTGATAAAAGAAACTCATTCCATTGTGTCGAATGTCCACGACCACGATACTGAAAGAGATCAGAATATCACGGAGGCGTGCAAGATAGATCAGGAAGACACATATAAAATTGAGTTTGTAAGATGTAATTGTGCATACGTGCAATCTCGTAGCAGTGACGTGTTTGCTTATTAATGTACATAATCTCGTATTGTAGTTAGGGGAGAGAAACGCTCTAGTGTTCAATCAAGCCGGAACTCAGGCACTGCAGAGAGACGAATTGCCGGACAGCTTTTTCGAGCTCGATTTGCACGACGCAAAGACTCTTATGCGAGACGCTAAGCGTCGCAGGGAACAATTCGAGTCCGCTCCACTACTGACAGAAGCGCAGCGTCAGTTGGATCGAAACAAACGGACTCTGGACCAATTGAACAAGTATCGACGCACCGTAATTCGCATACAATTTCCCGATCAGTTCGTTCTTCAGGGTTTGTTTGGCCCACTGGAGAGTGTTCAAACCGTCAAAGATTTTATTGTGAATTATTTAGACGATCCGAACTGCGAATTCACAATCTGTGAGTAGTAATTCGTAGTTGACATATTCATTTTATGAATGAGAAGTAAAAGGGATAGAAAGATATATATTTTTAATAAAATTTCTCTTGTCGACAGATACAGCTCCACCAAAGCACGTTTTGAATCCTGAAGCGCGATTGATAGATGAAAATTTGATTCCTTCTGCTGTCGTTTATTACTCCGGACAATCGTCGCTCAAACCGAGTGTAAAAACGAAATTAACGGATCCAAGAGCTGCTGGTGTCGAAGCTGTGAGATCTAGGTAAGGCTGTAAGTTACGACATATCGATTGTAGCACTCAATGTAAATTGATGCTACATCTTATATGTTTATCTATAGAATCGATACAATGCGAAAAGAACGAGATCCGACGACTAAAGACGAAGGAGGCACAGTTGCTGAGAATAAAAGTGATTATGTTACTTCAGGACCGAGTGGTGGTGAATCATCGTCATCATCATTGTCATCAACAGGAAATGAAAGAGGAAAACCAAAGTGGTTCAAACTATTAAGCAATTAAATAATATATCATTTCGCTAATAACTCCAACAGGGTGGTTTCTCAAATTGTAACATAAACTGTGTTCTACACAAACTTGAGGATTACAGGATTTCTATGCAGACTTGTATATGCGCGCAGGCACGCATGCATGATTGATGTGTCGTCATGCGTATCCTCAACAAGTCTAAAATATACAAATCTATACACACAACAAACGTCCAACGTGTCTCATTATTCCAATTGAAATGTACAAAGCTTTACACAAGAGAATAGTCTCCGATGCTTATTAAAATTAGTTATAAAAGTGGAAACAAAATGGTACATGTACAAGTAGTAGAATACTTTGTTCTTACCGACTAACTCTATGGCCTGCAGTAATAACATCTTATATATTCGTCATATGTATATATATATATACAAGATGTCGTAATTGACATTTCGAAATACCAACAAAATAGCTCGCAACAACTAGCTGGTCGACATAGAGAGACGCAAATATTTTTAGTATTGTTTCGGTTCTTCTCACGAACTTTCCTGTTAAAGTATCTTGAAATGCGAATCACGGGACAGACGTCTTGTATATATGTATGAAAAACAGTGATATATAGCCGAGTGATGAGAATACAATCGTGATCTCTAGAAATATGTATCGATGATACTAACCGTGTGATAAAAGTGCTCCGATCAATAACATTAAGTATATACTTTAGATAATAAATGTAATAATAATTTAGATAGAGTAACAAGATTTTTAGTTCACGATATCGACTTGCCTCTTTGTAAATGGCGAATGTTTATGTATTTTGCAGAGAATGTAATGAAGCGAGAATTGCAAGAATGTTTATGATGTTTAGTGTCAATATGAATTAACGTTATCAATCGTCTATTAAAAGTGCCATTAACTTTGCAAGTCAGGTGGTACTGTTGTGGGCGATTGTAACTGCAAATGCATGAGCCTACGAACAGGGCCGCCGATTATATTCCCGGCAGGACCGGAGCCACCAGCCTCGGCCTCGATACTCTCTTGCAAACTTGCCTCTACAGGATCCGCGACGTTGTTATCCTCAGCCGTTACAGTGTTCTCTTCTTTTATCAATTGCGACTGCACCTGCGAGTCTAACAATCGCATGTACTTGTCCATATCCCCGCCCTTATCTTCGTCATCGCCACCAAGCGATCCTTCCGAACTACCTTCAAATTCTCCTTCGCCTCCCGGAACGACCAAATCGAGAATACCTCTTAATGCGCTGTCAAATGCATCCGCATCGAACTCTATTCGCGTACTATCCTCTGCATCTTGCATCACATCGTTTTCCACTGATTGTTCCCTGTGAAACATTCGACATTACTATAAAATCATTATATTTCAATGATGCGACTTGGTTCAAAAATTAGTATAGGATTGTCATTCTGTCCCTGATGCAAACCGTACCCTAAAAAATGCACGCCATCGACAGTGCTAGTTTGGTTGAGAAACGATTGCACCTTCTCTCGAAGACTCAAAGACTCCTGATCCAATTTCTTGTCTTTAATGTTGCCCCACTGTTGATTTAAGTACGTCTCTAATTGTGCCGGATCTATATTAAGCCAACTGTCACTATCCGCAGGACTCAGTGTGGTCTCGTCTTGAGCTGTGAATAAATGTTAATCAAGTATAGCGTTAAATATAAAAACATAATGTAACTCAATACATTAATGATATTTAGAGTGGCACGATGTAAAACGAATTACCATGCATTTCAATGTCATTGGTCTGTATATTCTCCCATGCTTCTAAGACTTTTTGAGCATCACTTTCGTGTAAATTTGTTAAATTATCAAACAAGGTCGCATGCTTCAAGAAATACTCTTTTGCTGTTGACAGCAATTTATCACGTTCCTGGCTACCTTCCAACAGATCTCTAAAATAACCGCTTGCCTCTAAACGAGCTAGATAAGCGTTGAAGGCTGGTTCGTTCAGCTTTAACTTCTCAGTGTCGTCAGACACGTCCGACTTTTCTTTGGTACATTTTCTACGCTCCTCATTGGCTCGAGCTACTAGCATCTCTAAACCACATGCTACTTTAACTCCAAGAACATGAGCATTGTATTTTGAGCAAGTTGCAGGTGGTATGTTCCAACCTGTTCTTGGATCACCGGTATAACGACAATATGTTGCCATGGCATATAAACACTTGGTCATTTTGAGATTGACCATAGTTCTTTGCTCAGGGGGGAAATATCTCATAGCGCGACATACCTGAAATAATAAAATTAAGTATTGTAAAACCACTTGAATAAAAAATCAAGTACATTCTATTACCCTGCGCTCCAATGGATCTGAATGACAAATGGTTCTAATTGCTGGAGCTATGAGTCTTGGTTCTAAACGAAGTATAGAGGCTGCTTTTTCTGGAAGAAACGCTCTAGTCTTATGTTTCCTTTTCTGTATCTCATCTGGATAAATACCAATTCGTTTTTGCAATACAAGCTGTACTTTTTCAGACATCTTGGAGATATATGGCTTGCCATTTATATTATTCAATAAATTTGGAAATGACGTGCCTCTTTCTCTGATAACATGTATGTCACCATTATGAATGAACACTCGATCTTGACATGTCTCAGGACTAGCCCACAATGGTAGAACATTAGCAGCTTCTATCAGGAGAAATTCTCCATCCGAATCTACTACTCTGGCGATCAATCCATTGAAAACTTTAGTAAGCCTAAATATCAGGAACACTGTCAACCATTCATCGCCTATGTCTTCGTCAAAACGCAGACTTGCATATATATGAGGCAAGGTATGATAATCTAGTGATAAAATAATACATTGTTAGCATCAGTTATAATATCTTCTGAAAATAACTTTCATGAATGAAAATGCTCACCTTCTTCTACAGCTGATCCCTCAAGTATTCTATTCAATAACATTGCTTGCTTGATTCTAGGACGGAAATTTAAACTGTCACAATGCCATATATGATCAACAATAAGCGGCGCGATCTCCGCGTTGTACTTGGCAATTTCTTCAATCAGCGTCGCCTCCGTTACCGCGTCTGGATCCGTGGTGTAGCAAAATTTAGGATAAAGAAAACATTCCAGAATGTCTTCTTCTTTCGCCTTATGCATGACCGTTGTGTTTGCCATTTTCTAGCGTTGTATATCTCGAATCAGTCGGATTTTAATAACCGTATGCACTATTGTGGTCCTACGTCACCTCGTTCACTAAATCAACTTTGAATAGACACGCGCTTTTTATGTGACGCTCGATTTCCATGGGCGTTCCTCGTGAATGAACGCATAGACGACAATAAGCGTGACTAAAGTTGTTTACTGGATTATCGCAGATGTGATCATAACCTATACAGCCGAGTCGAAGTTGTCCAAATAGCTTAGGCACGCTCTATAACGCACTTTAATCCTAACCTAACCTAATCTCTTCGACAGCGACTTGGTTGTGCTGTCACACAGTACATACCTGCATTCGATGCATTCATGACAGTGCATACGATGGGATATGCGGAGCGCATGAGTGGAAGAACACGTTCGGTTTTCCGTCGAAGAGAATAAGATCAGAACTGATTTACACCACCGATGAAGCCGAACGATAAAAAATCGTTAGCTTCGATGGACTTGGCTTCGATTATACACCGTAATCAACGGTAATCAGAAATGTAAGATATCTACTTATGTTATTTAAGAGACAAACCCTATTTTTTGATATGTAAAATTCTTGGCTGCTTGTGGGAATTTTTTTCTTTAAATACCATTTTGGAGCTATGAGATTATTTTTATTGCTTTTTTATTTTATACGAGTCTATTGTCTCAGATATTACTTCTGATAAACTGTAAGACAACTTATATATTGTGTTAAGAATATTTAAGAAACATGTAGAGCATGTTGTCTCATGAGCAAAGTTGTTAACATACAGACTAGTATAATAGCTTTAACATTTACCAAATTTAGGATCTCTCTCTCTCTCTCTCTCTTTCTCTCTCTCTCTCTCTCTCTCCCCCTCTCTCCCTTTTTCTTAGATACACTATGAAGAAATAGATTGGCAACAATTATGAGGCAGATAAATTCTTGGATCCTATGGAAGTTCTACATTTATAAAATTAAATTGTCATGCAATAGTTTGGGAAATATTTCAGGAATGATCTTAAGGAAATATTTGAGAATGTTTGGTAGAGAGTTAAGACTAAGTCAATATAAGAATTGTCTTAAGGATTAGATATTCTTGATGTTCATATATGTACGAGGATTAGATATTCTTGATGTTCATATATGTAATAGTATGTGTGAGTATATAGTAATATAGTAATAGTATGTGTATATGTATATATATAATATTTTACAGATATAATTTATTTTTCAAAATATTTTCTATATATCTTGGTATTACATGTTCCTTAGATGTCCTTGATACAAACATAATATATAATTAATCTTACAATTTACCAGTTGATATCTGAGATAAGAGATTCATGTAAAACCAATAATACAAGTGATTTTATTCTCAAATCTCAAACTCTCTTTAATCTCTTTAATCTCAACTCTCAAATAGTATCGAAGATAGATTTTCAGAAAAATTTTACAGCCAAAAATTTTACAGAAACAGCATTTGAAAAACATGGTAACCACCAAGAACCCGACCGGCCGATCATCTAGCTGTTTACGCAAGTATCGGCTACTTTTCACATTCGGCGTAACTGTACTGTGTGTACAAATTTATCTAGCGCATACATTTTTCGGTCTGGACAATGGCAGAGATAAATCTAGCCGGCTATCATCCGGAGAGGTAATTCTTATCTAAACTTATATTAAAAACAGTATGAAACCATGTGTGTGAAAGTAGCAAAATTTATTTACATTTTGTTACTTAACATTTTTCACAGACTGGTTCATCTCAACCTGAAGAGGGCGAAGGTTTACCGAAAGGCTTACGTCAATTGAAGCTTCCACCTGACAAACAAATAAATATAAATAAGCAAACTTTGCAATCTCAACGAAATCGCACCGCCAGAATCAAGCTAGATCGTAAATCACTAAACTTTATACCTATGTGCGAAGTTACAGGTAGAGAAGCAGTGAGTGCCGTAACGCGTGCTCAGAGTCAAGCATGCAAGCAACGCATTGTCAATGTGACGTGCCTTAGCCAGCAGGGTTTACTATACCCGGAAAGAGTACAATCTTTGTGTCCTCATTCTCCAGGTTTTACAGGCATGCCGACCAGCTTAGGCTGTTTCAAAGATGATAAGACTTTGAGAATACTTTCTGGTTATTACCACATTTTCAAAGGGAACAATTCTCCGGAGCATTGCGCTTACATGTGTCTTCAGTCGGGATATCCATATTCTGGTACAGAGTACTCGTTAGTATCTCTCAGAATTAATGTCTACCTTTATAGTTTATTTAATCCTCTTCGAATATATCATGAATACATGCAATTTTAGTGTGGAATGCTTCTGTGGGATGGAGGAACCATCGTTTACGAAACGTTTACCAGATTCTAGTTGCAATATGAAATGTTCCGGCAATCCGAAACAGTCATGCGGTGGCTATTTAACTATCAATATATATTGGACTGGAATTCAAAGTAAGTAAATACATGTAAATATATATAGATATCTATAAGATTATCAAAGATCTCATCTTGGTTTAATAGAATTTAAACCCCAAGAGGCGAAAAACTCAAGTTTAAAGAATGAATCTGAACAGCCTGCGCGAATAGCCTATCTACTAACAGTGAATGGCAGGGCAAGCCGACAAGTGAAGCGGCTTATAAATATTTTGTATCATCCGTCACATTTATTTTATATCCACGTTGATGCAGTAAGTAACAAACTTCGATATTATGCCGAATTTGATAAACTAATAGATGTATTTAAATCAAGTTTTATATTTCCAGAGGCAGGATTATTTATACCGTGAAATATTGGAGGTAGAAAAATCATGTAAATTGAATAATATCAAAGTAGCGAGAGGAGAAGGCTTGAGACATGCAAGTATCTGGGGCGGTGCGAGCCTCTTGACAACTCTTTTAAAGTCTGCGCAACAGATGCTTGCTCATCATCATCATTGGGATTTTCTCGTGAATCTATCGGAATCCGATTTCCCAGTGAAAAGCAACAATCAATTGATTGAATTTTTAAGCTGGAATAAAGGCATGAACTTCGTGAAATCTCATGGAAGAGAAGTTCAACGTTTCATAACGAAGCAAGGTTTAGATAAAACATTCGTCGAATGTGAGGCACGCATGTGGAGAGTCGGCGATCGAAAATTACCGGATGGTATGTGACTTTGTTTTAGCTCTTCGAAAAGATTTACAAATATTAATATAAAAATATAAAATATCTGCAACATCCAATATACTTGTATCTTGGAAGAAAAACAGCTAATTTTCGTTTCTTCTGCTTTTAGTTATAGAAATCTTAGAATTGATGTGGATATCTTAAAACAACATGTATTAGTTGTATTGATTAACTAATATTTTAGTAATTAAAGAACAAAATGTGCGATATATATAAAATTTTAAAATTTTAAAATGTTTACAATTTTTTTTCTCTAAGGTTTCTATAACTAAAAATTGATAAAAGAACCTGGGCATTATTCTCTAAAGGTATAGATACAATATATACAGGGTGCTAAATTTCAAATGTAACAGGTAAAAAATCTCGAAAACTATGAAAGATATTAAAAAAAGCTAAAACACGTGTTTCATGATTTCGAAGGGGAAAGAGAATGGTATTATCAGTTTTTTATTTGGAGGGCATTTTCAAGAGCAGTTGAAGGTCAACTTAATTTTTTAAATTAGAAAGCCCAATTTTTTATTATATTTTCTTTTTCTACCAATTAATGTTAATAACTTTTGTCTGGAACATTTTCTTATTTACCTAATATTTTTTGAAATATTTAAAGATTACTTGATAACTTTTTCAACATTTAACTTATGATATCTCGCTAACTATTCGCCGAAAGAAAAAATAGTATTAGACTTTTTTATTTTATTTACTATCAAGAATATATTACTATGATAGTGCCCTAACTGTTTTGTTAATTTAATAATTTTGAAATTTCCAAAGGTCGATAAGTTAACAAAAGTTAGGGCACTATTATAGTAATATATTCTTGATAGTAAATAAAGTAAAGAAGTCTAGTACTATTTTTTTTTTCGATGAATTAGCGAGATATCGTAAGTTAAATGTTGAAAAAGTTACCAAGTTTTCCTTCAATATTTCAAAAAATATTAAATAAAAAAATATTTCAGACAAATTGTTAAAATTAATTGGTAGAAAAAGAAGATATAATAAAAAATTGGGCTTTCTATTTTAAAAAATTAAGTTGACCTTCAACTGACCTTGAAAATGCCCTCCAAATAAAAAACTGATAATGCCATTCTCTTTCCCCTTCAAAATCATGGAACACGAGTTTTAGCTTTTTTTAATATCTTTCATAGTTTTTGAGGTTTTTTACCTGTTATATTTGAAATTTAGCACCCTGTATAATATATAGATTGAATGTAATTAAAAACGGTATTGTTATCTTTGTCTTTTATACAGGTATTCAAGTTGATGGTGGTAGCGATTGGATTGCACTAAGTCGGGACTTTGTCGAGTACGTTGCCAATCCGAATCCTGATCTACTAGTAGCCAGTCTGCTAAAACTGTTTAAATACACTTTGCTGCCAGCTGAATCGTTCTTTCACACTGTTTTGAGAAATTCGAGATTCTGCAGTACCTATATAGACAATAACTTGCATGTAACTAACTGGAAGAGGAAATTAGGATGCAAGTGCCAATATAAAGCGGTAGTGGACTGGTGTGGATGCAGCCCGAACGATTTCAAACTTGAGGATTTTAATCGGATACGAAACACAGCAGATCGTAATTTATTTTTCGCCCGGAAGTTTGAACCCATCATCGATCAAAGAATTGTGAATAAAGTAGAGGAATGGCTGTATCCCGATAGAACAAACAGAACGATTAAAGCCGGAGGCTATGACATGTATTGGCAAAGTCTCTATCATCATGCAGACTTGAGTCCGCATCCTGATGATGCATTATTGACGCTTTCCTATTCCTTGGCAAGGCTAGTTTTTCAGAAACTGAAGATGAACTATAAAGATATCTACTTGTTAGAGAACACCGCATACTTCCGAGAAGATCGATTCACTGGTATTCTGATTCTCGCAGAGAATAATGATAAATCCTTCAGTACATCTGTATTATCCAGTGATCATGTGAAACGCGTAGAAGCTTTGGTTCATACGCGACATAACTTCTCTACGAATAGATATTGGCTGGGAAAGATACGAAGTCTCGCTGTTAGTACAGATTACGATCAAAAAGAGCAGACATTCAGAAATTTAGTAGGTAGTATAGGCCCGTACTCAAATCCAGTGTTGGCTTATGAATTCGATACAGGTATTACAGTACCACAAAACATATCAGTCCTATGGATTGATCCACAGGGCCGTTTGGCCGATATTAATCATATTCTGCTTGAAGAAATGACTCTGGTAATATACACTTATATGTTAGCTTTATGCTTTCAAAGTCCAGTAATTAAAGTACTCTCAATTAATTTATATAATTCTATCATATATGTCTTCAGGTGGGACATGTTAAACCTCAACTAAATGACCAGTTAACTATTGGCACTTGGCAGCTATTGTTGGTTACTGACACCCTGCTGGTGACGAAATTGAATTTTCTAGTGACTCCATTGTCCTATTGGAAAACCAAAAAGATCGATCCGAAAAAGGCCAAGGAGATAATAAATGGTCCGAACATCGTTTACCATGTTACAGAGGAAATGAATAAGAAATGGTCGAGCTTAGTGAGATATGCGATGTTGAACAAGCAGAGCGTGCACGATCAGAATAGGATTATTGATGCCGGCAACGGCATCGATGATTACATAGACAAATTAGTATACGAGCACTATGACATTGTCGAAATATGCGACGCCGACGACGAGAGTCGAACCAAAACGAAGCTACAAAAGTGTACCAAGATACATTGGAGCTCTTTGAGCCCTGATTCAAAGGCTGAAACTCGTAACCTATGTCAAAACTACTAATTAATTACTTTACCAACTACGTGCCATTTTCGCCGTTTTAAAATTTATTCTACGTGTATAAAGATTACAAACGTCTTTAGATATTTTTATATTGACTAAACTGTAAATATATATATATAATGTATTTATAAGACAAAGGTATTATATATATACATACATATATACATATGTATACATATATACATATGTATACATATATATATATGTGTAAATATATGCATATATGTATACATAAATTTTTGGTATATGTTGTAATTAATAATTCTGTCTAATTTTTTCACATTAAAAATTAATAGATTATATTAACGCGATGAAGTATTACTATATTTAAAAAACAAACATTCCCGTGATAATTCTGGAACTGTAATATTCAAATATATTTTAATATTAAAAAATACTTAGATTCAAGTAATTTTTAATATTTTTATATGTACATGTTAATTGGCTGTCGAATAGGGGGAATTTTTATTAAAATTTCGACATTTTCTGGATCAATCGCACTTCGATATCTGCCCATTATAATTTGAACTATCGGTGATAATTTGATTCAATTCAATTCAATTCAATGGCTCTGGTCGTGTGGGTTGCCGCTCCGACGCCACTCTCTGGGGTGATAATTTACTGTCAATATACTTGCATAAAGGTTTTTTTTTTAGAGAGTGGCGTTGGAGCGGCAATCCACACGCCAAGAGCCATCTATTGAATTGAATTGAATTGAACTTGCATACAGGCATAATACACAATGCGCAAAGAAATCGATCAATTAAGGCCATTGCACGTACAAAAGTTTCAGTCGTAACCGTAAGTCCGTAAGCAAATTGACCAATCACAATTCGTATATTTCGAGATGCTGGATTGTGATTGGTCAATTTGCTTATGGTCTTACGGTTACGACTAAAATTTTTTTACGTGCAATGGCCTTTAGAATCTTTATTTCTATTGCCATGCTGAAAATTAAAGACCCTGATTGGTTCATTTTCTTATGTGTATTCTGTTCTTATGTGTATTATGCCTTTATGCAAAAGTGTGTGCTTTTCGCTTAAAGCGGGAAGCACACACTCTTCCATAAAGGCATAATGCACAACGCATAAGGAAATGGACCAATCAGACTCTTTCATTTCAAGCGTGGCAATAGAAATGAGGATTCTGATTGGTTTATTTCCTTATGAGTTGTGCATTATGCCTTTATGTAATGGCCATTCTACAATAAGCTATTAGTCATAGCACATAAGAAAATAAACCAATCAAAATCCTCCAATCTATAAATGAAAAATTCCGATTGGTTAATTTTCTTATATTTTATAACTAATAGCAGAGAGAAGAATGAGAGCGGCCACCGGCCATATTTCGGGGGATACGGCTAGGCGCATTTTAGATACGCCATCTGACCAAAATGCGCCTAAACTACGTCCGCTAGGCGCACTTTCACGGTGATAAAAGTAAAATGCGCCTAGGTTCGTGTCCGTACTACTTCCATGCAATGGATAGTAGATTAGAAAGAGACAGACGACAGACAATCGTTCCGTCTTTGTCTCACTACTGAGCGGCGCGCGGCAGTAAACACGAGGCGAGGTAGCGGCGATCTTATCGCTAAGCGAACATCTCTCCGCTTTTCTTTCATCTTTCACGCTCCAGAGACATCAAAAGACGCGGTAGCGTCTCGTGTCAAGGGAACGTGCGAAGCGAGGAATTATTTTTCACGCACGCGAGGTAGCATATGGGAGACTAGACGAGCGTCGACATATTATCTGTTTCTTTCCCGCTCGTCTAGCTTATTGACTGCGTGAGCCGCGAGATTTTTCTCGCTACTCCTATACCTCGCTCTTTCTCTCTCTCTCTCGCTCGTTCTTTCTCTCTCTCGCGCACTTGCTCGCTCTTCCTTTCTTCTCGTGTTCTTACGGCTTGGTTAAATATATTAATTACATGACAATATATATATATAAATAAATGACACATATATAATGTATATGTATATAAAGAATATTTAGTATTAATGCACAAATAAAGAAGAGAGAATTATAATGAGAGACGAAAAGTTAATAGAAATCCACTCTTAGCCAATATATACATCTTTTAAAAATGATTTGTTATTAAAGTATATGACAGAATAATTTATTTATGCTAATAAATTTAAATTAAAAATTAAATGAAATGTTGTTTGTTTTGTAAAAGATATTCCATTGTTACATTTTTCTTTTCGTAGCAAAAATAAATTTAGTCTAGTAAAAGAAGAAATTAGTTTTATTATCATATTTCAATTACGACTTTATTATTTAATTTTACGAATAGATAACGTGCATATTGTTGCTCAACGGAAACCGCGAGAAAATGGTGATCTCCGTCAAAAAATAAATGCGAACTTTTTAATAATATGATAATCTTTTTACGTAAGTGTTTGTTTTTATAGTATAACCTGTTGAATTTTATTAATTATTAATTCAGCATGTTATAGTATAAAAAATATATTTTAATATAAAAATTAATGTAATATTAATTGTTTGCATTTGCAAGAAATATGGATAGAACAGGATAGGTTGCAATGATACATAGGAAGAAAAAAGATAGATGGATAAATAGATAGATATAGAGATAGATATAGATGGATAAATAGATAGACAGATAGATGGATAGATAGATAAATAGATAGATGGATAGATAGATATAGAGAAATAGATAGATAGATAGTTAGATAGTATAGAAAAAAAGATAAATAGAAATATAATTATCATTATTATTATTATTAATGTTTTCAGTTTCAAGAGAACATTCGCTTAAACGTAAGTCTTACTTAGGTCCAGTTTCACGACTTATATTATATGTCATTTATTTATATATATATATTGTCATGTAATTAATATATTTAACCAAGCCGTAAGAACACGAGAAGAAAGGAAGAGCGAGCAAGTGCGCGAGAGAGAGAAAGAACGAGCGAGAGAGAGAGAGAAAGAGCGAGGTATAGGAGTAGCGAGAAAAATCTCGCGGCTCACGCAGTCAATAAGCTAGACGAGCGGGAAAGAAACAGATAATATGTCGACGCTCGTCTAGTCTCCCATATGCTACCTCGCGTGCGTGAAAAATAATTCCTCGCTTCGCACGTTCCCTTGACACGAGACGCTACCGCGTCTTTTGATGTCTCTGGAGCGTGAAAGATGAAAGAAAAGCGGAGAGATGTTCGCTTAGCGATAAGATCGCCGCTACCTCGCCTCGTGTTTACTGCCGCGCGCCGCTCAGTAGTGAGACAAAGACGGAACGATTGTCTGTCGTCTGTCTCTTTCTAATCTACTATCCATTGCATGGAAGTAGTACGGACACGAACCTAGGCGCATTTTACTTTTATCACCGTGAAAGTGCGCCTAGCGGACGTAGTTTAGGCGCATTTTGGTCAGATGGCGCATCTAAAATGCGCCTAGCCGTATCCCCCGAAATACGGCCGGTGGCCGCTCTCATTCTTCTCTCTGCTAATAACTTATTCTAGAATGGCCCAAGAGTGTGTGCTTCCTGCTTAAGCCGTTAGTCATAAGACGTAAGCAAATTGATCAATCACGATCGGTTATTTTTTGGAATAATTGATTGGTCAATTTGCTTGTGGTTCAAGACTAAGGCCGAGTCTACAATGGTGATTTAAGTCATAAAAAATTAACCAACGGCAGTCGATTATTTTCCTCACATTCAACTGTAATTGGTTAATTTCTTGTAGCTTAAAGCTTAAATCATCTACTGTAGACCAGGGCTTACAGTTGAATGTGAGGGAAATAATCGACTGCCGTTGGTTAATTTCTTATAGCTTAAAGCTTAAATCACCTATTGTAGATCGGGGCTAATGGTTTATTGTAAAAGACTTGTAAGTAGAATGGATTATAGGAAATAGTTTTGGCGTTCTAATGAACAGTCTAATGAACGATACATGAGTATCTAGATTATGGTATGTTTGAGCAACAAGCGGCTGACTTCAAACGTGAAGGCGCCTGTGCATACACAGCGACGAATGACGCGCATAACTACAGAGTGGAGTGTCTGCGCGAGCCGAGCGCGTTGACATCTAGGAATTTATCACAAGATGTCGGGGGATGTTTTGTGCGACGAGCCGCTGGTATGCTCGCGGACGAAATGACTTGCTTGTTGTGGCTGCGCACGTCTGCTAAATTCCGGCCTAAGTTAAATCCTAGAGTGTTGTAAGGACGCCGGTGAAGCAATATCAGCCAGGTTGTCCGAACCGTCTGCCGCCGACACCGACGTGAAGCGGAAAGAGACGAAGAGATCAGGGCGAACGAGGCGCGAGGACGGTGCCAGTGTCGTGTGTATATGTGTGTGTGTACCACTGCCAGAACTTGAGATAACCGGAGCGCGGTATACCGGAACTTGATTTCAATCTCGTGAACTAAACAATCAGGTGATCGTTCGTCTTCTGCAGCAACGAGACAAAAAGACAATTAAAAAAAAGTAAAAAAGAGAGAGAGAGAGAGTGAATAAGACAGAGAGGAGAGTAAGAAAGAAAAGGGCGAAAGATAGAAAAAGAAAGAGAGAAAGAGAGAGAGAGAGAGAGAGAGAGAGAGAGAAAAGGAGATACAAGGAGAGAGAGAACAAATAGACACGTGGTGACAATTACAATCTTTGCTGGGATGGGAGCCAAGGCAAGCACTGTAGCACAGTCTGCTGGTGGCAATGGTCAGTCCTCCACTGGAGCCAATGAGACAATGCAAGGTTTCTCCATGCTTCGTTCTCTACCTGGTGGTGTTGGCATGCTACAACATCAGCACCAACAGGCCAACCAGTCGCAAAGCTCACGTGTATCTGGGGATAGTAGACAGCGTGCACGCTCATTGAGTTCTGTACCGGATCTCTCTTCTGCCGAACAGGCTGCTCTTGCTACCTCAGTTGGGGTAGGAGTCGGTCAGGCTCTTGGCTTGCCGCAGCTGGACTCCGATGATGCTGATGAAGATAGTGGACGTGTTTACGCTGCTCACAGCTTGCCTTCACACATTTGGTCCCTCAACGGTAAGTGGATTTATCTGAGTTTTATTCAGTTCACATGTTTACTTGGACAAAGCTTTGCAAGCTAGAGTCAAGGAAGCTACCTTCTCACTGACCATGATTAACTATAAAATTGCTCATTGTATCAATTATAAAATATATTGTGCATTCATTTTGTTTTTACATAACATGAAAGTATGTTATATATAAAATATTATAAACGGATAAACTACTAAAGAGTTGTTTAGTATTTTATTCCTGAAGAGAGCTGTACAAATGATACTGCTAAAATAAAGTCATCGGAATGGTTGTTCGTTATAAGCGTCAATACTTTTCCAGCTACATATCTATTAACGCAGACATATCGATTTGTACGACAGGACTATTTTAACAGGACGGATTGCCGTACGGCATGTTTCAAAAGTCGCTTAGTCTTTAATACGAAACATTAATCGACAATCTCTAACCTAGCTGCGAGCAGATGTGTGAGCGAGGTTATGTCGGCGACCGCAAAGTTTCGCGGACGGAGTGTTCGCGACGATGATTCGCGGGTGGGACAGGGGGCGTTTGTTTTGACGCGTGTTGCCGAGGTGGTTGGCCCGGTAACCGTGTACAATCGATGACTACCTGACCGCAGGATAGGTAAATTTTAAATTAGCGATAAATATCGAGTAAAGAAAGGCAGAGAGAAAAAAAAGAATACGCGCCGATCATCGCGAAAAATGAGTCTCGACAGAGGATCGCCGCGCAGGACGAAGGGTCATGGCTGAGGTTATGTCGGGTCTATTATGGGAATTATAGTAAGTTCGTGCCTGAACGAGTCCGAGGCTGAGGCTGTCCCGGTAGACCGAGTGAGGAGGGTCTTATATGGTATATTATATTTTCCTCTTAGTATATTTCAAGTTTGTATTTACGTAGTTCTATTTTCTTTTCTTTTTCTCCCACCCTCTCCCCCTGTCCCATATTCTGCAAATATACTTAATCTTATTTTTTCTAACATTCTTTGACCATGTTCAAGGTCTAAAGTGTCCCGTATGCTCCAAGTTCATTCTACCGGATGATATAGAATGTCACCTGGTCATGTGCCTGACCAAGCCACGGCTCAGTTACAATGGTGAGTTTATTACAGTAAAATATATATCATTGTCAGTAAATAAAAAATACTCTTTATATTTTTTGTTCATTAATCAGTGAATCATTGTTTCTCAAACAAGATTTCTTTAACCATGTATTTGACAATTATTGTGGTCATAAATAAATATATTGTCTCTTTACATGACAGAGGATGTGCTAGCAGATGAAAAAGGTGAATGTGTCATTTGTCTTGAAGAACTACAATCTGGTGATGTTATAGCTCGCTTACCTTGTCTCTGTATATATCACAAAAAGTATGTATAACAATGTGACTTAATTATTATTCTGTTTTAATTCCATATTAGCATAGACAATAGCAAATATTACTAGTAACATATAGATATTTAGTTATTCTGTGATATGTGATATTCTATGTATATGTTACATGAGGAAAATATGAATATTTCTCTATCATAAAAATATTAGGGTTTATAAATAGTAAGGTTTATAAATATTAAGAATATAGTATGTATGTGTACATGTGCGTATAAATAATGAAAAGGTAACTGAAGGATATAAGCAAGGATAATATTTATTATTGGCATTGGGACTCATTATTTAGAGTTGAAAAGTTAACTACTTGTCCTGTATTAAGATGGATACTAATAATATTTGATGTCTGTCTAGCTGCATTGATAAGTGGTTTCAAGTGAATCGTAGCTGCCCTGAACATCCTGGAGATTGATTCGTACCTGCTGAATTTGGAGGAGCTTACAGTGCTCACAGAAGCTCACAGTCCACAAACAGTGGAACAAGTTGCTGGCCCAGAGGACATTCACATTGATGGGATTAAGGCAGAACGAAATGACAGAAATTTGAAAAAAGCTAGTCAAGGTGGCTGCTAGTCCGCAATGGTGATTGGTGCATGCGGTGAATTGTTCAATTGAACATGAGACTCACTGAAATCGAACATGAAAGCAGATGTTTAATTCAATCCTCAACTCTACTACTGTTAAGCAGGGGACTTAAGAAAAAATCGCCATAGGATTCAACGATACAATGCTATTACCTATACGTATCTACAATTACTCTATTATTGCTCTATCGCTTACTATCGATTGTACCATATTTATAAATTTTACTTAGTTTTACGCCTTGAACTCGATTTAGTATTTAAGCTGGACGATCTTTATTACTGTCGTTCATGATTTTCGGTTTCATATCCTTTTTATTCGTTTTTGGAAAATGGGGGACAGGACGAATCTTAGTCAAGGATACCTGCATAGTGAGCAGGTGAGCTCTACCTTACATAAGTTAGTTATACTTTTACTGATTTTTAGTGTCGAGACCATGTATCGTTTTTCGTTGTCTGTTGGGGGATGAGTGCTAGAAAGGATATTTTTGATACTTTCATAAAAGGGGAAGCCAGGATGTATAAGAGTTCCGAGCGCTGGAGACGTCGTAACGCTGTTGATGCTGTAGTAACAATAAAGGTTCTGATTTAACCTTCCTTACTGAGATTCATAATGTGATAATCTCTTTCGTTGTTAATAGAGAGAATTGACACTCCGTGTTACTGAGATGTACAGTCTATTGTCGATTACCGAGGATTACCTACTGTATAATTAATCTCTTTTGTATATGATAAGGAGGATTGACATAACCCAGCAGTAGTTTTTGTAATACGAACAATCAAAGTCTATTATTGTTCCAGTAATGTGCGCAAAATGTGTATGTCGGGTCGGACTTATAACTTGCGTGAAGTTAAAATAAAATAAAACTATAATAATAAGAATGTGGGAAAATATGGACAGTGCACTGAGCAAAAGGGGAGGTAGAAATAAATTATGTTAATAAAATCGAACGTATAAACATATGAATATGTAGGGTGTCTTACAACCAACATAAAACACTTTAACAGCGTGTTCCAAAATTTAACTCAATAAAATAAAACGTCCTAATTGGCACTAGACGATATTGTTGAGCTTGAAATTTCTGGATTGTAAACAAATAGAATTAATCGCTAATATCACGTGAAAATGGAGCATTCTATACGTAACCAATCTTCATACACTATTAAAATATTTTATGAAGGCGTGGGATACCCTGTGATATGTGTATATATATATACATACTTTCATGCACTTTCTCTCGGCTACATATATTAGGAATTAGCTAACGACTTTTTTCTAATTTATTATTAATTTCAAAATTATATAGTTATAACAAATTAATCTTGTTCTTTGTTTAACTTTAAATAGACACCAGCAGGATTTTATAGGTTGAAACTTAGTTACCAAGATATTTTCAATATTAAATCTTGCTGTTTATTCTTCTATATTATTCATATTAATCTTTGAATTCAGTATAATCATGCTATGTATCATATTGTATATTTCATATTCCCTATTCTTAAAAAATTATAAACAGTTAAATCTACCGAAATATCTATATTCGAAAGAAAGTGCATGATGCCTAGGACACTCTGCATATATATATATGTATATGTATATATATATACATATATATATATATATATATGTGTATGTGTATGTGTGTACTTTTTTTAAGCCATGCGAAATAAATGACCGTAAACGACGGGCTTGGTTTCATAAAACTGAAAAAAAAAATAAACGGAGAGGGAGAAAGAAAGAAAAACATGTAAAGAACTCGAAATAAAAATGTGACATCGATAATAGCGATAATACGTCGAAAGAAAGTCTCCCCTTGCGTTTTGTTTCTAATCGAGGCAAGAATTGTCTCGCGGCTATTTTATCGATTTTACGATATGTAAGGTTTGTTGTATGCGCCGATTATAAGGGCGAAGTATATAGAAAAGAAAGTGCAAGGTGATGTGGTGACGAAGAGAGATGTAAAAATAGATCGCGTATTCTATATCGGCACGCGACAGGGCGTGGAGTGCATGTATTGCATGTGTATTGCACATGCAACATATGCTTGTGCGCGTGCGTGTTCGCCCGCCTCGCTCTCAATCCTGTAGCGGTATTCCATATTTTGTAATACATATATCGTTAGGATATATGGTCTATTCATATTCGATACTGGATTTTCTTGCGTTTTGTGCATTTAATATATTAAGCCTCAATTTCTTTTCTTCGATTTTACCTCAGCTTCTCTTATGGTTAATCTATATTGCAAGAGAGGAAGAGAGAGGGGGGGGAGAGAAAGAGAGAGAGAGAGAGAGAGAGAGAGAGCACGTAAAGCAGAAATGAAATTTTTTTCTTTTTTACGCATGAAATGTAACATACACGGCACTTAATATTTTTTTTTATGTGAAAAGAAACTGCTAGATATTTTGCCGGCTTGAAACCGCATTTTTTTCTTTTTGTAAAAGTATGCTGGTTTGAAAGAAGAGACAAAAGGAAACAAACAAAGCTGCAAAAGGTACGAATAAAACAATAGATCCGTTTCTCATAGGGTTTCAACAGGGTCACTGTAATGTATTCTTATCTCTATCACTGAATGCTATTGCTTGAGACGCTTTCCTAAAAACACACATAATCATATAATGGACATTTAAATCGTTTTTCTCCTTCACGAGGATGTGTCCTTTTTTGTAATATTTGGAATACTTATCTCTCTTAAAAACTCAAATCAGTTATTTGTCCTATTTCTTTTACGATTAGGAAAAGTTTCAGAGATAATAGTCGGTGATATTACAGCTGATAATCAAATACTATCATCTAAAGAATGTTTTCCTTTTTTTCCCCGTTATAAGAATATGTCCTTTTGAAATATTTGGGATATTTATCTCTTTTGAGAATTCATACCCACATCAGCATTTTATTTCTTTTACTGATATGAAAATTTTTTTCAAACAATAATTGGTGATGTTTTAACTCATAATCATACTATCATCTAAGAAACCGGCTCTGGTTAACATCCTGCATTTAGAAATTAAAATTCTACCCAGAGAGAGAGAGAGAGAGAAAGTTTGGTTGGAATTATTCAAAAATATGATTTTTTTACTGTATACATTTTCTCCCGAAATTAAATTCATCAAAAAACCTTAGCTTCTAAACTTCAATCATATAAAAGCTACGAATATCTCGAAAAATTGTTGCTGGAAGAATTAATTCAATATAAACGAAGAAAAATTAAAATTACATTCAATAATTTTAGAACATCTTTTGTTGAATCATATCAATTTACAGTTCATATCAATTTGCAGTTTGTATGTATTATCATAATTGCTTGATATTTTTCAGTTATCTTTAAGGTAGGATAAATATCTAAAAACGTCTCTAGAAGGTATTCTACTTATCTTTCATGTCTCTAAGATATGTTTTAGGCATTTGTGCTATCTGGGCTTATCTATATGTCGATAAATATAATATGGAATTCCGCTGCTTGATGGCTATAATAATAATGATCTAATCATCATGAAAAACGAGTAAATTATGAGAGCCCATAAAAAGCGCGTTAGCTTAGCTACGTAGAATAAAAAAAGATCATGAAAGGCGGTGGAAACCTAAACTCGCAGGATTGTAACTGTGGACACACATAGGTTGTAATGAAACATTTGTATGTATGACACTATTGACTTAAATATATAGTTTATAAGCTATATTTCAGATTTACAAAGGATCTAATTTTAGAAGCTGTTTTTTTCTTGTTTTATACTCTAGCAGCAATACGTAAAATTGTGCGCGATAATTGCGCTCATACATTTTATGTGTAATCGGAATTCTTTCAGATAATCTTTCAGATAAGAAGTTGATCTTATTGAAAATTGGATTGGAAGTTATCATTTAACTTAATTACTAAATGTTAAGCTAAAATCGCATTTAAGTAAAATTGAGATTCATAAAAAGGATAAAATTTTATTATCCACTTGTATCTCTCCCTGAGAATAATTTCATAAAATTGTTTTTATTTTTATCATTTGAAAAATATCGCCGCTCTTAATTATTGATTGTGATAAAAATGATGAATTCTTTCTATGACAGTTATTAATTTACTTTATTCAGCCCACTTGTTACGAAATAGCTACAATTTTCCAATGACGACCCCGTACATCGTGTATCTATCAAAAATAATTTTATAAGAATATTTTAAATATATAACTTTTTTATCGGAAAACGTCAGGCTCAATTCGACCGACTGCTTGCTTTGATCGAATAATTTTAATTTTATCATAATCTTGTGGAATTTGAAAGAATCTGTACTTACTGTAAATGATTCACCATATTTTCAAATTTCATCAGAATAGAACCGTGATTTCGATATCAAAGTCGATACAATATAAATGAATTACCTAAAAAATGTATAAAGATATAACTACAAATTTAGGTGACATTAAAATTTAAAAAATTCTGTCAAATTCTGTAAATTAGATTAAAGCAAACGGATAATAATTTCAACATATATAACCTTAAAAGCTGGTAGTAACACGAAATTTTAATTAGTGGCTTATATAATTTCCACATTAAATAACCTCAATATATCGCATATTAGATGCATATTGTCATATAAGTCTATATATTGTTTAATGCCGCGTTTGTGTTCTTTGATTCCTTCTTCCTGTTTTGAACAATAGTACACACGTGCTACGTTTACACATGTGACGAATCACTTCGAGATAAGAAACATCGCGGTAACCAATCGACGCTCAGTTTCGATATCGTCTTTGGAAGAATGCTAAATCGATTGGTCAAATAGCAGCCTTATCGCGCAAGTGATAATACGAATGTGTTTAGGAACGTTCACATAGAGAGATGAAGTGGAAGGGACTTGAGTCCGCGGTTGCGACGCGATACAGTGGTGGGGGCGTCTTGCGGTTGGTTGGCGCGGTGGTTTCGGAAATTTTGAGGTTAAAGTGAACGCCTGGCGTGGATCGGGTTTCCGGTCGACTTGCCGCTTTATAAGGACGACGTAACATCGACACGGCAGACGCGTCTCGTCGTCGGTCGTAAACGGGCGCGTCACGGCTTATGTGAATTCAGCGTTCGCACGCACGCACGTACGTACGGCAGAGTGGACTCGATGTCGGTAATATGTCGGTTGCGAACAACATTGAGACGACGCGGGTGCACAGATTGGCCTGTCCGGCCGTTTGACGAATATTTATGAATACACGGGATGATCTGAGACGGCGGCGTCCAACGGTACAACATGGTGAAAGAGAAGGCGAATTCGACCCGCATCTACGATTCGGAAGGCTACAGACGCAGAGCTGCTTGCATCTGCGTGAAGAACGATCTGGAGGACGAGGTGAGCCAGCAGATGGCAGCCCCTTATATTGTTGCCGGCGTTAGGCCGTTTATATGGTCAAAATAAATGTTTTTCCGTCGTTTTTTTTTCATGTTTTTTCCTTTGTGAAAAGCTGACTTTCAAATCCTCGATCAGCTCGAACGCAACTCTGTTGAGACCGATAAGTAAATTGAATGAGTCTGGCCACACAATTTCTAATCGCAGTGTAAATTGTAGGTACTATTAGTTACATCCAGTCGGAAACCTGACAGTTGGATAGTACCGGGTGGTGGTGTCGAACCGGAGGAAGAACCAGCGGTCACGGCTCTTCGTGAAGTTCGAGAGGAGGCTGGTGTTTTAGGACAATTAGGCCGTTGCCTCGGCACATTTGAGGTTATAACTCGTGATGTATGCCACACAACACTGATATTATTACATTATACTCCTTAAATTGCAATGGTATCTTGTAACCAACACTATACTTTCTCTCTCTCTCTCTCTCTCCCTCTCTCTTTCTCTCTCTCTCTCTCTCTCTTCCTCTCTGTCTCCCCCTTCCTTATCTTTCTCCTTTCCTTCTTCCTCTTGCTGAATATATGAGTATTGTATCATAGTCTCATGTGGTCTACCAAACCAATCCATTTTTACAGAATGTGGAACACAAGCACAGGACACAAGTGTGGGTTATGCAAGTGACTGAAGAACTACCAGAGTGGGAGGACTCACGCGCTATCGGTCGGAAGCGAAAGTGGTTTACCATACAGGAGGCCCTGCTCCAACTCGGTCAGCACAAGCCCGTCCAGCGCTCTTACCTGCATAGTCTCCACAATACTAATCCTCGACATAATTCTACCACTTCACCACTGTCCCATCATTCGCACTCTACGATGGCATCTATTGAATTAGTGAATAATTCTAGTAACAATCCTCATTCGGATAAACACAGCTAATATCATCGTGAGTCATCTATATTTCTATCAAAAACATGGTCGCCATTCTTGGAGCAGTTTGTTGTTACTCCTCCTTTCTTCCCCTAAGGGAATTATGATAATATTTACTGCTACAATTTTATATATAAATTAATATTACTTATACTTATCTTTATTACATAATATCCATTACATATTAGTTATAATTTAATTATGTTTATTCTCATATAGATTATTGATAAAGCAGTTCATAAAAGAGGTATTTTTTGTAATGTAGCCTTTCATTTCTAACGTGACTTTTAATGAAATATGTCGGACGAGAGATAAATTGTTTAATTTTATTATTTAATGTTTGTGTCTAATATACATAGAATGTCATCTTTTTTCACATGTTCTGCTTAGTTATGACAATTACCACCATAACTTTTTCTACATTTTCTAGAAAGAAAGGAAAAGTTATATAATGGTTAGCATTACAAGCAGCAGTCTGCATGTATCTTATAGATTAAATTCTTGAATAAATTTTGCAATAATTGATTTCTGGGAATTATAATATAAAAAATGCCCATAAAAATATTGCTTTATATTGTCTTCATCTGAAGAAACTAAAGTTTTTTGCTACTTGAGTTTTCTGCATAAAAAGGAAAATATACAATATAATGTAACATACAAATCCATATAGCGCGTTCGTTATAGAATATTTATTGATATTTCATTAATTGAGTTTATTTTTCATTAGGAAATGATTTTAGATATCTATAATATTCTGTATTATATTCTTGCAATATTTTTTGTGATAACAAGTAATTTTTTGTGTAATTTAGATTTTAAAAATTTCCATAAAAAAACTAATGCGAAAGTAAACGACAAACTTTTGTAGCAAGTTCCAATGAAACATTAAATTTTTACTACTTAAAAATAATACTGTGTATCTTTACAAAATCTACCTACCTATTTCTTTTTAACGATTATAAAAGTGGTAATGTAGTTTCCTAGAGATACTTTACAACTGTACATGACATGTACTATCTACCTTTCATGTATATTTATAAATATATAGTATGTAAATGAGTATATGTGAAATATACATGTTTTGATGGTATTGTATTGTATATATTGTGTATATATATATATATATATATAAAACACCATCAGAATATATATATATATATATATATATATATATATATTTTACCTGTATTCATAGTTAGGTCTCCTATATCCATCTAGATGCTGCACGGATTATTTTATTGGCTACAGACCATCTGAAGATAAATTTAAGGAAGTCTCAAATATAAGGCTTGACTACGAATACAGGTGATATAGGATTATCAATAGTAAAATTTTATGTTTATCAAGTTCCATCGTATTGTGAAAAAATAAAAAGCTGAAAGTTTTCTTTTTAAAATACATTTAACAAAATTTTATAAACATTAGTTTTTAATATAAAAACAAAAGATGAGATTAGAAATTAGGCAGTTATATCTTGAAAATAAACGACAATATAAATTAATTCACTATAAATAAAAAATGGGGACTTTGAGCTTCAAAGTATTGTAGAATCATTTTGATATTATTTTTAACAAAATTATAACCTGTTGAATTTTACCTACGTTTTAATATAAGAGATAAGTACAGGGTACCTATTATGGATCTCATCGGAATCGATTCCGATCGAATTTATTCTGTTATTTCCTAGATTTCTATTGTCTTTTCGGGAAACGGAATTATTCTGATCGGAATCGATTCCGACGAGTTCCATGATTGCTACCCAGCTGACTATCTGTTTCTGCTACTTTAGAAATTGAAAGGACAGCTAATCCCAGTTCAGTTCAGTTCGGTATATGGCTTTAGGTAGAAGGGTATATCCATATGCCATTCTCCCAGTTCAGTTCAATATATGGCTCCGGACTGCATTCAGCTTTGTCCATACGCTATTTTCCAGTAATATGAAGGTAAAAGAAAAACAGGGATAACGCGTACGCAGTCCCCACGATCAAAAAATATACGTAGTTACAAAAACCACATCCAACCGCCACGGAGGCGAACTAAAGACTATAGTGGAGGTTCGTAATGGAGGACGCGTTCCGTTGCGCACATTTATATATAGTTCATGTTACGTATATTGTAGAAAATGCGCGCATAATGCGTGAAACGGAACGCAGTCAAGCATACTACGTCCTGTGGACCGACCTTAAGAACGTCCGATCGAAATAAAGCTAGCGGCACACGATGCTTGTTTTCGTGCTGGATTGCTTGCTGGATGAAAATATTGCATTTTGATTGGTGCATTTCCATCCATCTTCGAAAATATACCAATCAGAACGCAGTATTTTCATCCAGCAAGCAATCCAGCACCAAAACAAGCACCGTGTGCCGCTGGCTTAATAATTATTCAGACCCCTTAGGCCCAGTTCCACAACTTGCTTTAAACGGAGTTTAAAGCTAAACCGATGATTACAAGCAATAGTATATGCGCATATACTATTGCTTTTAACCATCGGTTTAGCTTTAAACTCCGTTTAAAGCAAGTTGTGGAGCAGGGCCTTATAAGCACGTGGTTATATTCAGGAGTGACCAATAGCGTATATATTTATATTAAATTTAAATAATTTTATTGTAAAAAGAATAGAATTTTATTGTAAGAAAAATTCTATAGTTAACAATATATTTATTATAATATTATTTTTAATTATCTATTTCTGTGTACTTCATACATTTAATGCGTAGATTTGCTTAAACTACATAACCTATAACATTCATTTAAATATCCTTTGAAGTTAGCGTTCTATATTAACACGTTTCGTATTGCATGAAAAAGAAGTTGCTGAAAATCGATCCGGTACAGAACATGTTAATATAATAATAATCATTGGTTCGTTTAAGCATTTTGTATAAAAATGATAAATGTTCCATATAGATATCTATATAGCTACCGTATAAACATCTGCGAAAATGGAACCTATTATAAAAATGGAGGGTATTATAAAAGATGAAATTGATAACGACGACAGATTAAAAGAAGATGAGAAAATGGAACCTATTATAAAAATGGAGGGTATTATAAAAGATGAAATTGATAACGACGACAGATTAAAAGAAGATGAGAATGACAATGAAAATGAAGAAAAGACGATATCAAAGGTGTATCTCCCAGGACAGATTTTGGAAGAGGGAGAAGAACTTGTCGTCGACAAGTCGGCATATAGGTTACTACATCAAGCACAATCAGGCGCACCATGTCTGAGTTTTGATATATTGCCCGATGATTTGGGCAATTCAAGGGAAAATTATCCCATAACTATGTACATAGTTGCTGGAACACAAGCTGCACATGCTCATGTTAATAATGTTCTTGTCATGAAGATGTCTAATTTACACGGTATTAAGCAGCACTCAGAAGATTCAGAGAGTGAAGAATCAAATGATTCAGAAGATGAAAGCGAAGACTGTAATCCAGTAATGAGTGTTGCACCAATAAGACATCAAGGGTGCATTAATAGAATAAGGTATGTTTTTAATCAAATTAAATGGCTACAAATCATAAGATATAAGTTTATAAAGTACTGAAAATTATATTAAAAGAATAAGAAAAATCACACTTGATTTTTGTGTGTGTGTATGTAATTGCAGATATATTTGAAAATTAATATTTTTATTATAACAACATTGACAATGAATAAGTATACCAAAACTTTTAATATATTTATATATTAACTCTTATAAACTCATTAATCTAAGTAGTTCAGATTAGTATTTTGATTATTATAATTAATAATTTTAATTCTTTACTGCAAATTATTGTATTACAATATGCTATAAAAGTGTCAGTTTTCAACCGTTATAATTCTTCACATTTATATTCTCATATAATTCACACACAATCATAATCTTATATATGTATATTTATAAGATTATACTTTTAAAGATGTGCAAAAGTTTATGAAGTACCTCTAGCTGCTAGTTGGAGTGAATTGGGACGTGTAAATATATGGGATTTACGAGAGCAGTTAAACGCCATTGAGAATCCTGCTTTGCTTGCTACATATCGTAACAAATACAACAAAGAAAAAGGTGGAGGTGTTACACCATTATTCACATTCAAAGGCCATTTATCTGAAGGATTTGCCTTAGACTGGTCTCCAATGAAACCTGGCAACTTAGCGTCTGGTGATTGTAAAGGCAATATTCACATATGGCAAATTGGTACTGACAGTCCAACATGGCAGATAGATCAAAGGCCATTCAATTCACATGCACCACATAGTGTGGAAGATTTGCAGTGGTCGCCATGTGAAAAAGATGTGCTTGCATCATGTTCAGTGGACAAAACGTTTGTACCTTCTATAACATGTTTATATTACCTTTTTATTACAATCTGACGATTTTTTTAAGAAATTAATTTATTTTATGACAGCATAAAAATTTGGGACACGCGAGCGAGTCCACACAAAGCATGCATGCTGACAGCATCTGGTGCTCATCAGGCAGATATCAATGTAATTTCATGGAGTCGGATCGAAAGCCGGTTTATAGTGTCTGGAGGAGACGATGGACTGCTCTGTATATGGGACCTACGACTTCTCAGTTCTAGTAGAGCGGACCCGATAGCCACTTTCAAACATCACACAGCGCCCGTTACCACTGTAGAGTGGCATCCTACAGAAAGCACAGTGTTTGCCTCGGGAGGTGCTGACAATCAGATCGCCCAATGGGACTTATCTGTAGAAACAGATTGCTTAGAAACAGAACAAAACGACGAATTAACCAAGCTGCCACCACAGTTGTTATTCATACATCAGGGTCAGTCAGACATAAAAGAGTTGCATTGGCACCCGCAATGTCCAGGAACTATGATATCAACTGCGCATTCAGGCTTCAATATATTCCGTACGATTAGTGTCTAATATATTTATGCTTAATTCGATGCGACGCACATGTTGATATATTTTGCAAAATATATTTGTGCAATCTCTATCTCTTTTATTCAGTTTCCTTTTGAAGATTATATATATATATATATAATGTGTATGTATAGTCAGGCTGAGATATTGATCAATTTTAATCTTTATGTACGTTTCGAATTTTAATAATCGGACTTACCAATTCCTAGTTGAAAGTTTTAGTTAAACCTTTGTAAATATTTTTAGATAAAGAATAATTTTTGTACAAGAGAACATCAAATTCATTTATTTGTTTACCAGTAGCAATGATAACAAATGTCGTATAGTGGGCCTTCCATGCGGACAATTCCATGGATTCTGCATTTGTGTCATTTGCATTATTAGCCTTTGCATCTCGTTAGTATTTAAAGCCGTGCCGATCATGACCGCGCTGCGACACGCTCTGGACGCCAACATCTGTCTGACGCGACTCGGTCGAAATATGTGCTTCTCTTTATTTTCACTACCGCCTTCTCTGATAAGAAACACCAGTTCTTCGATATCCTCTTGGCCAAACTGCCAACCACCGCTAACAGGCATTCCTATCAATTCTATTCTTTTGCCAGGTTCAGCTGGAAAACAACAGAAGAAATTTAACGAATCTTCATTGTTTTAATATCCTATTAATTTCATACACTGTAACACTCTGTCAATTTTTTTCCTAACAAAGTAGTACTGTATACCTTGCTTATCGATTTTGAAAGTAAATCCATTATCTTCAAAAGTCTGCTGATGATCTATGAGTATCGTTTCATTCAGTGCAGAAAAGTTCAGTGGCTTTGGTATAATAAGCTTTTGCGTTTTTAACTTTGTCTCGTTGCTGAACTTCTCGAAACGAAATTTTTCATCAGTAGCATGTTGGTCTATAATGAAAAGATCATCTTCCAGGCGTGCTATTATGAAACCAAGATTAAATTGACCTACTATCTCCATCTATAACAAATTTCTAGGTCTAAAATTGTTCAAAATACAAATGTACGTTTTAGATATTAGTAATTATGTCGTAAAGTTTAACAACGATACATGTTTTACAGTGAAAGTAATTAATTCGATGAAAACGATTTAATTTGCGAATCTTATGTAATTCTATGTATAGAATTATGGATAATTCTAAATAAAAACATAATATAAAATAAATCACTTTCAATGTAATATGCATCTGCTACAGACTCATACCAACCTTGCTAAATGAATCTTTTGTCAACTCTCTTTGCAATTCCTTTTCAGCATCGCCTTGATTACCTTCCATTTGTACTCTATATTTTATTCTTCTCCCTGTATTGATAGATGCCTTAACAACGTTCTGTTTTGCCTTTAACTTCTGCTTTATCATTGTTATATTTATCATCATTTCCACATTTACAGATTTTTTTCTTAACTTTATATCATTCCATATATCATTATTTCTCGACATATGCGATATTGAAGATGAAGTCTGCAGTCTTTTGGCTGGCGGATGCGCATTGTTCGGCGAAATCGCCCTTTTCAAACTAAAATTCAAGTCTGTTAAGGTCTTGGCTGTGAAATTTCCTTGCATTTTATCCCATTTTGCTATCAAACTATATTTCAGTGTCGCCAAAATAAAACGTTCCTGTGTGAAAAATATAGTTCTCTTGTCGGGAGTGACATTAACATCGGCGGACTGTCGATCCAATTTAATATTCAGGAAAACAAATGGATATTGCTTATTGTTGTATTTATGATACACATTGTTCACCAATTTACTAATTTTCATGAGATCACAAGGTCGGCCGTTTACATAAAAAAATTGTCGATCGGGGGAAGAACGTCCAATCGCATGATCACAGACGCTCACATAACATTCCCAGTCGAAATCCATGGGTACATTATCGGAGAGATTGTATTCTTGTAATGTCATTTCGTCGGGAGCTTGTAATTCGAGCTTCACGATGCCATCTAGAGCTTTTTTGCCAAACACAGAGTTTATGTTGTCCAGAACATAGTTGCTACTTCTCGTAGCTACTATAAGATTAGGTGATTTGCTTGATATTGTATTGAAACAGGTGATCTTGACATTAGTAGAAACCAGGCAGTAACCATACAAAACTTGTATAGTACGTGCATACTCCTTCTTTAGGTTCTTTTGGAACTCTTTAGCTCGTACAGGCAGATTCTTGAATATGTTTCTCACGTGCACTGTAGTTCCTTTTTCTCTAGCAAATGGTTCTTTCTTTTTTAATATGCCATTTCGATCGAATTCCAATTTAAAACCATGTTCACTCAATGAATGCTTGGTAATGATACTTAATTCAGACAAAGCACACAATGAACTCAATGCTTCACCACGGAAACCAAATGTATTTACTTCTATTAGATCTGTGAATTCCCGGAGCTTTGAAGTATGATGTTTCAAGCCTGATTAAAACAAAAAAGTCACTCTATTATTGTTTTCAGAACAATTATTAATCTAATATATTCTGAGATTTTTAACAAAATATTTGATAATTCATGCTTCTATATTTGAATTTAATAATTTAATTATATATCCCTAATTATATCTAATTATATATATCATACATACACATACATATATATCTTTTTGAAAATTTAAATTTAATTTAAATTTTACCTAAGCCTTCGAAGTCTTGTTCCAGTACACCACTACCATTGTCATTTATGCTGATACATGTTTTACCATAATCAATCAATTTAATATCAATTACTGTAGCACCACTGTCTAAACTGTTCTCTACTAATTCTTTGACAGCAATGGCTAGATCCAAAACCACCTGATAAAGAACAAAGAAATTTATATTGTATATTAAATAAAAAAAAAAAATGGCCATCTAATGAGAGAGTAATATGATAAAATGTTAATTCTCATTGATAAAGAATTCATAATTTATAATACTTTGTTTACAAACTTAACCTTACCTGACCAGAACAAATGTGATGGATTGTTTCTTTATTTATAGCTTCTATCTTTTTCGATTTTTCACTCGTTGCGACAGGTTCATCCATCGTTTCATTCATATTTTATGTAAAGTTGAATTTATCATTAATAATACTGATAGTTTTTGTGCAACATTCTCGTCATACTTCTGACGAACCTTTATCAACAGCGCATCAACATAACCTTTTTCTACTGATGTTAATTTAGATGAAATAATCCTACAAATATACATTTAATAATAAAATAATTCTATAAATGAAATTCTATAAATTTTTAATATTATCAAACTAAGTTTTTTTAATATATATTGCATTTAATACATATATTTTATAACTTAAATAACTTTTATATACATATTTGATATTATTAATGGAGTACATATATATATGTATGTTTCATCTGTTATTAATATGAGATAGTATAAGTCTAATATAAGTAACACAATATTATTTATATTGGAAAAATACCATAGTCAAATATATTTTACTAATATGAAAAAAATTCCATTCATAAGACAAAATACAAAATTCTACATACATACAAAAATTTATAACGGCAATAATATGCATGATCCACTATCTTACTATGTTTATTATAGCATCTGTCTTACATTCATTAATGTTTATACTACAATCTTATCGAAAATAAATTTTACAAATCCGATCTAATACCAAATCCAGGGCCTGGTGGTGGAGTTGTTAATGATGTTAAACCACCAGCAGGATCAGCTGCAAATCTAGTAGAGTTTTGTGGGCCTGCTGGAGGTCTCTCTCCTTTCTTAAAAGCGTTTATTATAACTGTTGCACTTTCTGGAGTCAGATCCTCCTAGAAAGTATGTACATGTACATCAAGTATAGTATTCTTATATCTTCAATATTAGTTATACGAGTCTAGTATTATTGTATACTTAAAACTTGAAAGAAAGTATAGTATTACTGTATACCTAAAACTTAAAAGAGAAAGCTGATATCTATTTCTTTAATGTTAGTTATTAAAGTTTTAAAATTTGTGAATATTTAAAAATTCTTAAAAAATCTCTGAATGTAAGATAAATATTATATATATATGTAAGATATATATATATATATATATATATCATAGTAGTATATCTGCTATTATTTCTGTGATCAAAGATAAATGTGTTAAAAGATAAACATACATAATAATCATCATTCACTTGGAACATAGGGGCATTGGCACAAGCACCAAGACATTCTACTTCAGATATTGTGAATAATTTGTCAGCAGAAGTAGCACCAATCTCACAGTTTGTAGCCTTTGTCACAGCTTCTACTATTGAGTCGGAATCACGCAACCAGCATGGAGTACAAGTACAGATCTGTACATGATATTTTCCCATGGGTCTCCGATTAAACATTGTATAGAATGTAGCTACTTCATATACTCTCATGCGTGGAAGATCCAATATCTCCGCAACTTTATGCATGGCAGAGATTGGTAGCCAACCATGCTGCCGTTGTGCCAAGTCCAACAGTGGTATCATAGCACCACGTTTATGACCTTCAGGATAAATTGCAAGGAGTGCTTTTATACGTTTCTTATTGGCCTCATTGAATTCAAATGGTATATTTGGGTTGTCATGTTCACTATCTCTATGCTGAAATTGAAATGTCATATAAATTTTCTAAGATATTTATTGCTTAAGAAAAAATTCAGATATTTTTACATACAATAAATAGCTGGTCAGATGCACAATTTGCTGTTGTTTGTACTGCTCTAATATTTTTCTGAGCCTGTTAAAAACAAGATTAGTTCTATATATAAGCTGAATAACAGGTCAAATAATAACTCATGTCAAAGCTGTCAGATTTCATAGAAGGAAAAAATTTTGTCATTTTGAATGTGCTGGTATTTTCATTTTATAAATGTAATTAAGTATAATCAATAAAGAGCTCTACTGTTAAAGATTATAAAAAATTATTTGATTTAATAAACTATATTGATACAATTAAACATTTGTGTGTGTGTGTGTGTGTGTATAATATTATTATATAAGAGATTTGAGGTTAGAATAAAGAAGTAAATCTGCAAATCTAGTGAATGTAAAAATACATGTTTAAGATCTAATCACTCACAAAGAGCCCGCAAGCTCGACGTAAAGACGTCAACATAACAACACAGTTGACAGACACACGATGAGATGAAACTCCTATCCTCCACACCAGTAAAAAATATCAATCATTCGCTGCTACAAGATGAGACTGCTCAAAAATGAGATAACTATACTTTTTTCACTCTAACTTATTACACTAGTTCAGCAGTGCAGCTATAAAGAACAGACCTATTGTCACATATATGTATTCCAATATTCACTGCCAGCACTGAAAATCTATAATATACGTGACACAAACTATGTATTTTTAGTACTGGCAATGAATTTTGGAACACAGCCACTCTATAAAATTTCAGTGCTTCAGTGAATATCGGAACGCAGCCATAATATTAATTTAAAGCCTACCAACCTTATAACTGAAATTAAAGTTTTCGAAACCGATTTCAGAACGGACTTCATTTCTATAAAAAAATTCAACTGACCTAACCTAATCTGATCTCTAACCTAAAAACAATCTTTATATAGCTACAAATATTCTAAGAGCCTCAAAGTAATTGACGGCGCGATAGTGGAAGAGCTACCAAACCACAACAAATCTAAAAATAACAGTAGTAAAGCAAGTTTGAATCAAATGTTTGAAATGAAAAGTTATTTTATACGTTAAGAGCAGTTTATTGAACATTCTATTAAAATATTACGTTACGGGACAAAAAGAATAAGTCAAATTTTAATATTATGAAGGAGACAGTAAACGATTTAAGTAATACTATGAACGAGGAGCATATCCATGGAAATGGAGAGGTACTTATATAAATAATGCTTTAGCTTATTTTCGATTTTTTTATAACACTCTACTATATTTTAAAATTTATATAACTTCTTTTATTATTCGCAATTTTAAATTTGTTAATCTTTGGTATGTAAATTATAATGAAGTTTCATAAATTTAAATTTCTTAAAATAATTTATAATTACCATGTATCATTTTTGTTATATCTAAATAAATATAAATTAAATTTAAAAAATCTTCAATCGTAAATATTTTGCATGCATCAAATAAGATTCTAAATATTATATTTATATAATAAAGTTTTCATAGAACTATTTCTCTCACATTTTTATTTGTAATTGCAATAGACAATTGTTCCTGAAGAATCTCCTGCAAAACAGAAGTTGAAAGGATGGCTAAATCGACATTTGCGAATTGAAATGACTGATGGAAGGGTTTTAAGAGGAGCATTTCTATGTACTGATCGTGATGCCAATGTTATTCTTGGCTCATGTACTGAATTTCTCTCCACAGAACATACTGAAGCCAGAGTATTAGGTTTAGTAATGGTACCTGGTCGACATATTGTTTCAATATATCTGGATGCTTAAAAAGATCACTTTTATTTTTCTGTAAATAATTCATTGTGCATATTTTTTACATTAATATGGTTAATGTGAATATATTATGTTTTCCTTAAATCTTAGATTTTATTTCTATGGTTCAGATAAATTTTTAAAGACCAGCACAGATATAAATGATGTTATTAATTATATTAATATATTTGCTACTTCACTATATATTAATAAACCTGATTTCAATTTCAATAAAACTAACATCCAGATTACAGAAATGAAATTATAAAAGAATTAAAAATTATAATTATTATATTATGTGCTTAATGGAATAATAAGGAAAATTTGACCAACTATAAAAATAAAATTTTATTGTTAACAATTATGAAATTCATTAAATTCAGTAATATTAAGAAGTATAAATTTAATAATTTTTATTGAACAGTATCTTTACCTGAAAAGTAAAATAATGAAAGAATATTAAATATGATTGTTCGAACTGTGTATACTATATTAATAAATGTAAAGAATATTCAGCTTGTTTTATAATGACAAATATAAAATCTGCTGAGAAAATTGAATATTATCAGGTAAAAAAATATATTGCTATGTTTTGGCTGTTTCCTTACTATTTTTGATGCATTGCTCTTGTATATGCCGATATGCTTGTTCCAGCTCAAGATTGCTTTCAACTTCTTTTTTCACATTATCTAATACATCATTTATCCTTTGGCATAGTAAATTGGATAGACTGTCCATTCCAGATAAAAAACTAATCTCTGAAGTAGCTACTGCCATTTTATGGACATAATCCATATAACCAGTTAATTTCTAAGAAACAAAATTATTAGAATAATTTTTAATGTAAATCTTTAATCTAAATATTGAAAGTAAAGAAATTAATTTTAATTTTATGCTAAAAATGTTTGTAAAATTATTGTATATATCAATGTAATAATTTTCTTTAAACTACACTACCATAAGTATCTGTTTTTTCTCCTCCATTTCTGTTCGTACTTCCACAATCAGATCCCAATGTACATCACTAACATCATGATTCAGAGTATCCGTTAAAAGGGAAATAAGTTTGTTCAACAATGTCCTGTACAAAATTAACAGAACTTTTGGTGTTAGAATACTAGCTACTGTTCAAAACTTGTAAACTTTACCTGTATTCAGTGCTTAGATTTATTATTGCCATGCAGGTAACAGTTAATGCTTGTGTTGCACTATTGACTACATCCAATGTAGAGCATTGTATCATAGATTCATATGTCAATTTCTTAATGTCTGGTGGCTCCAATTTTAACTTTTCTTTTTCATTGAGCTTTTCTGATAGAGTACAATGTGTAAATAATATACCCGATGAATACTGTGTATTAGAATAAACAAATTATCAATTTTTATCATGTATATAAAATGTATATAAAAAATCGAAATATGAAGTAAATTATATGTGTTTTTATACCATCACTGAACTAATATTTCTCAATTTTCTAAGCGTATGACGCATTGCCATATTCATTGGTAATATAATTAACAAATTGAATATTCAGAAATTTTGTTTTAAATTATATACATTATATTGAGTGCATCGAATGCACGAAGTGCAAGAATAATATTTCTAAAGCACCATGAATACTACTATTCAACACTCTGGCTCTAAATATATTTTTTTCTCTTTCTCTCTCTATCTTCTTCTTCAATAGATGGCTCTGTGCATATAATAGATGCTCCAACGCCACTCACACACTCTCTCTCTCTCTCTCTCTCTCTCTCTATCTATCTCTCAATATTTACTTCAAGAGCTTGTTAAGCTAAAGCTAAGACTCCATGCATGCGGTGAGCTGCGGCAAATGCTGCGGTGACCAATCAGGAGGGAGGCGCAAGTCCGGTTGCGGCAAGCTCCGGCATGCGTCTGTCTCCTGATTGGTCACCGCAGCATTTGCCGCAGTTCACCGCATGCATGGAGTCTTAGCTTCAAGCCGGTTGCACACCGGACGCGGCACACTTACCGCGTAGCGGAAGTTCGTTAGGGAATATTGCGGTAGCCAATCAATATCTCACACGCATGTTGTGTAAATACTATTAGGAATACAAATAAGTTTTCGTCGTTTGACAAAAGATGGCCCCACTAGAAGGTTATGTTGAAAATTGTCAGATGTAAAACGTAATATCGGTTGCGTTCCGATATTCACTGCCGGTATTGAAAATCTATAATATATGTGACATAAAGTATATATTTTCAGTACTGGCAGTGAATATCGGAACGCATTGACCGTAAGTTTGGACATCTGGTAACAACATAACCTTGAAGTATTAGTGACTCCGTATCAGCATCACATAATTTTTTCCTGCGAAAATGTCAAGTTTTGTGCCGAATAAGCGTCACTTGCGGGAACTTTTGATTTACTTCTTTAATTTGAAGAAATCTGCAGCTGAGGCGCATCGATTGCTTGTAGAAGCATATGGTGAGACTGCTTTAAGTGAGAGAAGTTGTCGTGAGTGGTTTCAAAAGTTTAAAAACGGTGAATTTGACGTGGAAGACAAAGAACGTAGTGGAAGGCCGAAAGTGTACGAAGACACGGAATTGGAAGCATTATTGGAGGAAGATTCGTGCCAAACGCAAGAAGAACTTGCACTTACATTAGAAGTGACTCAACAAGCAATTTCACATCGTTTAAAATCGTTGGGAATGATTCAAAAACAAGGAAATTGGGTTCCATATGAACTGAAGCCGAGAGACGTTGAACGCCGATTTTGCACGTGTGAAATGCTGCTTGCCAGGCATAAAAGAAAGGGTTTTTTGCATCGTATAGTCACTGGTGGTGAAAAATGGATCCACTACGATAACCCAAAGAAGAGAAAATCATGGGGACCACCTGGCCATGCCTCAATATCGAAAAAACTCATGCTGTGTATTTGGTGGGATCAGCTTGGTGTCGTGTATTATGAGTTGCTCAAACCGAGCGAAACCATTACTGGAGCTTTCTACCGAACACAATTAATGAGATTGAGCCGAGCACTCAAGGAAAAACGCGCCCATTACTACTCCAGACAGGACAAAATTATTCTCCTCCATGACAACGCTCGGCCACATGTTGCAAAACCGGTTAAAACCTATTTGGAAACACTTAATTGGGAAGTCCTACCCCACCCGCCGTATTCACCAGACATTGCTCCATCCGATTATCACTTGTTCCGGTCGATGGCACATGGCCTGCCTAAGCAGCGCTTTATATCATATGAAGATACTAAAAATTGGGTCGATTCGTGGATAGCCTCAAAAGATGAAGAGTTCTTCCGACGTGGTATCCGAATGCTGCCAGAAAGATGGGAAAAAGTAGTAGCTAGTGATGGACAATACTTTGAATAAAACGTAATGTACCGTTCTTTCACAATAAATTCCTAATTTTTGATAGAAAACGGTGGAAACTTATTTGTACTCCTAATATTTCCGGGCAAGCAAGATGTTGAATGGCCCTAGATCATTTTCGCCGCGTAGCAAGCGTGCCGCATCCCGTATGCAACCGGCCCTATCCAACGTAATCTACCTAACTCCAAATATACAATGGTCGCATTCAGTAGAACAAAGCGATCAGAGAGCGCTTAGTGATTATTGTCTGTGATTGGAGCATTCTTTTAGATTCTTCATAGCCCAGAAGTATTTACCAATCAGGAGCGAGATTCAGTGGAAAATCTAGTAATGTTGTCCAACTGTTGAGTCTGCTGAATGCAGCCAATGTGTTCTTCAGTCTAAAGGCTCGTCTACACTAGCTGTAAGAGTAATGGAGGATTCACACTGCGTCCGATGTTCGACGTACGACATCCGACTAATGGAGAATTGAATTCTCCATTGGAAAGCTGTTTTCCTATTGGGTGTCGTACGTCGGACATCGGACGCAGTGTGAATCTTCCATAAGGCTGTAAGGTTGCAAGACACGAAATGAAATATTTTCATTCGCTGACAGCTTACGTTACAGCCTTACTCTTACAGCTGTTGTAGACGAGCCTTAATGACTTCTACACACAGATGCGGCAGCGCGTCAACGCGTGACTAATCACAGTCTTTCTTTTACAGTTATGTAACTCATATCTCTGGAAAAGAAAGACTGTGATTGGTCAACGCGTTGACTCATCCTGTGTGTAAAGGCTCGTCTACATTAGCTGTAAGGTTGCAAGACACGAAATGAAATATTTTCGTTCGCTGACAGCTTACGTTACAGCCTTACTCTTACAGCTATTGTAGACGAGCCTTAAAAGTCATTAAACCTTGTAATTTAATAATTAGCTATATAAATTTAAATTTGAAAATTAGAAATATGTAAAAATCTATTTGTTATATTTATTTTTTCTCTTTTTGTCTCGTATTATATATATTTTTAATTGTAAAAAATCATGTAGAGCATATAAAAGATTTGGTCAAGATTCGATCTTCCTATCAGATAATAATTTATATATAATTATTTGCAATAATTTATACATATTTTGAGGAAAAATGAATGATAACAATGTATTCCTGTATTTCCTTATATCAATAATATTTCCTACTTCTTTATATCAATATCTTATATATTTTTTATTCCTTCAAATTAATAAATACCACAAGTAATATTTGAAATTACAGTTTTATCTTTATCAATATTGGAATGATAACTCGTTGAACCCGAACACGCTTAGTTGGCAGTAGAATGACAATCGTTTATCATTTTTTTTTATGCTTTTTCATTGCCAGAGAATTTTGCTAAGTACTGGCTACACAAAAGAGCAATTTTATCATATGTCCCTTCATTTTCGTATTTAATACATTTGTGTGATTATAATTACTTTACTCGTAAAAGATAATCAAAATATCTGTAAGACATATACATTTGAGATATAGAAGAATATTTAAGGTTATTCATTATAATTCACTATAATTAATAGAAAATAGGAAAAATAAAAAATTTTTTTTTAAAGATGATATCGATCGACCAAGCGATATCAGTATATCTTTAAGAAAAATTCTTTCGGATATATTTAGAAATTCATGCAAAACTGTATCCATACAAAAGAAGTATATTCTGTAAATAATATTTATATGAAGATTGTTTCAGTAATTATTTTTTTTATCAATGTTTTAAAACAATATATTTTAAATAATATACTTTAAAGCATAAGAAGCAATAATAATAAAAAACAACAAAGTAATAAAAAGCAATGATGCTTTTTAAGGCAATGTGCTTAAAAAAAGAATAATTAATGAAATAATCTTTACGTAAATATTATTCATAGAATGTACTTCTTTTATACAGATACATTTTTGCATGTATTTCTAAATATATCTGGAAGAATTGTTACATCTTCAAATGACGATAATACATAATGAAGAGATAGATTTGCAGTATTTAAATATGTTTAACATGCAAAAAGTTCGATATATTACAATTTTAAAGATTCGACATATATGTGAACATTTCGTAAGAACTGGCCTATTCACACACGTGTGTCTATATTAGATAAGTTGAGAATCAGAACCTGCTATTGCTTGGCACTTGTGTAACATAATTATCGCAAGTAAAGTAGTTCCCAATAAGACTCTTACCAATTATCTTCCGACCATGCGTTAATAACACTTTCATGATAAATAAATCAACGAATAAAGTTATTCGCGTACATCCTCCAGCGCCCATATAATATCATTAATTAAATACAGAAAAAATTCATATTCAAATTCATGAAATAATTTATCCACCCGCAGAACAAACGCGTAAACATTTGATTAGTTTTAAATGCATCCGAAGATAAATCTACAGAAATTGCCCTAAATCGACGCAGTCCGTCGATCAATAACAAAGAATCACACTTTTAAATAAATTATTTCTTTATAGTTCTTGATGCGTGTCCTCCTCAACTTCGTTTTCACTTAGCGGTTCCTCCCTTTCTGGTATAAATACTGACTCCTTATCTGTCACTGGTACTTGTTGTCGCTCCTGCCTCTGCTCGTTTGACGCAGTTTCTTTTTCCGCAGATTTATCCTTTTCAGCGTTAGTTTCTGTCGTTACATCAAGCGGGGGTTCCTCTTGGTTTTCTGTCGCCTGCTCGGCTTTACTGTCCGTCTGGTTATTTGCCGCAGCTTCCTGCTTCGGCTTCCAAATTTTTATCTTATTTATAAGATATTTAATTTCTCTATCAAGTAAATCCATTTTGTTCGTGATCTGCCGGACTTTGTATTTTACTGGTTCGTTCAACGGCGTTTCAGCATAATGTTTTGTAACCATGTCATAATAATCCTGAAAAGTATCATAGTCAGTACATTATATCACTATCATAAGTATTGTGTGTAAGCGTAAAACATGTTAAAAAATTACTTAATTAGCACAGATATTATCAGAACTACATTTATCGTTTCATTAATTCGTTGCATACCTGCGTCTCGTTAATCATCTTTTCTAACGTCTCTACTTCGACGGGCGTGATGACATCAGCCGTTGAACTCAAGTTCCTCATACTATTTAAGAACAATTTACTATTATCGAGAAGTAAAAATACTGCTTTCAGAACTTCCGGACGATCCCGATGCTCGGAAACTCTCTCATAGATATCGTTGGTCAACTTCTGCAATTCCGACAACTTCTCCTCATACACTTCCGCAGTTGCGGCAAATCCATCCTCGTACAACCACTCGGAAACCTCAGCGCACGCTTTACGTATCTCCTCAGTCTCCTTCTCGGTGGATGCAGCCGAGTATTCTTCGGAATCAAGTTTTTGCTGCGCATCGATTACATATGACTCAAGATTATTCAATGCTGTCTCTCGGCGTGTTTTCTCCGAATCATGCATGTCCAAATTATATATCCTGGAGAGGAAAAAAATAGCGTTATCAACAGCAGAGTCATGTAAATATTATTGTGATCATGTCGATTAAATATTGATATTTTTTCCACGATGATATGTATAATATTTCGAAAAGATAGAATTTCATAATTATATTAACGTCATAAATTTTTATGTTGTACATTGGTTTACTCACTTGTCTTGAGATTGTGTAAGTTTTTCACCGGAAAGAATTTGCGATCCCAATTTGGTCTCCTTCGAGCTGATAGGTTCTTTGATCTGAACGATGGTAGCTTTCTTTTCTTTGTCCGCCTTTTCAGTCTTATTTCCAGCTTTATCTTCATTCGATTTCGTTTCGTTCTTCTTCTTCGTCTTCTCTTCCGTGTCCTTTGATGACTCCGGATATTCCGGTTCATCGTGCACCGGTTTTATATCCTCTTTCGGTGGCTCTTCAGTCTTTTCTGCAGTCTCTTTTTCATTGGAACCTAAAATATGAAGATGCTATAATTTGTACATACTCATCTCTATAGGTATATTAACAAAAAATGTATAATTAGGTTCTTGAATTTTGGTGTCGCTAAAAATTAAACGTATGAATTTAAACTCTTCTGAAGTTTCTCCTTTATGTAATAAATTTTAGTGAAATATATATTAAAAAAAATATGATATATTATGTCATCAAAATAATTTTTTATATTCTGATACTAAATACTATTTTTAATTTTTATGAAGAATTTTTTGACACAAGCGATCATCAAAATTTGAACCCTACACGACATTCGAGTTATTTAATTTTGTTACACACATCTACACATATCTCTATTACAAATCTCTTTATAGAAATGTTTGCAAAAAATGATTTCGAGGTAAAACATGCATTAATCCGACAATTATAGTAACAATATTTTAATTCACCCTCTATCTTTCCCACTCTTTAATTTCCTTGCAATCTTAAGAAACAACTGTTCTTCTATATGCACGGACACGATGAAAAGGAAGAACAGAATAGCGTAATATCGTTGAGAAATCGAAATCCATACATGCAACAGAAAATAATCATCATTTTTTGCACTGCCATTAGAGCACAAACCTGCAAAGAATTTAGTTATAGTTGAGCCAAGTATTGAGAAAGTACCCTCTTCCTCGTTAGTGGCAATGCTCGACTTTTCGGAAACTAGTTCTACGTTCAATAAATTCAGTATTCCGCTATCGTCCATATTGAAGTGCGCCTTGACTCCTTTACTTTCGGCGCCTTCTTTAGCGTGCTTCTCTAAAGCTTCGGCTACGCCGTTCAGGGATATGGTAGATATATTTAAATTACCAATAGCACTGTAAAAATACATATATTGTAAGTTTAAACAACAATCTCGAGAAATTTTGAATAATCTTTATTGACTTGCGTTTTTAGTTTGATATAGACAAATAAAAACTAGATACTTACAGTACCTCACTGGACGACAAATAATCCAACTCGGCATAATTCACTTGGAAGTCGAAATCTTCCGTATGCTTGCTGAAAGTAATAATCTTCTTTTGTGGGAAAGGATTCATTCTGCTGAACAATGTTTTTCTCACCTGTGTACAAGAAAGTAAATTAAAATAAAAAAATATATATATATGTTTGATCATAGTATGAAAAATTAAGATATATCTCGAAAATTCATACGGTCGGTACCTGTTTAACTTTATTATCGATAATTCTATCAAATACGATTTGAATCGGGAACACCACGGCGTCTTTTGTAACAAACTTCTTAACTTTGAAACCTTGACTGAGATCAGCTGCTTTATATGCAGCTCCTAGAGCAGCAGCTTCATCTGTATTCACGTTCTTTGACAACTCCGTTTTTACGTACTGAGACAGTCTTTCTTGTACTTTTGGCATTCGTGTACCTGCCCCTACCAATACAACATGTGATATGACATCTATTGCCAAACCTGAAACAATTCAATGTCAAATGTTGAGGAAGTTAGTGACAAAAAAAAACCACAACCATGTTCTACATGATAAAGAGATGTTTATCTAATTCATATACAATATTTACCTGACGTTTCCAATGCTATTTTCACAGGGTGTGCTACACGCTCAAATAGATCAGCGCATATCTCTTCGAGCTTCTCTCTTGTGACTTGCAATCTGAAGTCAATATCATCTATCAGGCTTTCAATCTGTGCAAAGTGGTCTGCATTAGCGCTGAGTACAGTTTTTACACGACCAGCTTCTTTGAAAAGCTTCGCCATTGCTCTCGGGCTCTTAAATACCGAGTTTGATGTCTTCTTTAGAGCATCAAATTCTTTAGCCAAATAATTTTGTAGCCTGATTTGCATCTCTAGTCCACCAAGTGTACGATCGTACCCCACACCTAGTACAGTAACATGAGGATTGGTCTCAATGAAACCCCTGTCTTTCGTCTTCACATTCTGATAACTGACAACTGTCGCAGTAGTGCTGCTGGCACCCATATCGTAAAACATAATGTAATGTGCAGAATCATTTATCTCAGTTCTGCCAAAGACACCATAGTTCAGGGCAACAGCTGTATAATCGTTTATTAGCTGTAACACTTTCAAGCCAGTAAGCTCTGCTGCTTGTATCAAGGCCTTTCTCTCAGCCTGATTAAAGAATCCTGGGACTGTAATAACAGCTTCATTGATTTTCTGATGAACAGAGGCCTCTGCAAATTCTTTGCCCTTGTGCAATATCTGCGCAAGTAATTCCTCTGGGGTATACGTTGTATTCTCATTTAACTTAAATGCTATAGTTTTCCTCTCATCATCAGCAATAATATTGTAATAAGGAAACCTCTTTAAGTAGAGTTGCACTAGGGGATTATCTATGGGCTTCCCTAGGAGATCTAGGATATAGGAATAAGTGTTCTGTGGAAATCGTACACCAATCACTTGGGCATCTTCGCCAAAGGATCTTTCACCATCTCTGAATGCAATCGATACTGGTGTTTTCCTCTTGGATTCTTTATTTAAAGCTATCTCCATAGGGACACCAGGCTGTAAAGTATCATATAACGAGGTATTAACAAATAATTAACTTTTCAGATGCAAAAATACATACGATACATTCAATTAATAAGATTCATCATGCAAAACTGTCAACTGTCTGAAAAGCTCATGTGTGAGTCAAAATTGCTACAAATCTTTTACTTACCGAGACAATACCAACTTTCATCCATTCACTACCAATATCGATGCTCATAACAGCAATTTCCTCACTAATGCCGATGAAAGAGGCGATAAGAAGTAAGGCTAATGATGCCATCGACATACTTTTCCGCGAGAACTCCATCTGAAAGTCAAGCGCATATATATCTTAAAGACAAAAGTATCGCTCCGATTAAGAAAATTAATTTACGTGAACGTGAACTGATTATTGCAAACATATGTTCAATATTGGAAACTATCATGAAATAATAATCATTCGTCCGCTGTATGACAGTCAAATTTGGTTATAAATGCCGGCAGCATTCATAAACCATGCTGTGTAAAATAACACGAATGAATGATGTACGATCACCTTATATTCACGTTTTAGATGGCAAATACGTTACTCCAACGGTAATTATTAGCTGTACACTATTCAGAATACACACTCATGCATTTCAATAACTTTTAAATCAACAAAAAAGCAGAACGTTATAACTCCACCTCCGGTCTTTCACCGAAAGACTATGCGCTGCGCACCATGTGTTGGTGTGGCATATCGCGATTGGTGAAACAACGACCCACCGATCACCCACGTTGGCATGTCAAGAACCAATCGTAATGATTCTCGTCTCTTCGAAAACTTATATCAAGAGAAAACAAGTCACTGTCGCTATCTAGAATCCGTAGAGAAAAATGGACTTGCCCTAGAGACTATAGCTGGCGACACGTCTCTTTTACAAAAGGTTTTTTATGCATGTGAAAGAATCGACCAATCGTAATTCTCCTTCCTCCTTTTGAAATTAATAACACTTTGATTTAAGGGTATGATTTATTTAATTTGAATATATCTATTAAACAATCACTTTGTAATTCTCACAAAAATATAAATTACAAAATAATTGAATAGAGAAAATAAAGTTGATGTGAATTTGTTATATTAACAGTAGAATAATGTAAATATAGAAATGTGAAAAATAGCACAAATTCAAGTGTTTCTAATGACATAGAAATTATTAACACAAGTAATATGTAATTCTATCACATAAAAGTTGCTAATCTAAATTTCTTACTTCTAGATTATAAAATATGCATATGTGTATATTCATAACACATAATCATTATCTGATCTCACAATACCAGTGAATATAAATACATTACTATATATAAGAACATTTATAACATGAATAATTCGATGGCGCTGTAATTGAATTAGTTTTAATATTCGAATATAAGATATATTAATACCATAAATTTTTTCAGTCATGCTTTGCACACTTAATTTGACCATGTAGTAATAAACATATTTCCAACAGACGGTATATGTCTATTAACCCCATTGATCCTCGGATCGGCCAAATTTATATGTCAATGAGCCCAAGAAAATAAACACATTTTGTAGAAACAATCCTACACCAGGCCAATGGTGTTCTACATCTGTATATGAAAATATTATATCAATATGCTTTTATTGCATGATCACAATATGTATATACTTTATTATTACTGCAAGTACCTGCAGCCACAAAGTTGGCAAATAAAATCCAACAGGCTGCTATTACAGCTGCAAATCCCATCACAAATCCAACAAACAGCCAACTCCTAGCACCTCTTGCTCCCAAACAACCTCCATTATAAGCTTCTCCTCTTATCTGTGCATTTGTCACTGAATTTACCCTATAAAATTCATATTTATTTTGATCAATATTATACAATTGGATAATTTAAAATAAAAAATTGCAGAGAAAATATTGATATCACTTACATAAAAAGCGATATAGTACCAAATACTCCACATACATGGTAAGCATTTGCCATTTCATTGGGATATTTTGCATGAGCATCTATTATAAACCACCAGCCTGTAAAAAACTAAAATAATATATCAGTGAAGGGTGTACAAATAACAAGATAAAATATAGAAACACATCACGTATAGAAAAATACTATATCTGTGTGTTATATATTTGTAATATAAAATTAATCTTTGTTTTTAATAGAATTAATTCGACAAAAAATAAAAAAGATAAGAAAACATTATATTTATGATAATGATTTACTCATATTTGCTTATGTATTTAGTACACAAGTGTGTCAATGTAAACTCAGAGATTTACCAATGTGCCAGCAAGTATAGACACTAGTGCGTTTCTCTTTTCGCCACCCTCAAACCACACGCAGGTGGATACTTGCAAACTCTCGAGACAAGATGTCATTTTCTTATAGATTTTGTTAAAACGTACAATTCTTAGAAATCCCAATTAGACAGCTAACCTAAAGAATGACAGGTCGCGCCATATATATGTAAATAATAGAGTGTAAAATGACATATAATTTTGCGGCAATAGTCTCACCACCGATATATTTTTAGGGTGGATTCACATCTTGGCAGAAGAGAGAAACAGACTATCAGCGCGACTTCTGATTGGCTGCTGTCTTTCTGCTTTTTTGTCCAGATATGAATCCTCCCTAACTTATTACACTAGTTCAACAGTGCAGCTAAAAAGAATAGACCAAGGATCTGTTGAACTGCTGCCTGCTGAATTGGTGCATATTGTAAGATCTCTCTCTCTCTCTTTTTCAAGGAAAGGGGTGTCAGGTTGTCCCTTTCTAGAAGATTCTCGATGCTCAAGGATTGATACCAGGATTCTTGTATAGATAAGACGTAGCAGGATGTATCGTACTGCGAAAGGAGTCCAGAAAGGAAATGTATTCTAGTGCTCAGCTTTTCACCAATAAAATATATTTAAACACGAACACGATGAAACTAAAGGCTCGTCTACAATAGCTGTAAGAGTAAGGCTGTAAGGCTGTAACGTAAGCTGTCAGCGAATGAAAATATTTCATTTCGTGCCTTGCAACCTTACAGCCTTAAGGCTCGTCTACAATAGCTGTAAGAGTAAGGCTGTAAGGTTGCAAGACATGAAATGAAATATTTTCATTCGCTGACAGCTAACGTTGCAGCCTTACAGCCTTACTTTTACAGCTATTGTAGACGAGCCTTTACTCTTACAGCTAATGTAGACGAGCCTTTATACTTAATCACAATCTCGACGGATTCGTTAATTCGACTAGTTCTATTAGCTTTTCTCGACAAGACTATTTTCGATTTAACCCTTTCGACGCTCGACAAAGAATCTAACCCTCTCTTTTCGCTCGCCAGAGAATCTCTAATCTTCTTCTTTTTCTCGATAGCGGATTTCTCCTTTTAAGGCTCGTCTACAATAGCTGTAAGAGTAAGGCTGTAAGGCTGTAACGTAAGCTGTCAGCGAATGAAAATATTTCATTTCGTGTCTTGCAACCTTACAGCCTTACTCTTACAGGTAATGTAGACGAGCCTTTATTCTCCTCTTTTCGACAAGCTCGTTCTCTCACGAAGATCGACACATGCGCAGTATCATGACTCTAAAGCCAGCGGCACACGATGCTTGTTTTCGTGCTGGATTGCTTGCTGGATGAAAATACTGCGTTCTGATTGCTGCATTTTCATCCATCTTCGGAAATGTACCAATCAGAACGCAGTATTTTCATCCAGCGAGCAATCCAGCACGAAAACAAGCACCGTGTGCCGCTGGCTTTACAATATACATTTAACGCAATTAATACCTCGTCTACAATAGAAATCATAGAGTCGTAAGTCGTACAAATTGACCAATCGAAGTCGATTATTTTTCTCTTACCGGACTATGATTGGTCAATTTCTATGACTTACGACTCTACGACTTCTATTGTAGACGATCTCTACCGCAGCTGGCGAATGGCGTATGGGTACACCTTTGGTCTGTTCTTTGTAGCTGCATTGCTGAATTGGTGCAATAAGCTAGAATGAGAAAACCTATATTTTGGTCTGTTCTTTTCAGCTGCACTGCGGAACTAGTGCAATAAGTTAGAATGAGACAACTATATTTTTTCTCACTTTAACTTATTGCACCAGTTCAGTAGTGCAGCTGAAAAGAACAGACCACGTGTCTCACTTTAACTTATTGCACCAGTTCAACAGCGCAGCTACAAAGAACAGACCACTTATTACCTAAAGCCATATACCGAACGAACGAACATTTAACGCAAAAATCTTGATTGATGTCATGGAAAATGGCGTGTGGACATTGTTTCGGAACAATCCGGAGTCAAAAATAGAACCAACCAACCAACCTTGATTAATGTCATTCATGACAGGTCTCTAAATACAATATATGCGAATATCTTCGCGATTTATTCATAAATACCACGTAGTGATAACTAAAACTATCAACGCACGATTTTAGTAGTTACGTCAAGTGATTTAATTATGGTCGATTTAGGATTTGCAAAATGCTGCGAATCATGGCGACTGGAGAGTCGATTCTTCCCCTGCAAAGTAGGCGGTAAACCGGCATGGCTCGATTTAAAAAACATTCCCGGTAAAAGTGAACTGGAATGTGATTATTGTGGTGATCCTTGTGTATTTCTATGTCAAATTTATGCACCGTTAAACAATCCCGATACATTTCATAGGACTATATATATTTTTATATGCAGAAACGTGGAATGTTGCAAATCAAATCAGAATGGAAACTTAAAGGTTTTTCGTTCACAATTGAATAAAAACAATATTTTTTATTCACCTGAACCACCCATTGAAGAAAAATATTGGGGAACAGATGTTGGTATATATCATAAAATTATTAACTTTTCCACTGAAAGGTGTGATCACACATATATATATATATATATTATATTGTTTTTGTTTGTTTTTTCCAGATGTGTCAAAATGGGTGAAGACTTGCCACATTTGTGGAATTTTAGCACCGTGCCACTGCTCCAAGTGTAAAGTTATCAATTATTGTTCTCGTATACATCAAATTCATGATTGGAAAAATGGACACAGAGAGACATGCAGTACCAAAGCAGTTAATACAAAGGAAAGATTAATCAAGGACAATGGTATTTTATTTCCCGAATATGAGATTATAATTGACTTTGAAGAAATTGAGAAACCTACTGAAAATGAAGAAAAAGAACTTGAAAAATATAATGCAATGATAAAGAATAACACAGCTGGTACTCTTCAACATGAAGATGTGGTTAATGACTTATCAAAAATAGCTCTTCATGAAAAAGACCAAACATTTTCAAAATTCCGTGTAACAGTTCAGAATCATCCAACTCAGATTATAAGGTATTTTTTGTGAAGAAACTAATCATACTTGTTGATATGTCAATGATAACAATTAATTTATATTTATTAATAGATATGATATAGGAGGGGAAATTCTGTATATTTCATCAGATAATCAAATAACAAATGTCCCAAAATGTCCAGAATGCAATGGCAACAGACAATTTGAATTTCAAGTATGTAGAATTTATTTTTATATAATGAAACAAATTTAAATCATTAGTTTAAGAAAATCATATGTCACATAAAATGTTTACAAATTCATTTATTCTTTCATATATAAATATTAAATATTTCTACATAATTCAACAAGGAATATTTTGTGTGTTTAGATAATGCCACAACTACTATATTATCTTGGGTCAACGGATTTTAAATGCCTTGATTGGGGAATATTGGCTGTGTTTACATGTGAACAATCTTGCAAACCTAACAACAAATATGTGAGAGAATATATATGGAAACAAGATATTGTACAGCAGGAAGGAAGCTCAGAAATAAAACAAAACATATGAATATACTGCTTTTTTCTTAACATTCCTATATTTTACACCAAAATTTAAAAAGTTTGTTTTACCATAGAAAATAATCCATTGGAATGAAATGTGACTATTCTATAAAATAGAATAAAAAAGAAACAAATATTATAAAATTATAAAACAAAATTATAAAAGAGAATAGAACATAAGTTATAATAATAAATAAAAAATTAATGAATGAACAATAAAAAAATAAAGAAACTGTCTATACCTCGTCTGTACATTTGGTCTATAAAAAGAAAAGTATAGCAAAATATATTTAAAAATATATTTTTGTATTTTATAATTATTACTTTTTATGTAGAGCAATCTATAACAAAATTATTATAAATTAATGATGGTTTTAATACACGTGTTAACGTATTAAAATTTATATATCTTAAAGAATACAAATTTATCCTATATAATATATTATTATTGTTATATTTGGAAGCTCTGTGAAGCTGGCACCCCCAAATTCGAATTTTCATAAACCACAAGTAGCGTTTGTCCACGATTTGTCCACATTTGTTCAACATAAATTTTCATTTGTCCACCTCTCAAAAAAAAGTTATGAGCAAATAAAAATTTTGACACCATCACCCCCATGAAAATATTTCTTCAATTTCAAAGCACCATTAGATTGTCCACGAGTTGTCCACGTTTGTCCAACAAAAATTTTCATTCGTCCATCTTTCAAAAAAAAGTTATGAGCAAAAGAAATTTCGATATCAGCACCTCCATGAAAAGATTTCTTCAATTTCAAAACACCGCTGGATTGTCCACGATTTGCCCACGTTTGTCCAACCAAAATTTTTGTTTGTTCCCCTTTAAAAAAAGTTATAAGCAAATTAAAAAATTGAAAGTATGCGGAAGAGGAGGCGCCCCAGATACGAATATATATAAAAATTAGCAGGGATTCGTTCGTCCACGATTTGCCCATATTGATCCAACTAAAATCTCCATTTGCTCACCTTGTAAAATATAGTAAAATATAGTAAATAAAGAAAATAAGAAAAAGCAATTTGCTTACAAGAACACTTTTCTGAAAATTAAGCACAGCAATCGTTTGTCCACCCGTTGTTTTCGTTTGTCCACACAAGGGAATCGAGTAATTAACAAAAAGAAATTGAAATACATAACGGCAACCGCTCTATGTAATGTGATAAAGTTTTCTGTAGATTGGGGTTTGGAATCGTTTGTCCACCCACTGCTTTCGTTTGTCCGCGCATCATTGTCGTTTGTCCACCCAAGGGAATCGAGTAATTATAAAAAAAAATTAAAGAACTTGACTATAACCGTTCTATGTACATGTGTCAAGTTTTCTGTAGATTGAGGGTTGGAATCGTCTGTCCACCTTTTTTTGTTAATTACTCGATTCCCTTGGGTGGACAAACGACAATAATGCATGGACAAACGAAAGCAGCGTGTGGACAAACGATTCCAACCCTCAATCTATAGAAAACTTGACACATGTACATAGAACGGTTATAGTCAAGTTTTTTAATTTCTTTTTGTTAATTACTCGATTCCTTTGGGTGGACAAACGAAAATAATGCATGGACAAACGAAAACAACGGGTGGACAAACGATTGCAGTGCTTAATTTTCAGAAAAGTGTTCTTGTAAGCAAATTGCTTTTTCTTATTTTCTTTATTTACTATATTTTACTATATTTTACAAGGTGAGCAAATGGAGATTTTAGTTGGATCAATATGGGCAAATCGTGGACGAACGAATCCCTGCTAATTTTTATATATATTCGTATCTGGGGCGCCTCCTCTTCCGCATACTTTCAATTTTTTAATTTGCTTATAACTTTTTTTTAAAGGGGAACAAAAAAATTTTGGTTGGACAAACGTGGGCAAATCGTGGACAATCCAGTGGTGCTTTGAAATTGAAGAAATATTTTCATGGGGGTGATGGTGTCAAATTTTTATTTGCTCATAACTTTTTTTTGAGAGGAGGACAAATGAAAATTTGTGTTGGACAAATGTGGGCAAATCGTGGACAAACGAATGCTACTTGTGGTTTATGAAAATTCGAATTCGGGGGTGCCAGCTTCACAGAGCAGTATTTAGAGTGGTATTTAGACATAGTCCAATCTTGTATTTAAGATTGTCTTAATTTCATCTTTGAATGCTTCACAGTCAATGAAACAGTTTCAGGATTTTTTAGTGAAAATATAAAATGTAATTTTCAAAACAAGATTTTTACAATAAATCTTATTTTATAAGACAATTAGAAAAAAGTATATCTAAATATAGAAAGATCAAATTCCCAAAATTTCAATTTACGACTTGTTAAAACTATGAATTTAGATATTATTTCATTATATAACTTAACTATCATGCAGCCATATGACTAAACATAACATAAATCATGTCCATAACTTATTTAGTACACTTAATGTGAACTGTTAAAAATACAAATTATAAAAAATATCGATATTACTTAAAATATAAATAGTCTATAATCATATAACATAAATTATGTGGAATGATTAAGATTACACAATTATTCTACACCAACAACTACTCAAATGTCACAAATTTATTATTCGAATAAAAATATTCTATTATTGAGTAAAAGCTGCTGTTTAGGAAGTAAGTCCTCTAAATAGCAGTTTTACTTTTTTTATTATTGTTCAGTCAATATTTCAATAATTAAGATTTAAATATTAAGTCTTTTTTACGTAATTAATGCAATTTCATGGCTGTTACAAAAATAACAAACAAAATATAAGATTTAGTAGCTATAGAACTTTATACACTATTTTGTTGATTGTATTGATTAACAAGATGCAATTCATCTAATATCATTGCGCTTTTTTTACAGTATTCTTTGAAATTTCTAAGCGTTAAAGCTGGCACAACTCTTGTTATATTGAATGAAAAATCAAATGGATCTTGCACGCATATAGGCGAGTCAACTCGAAAAGAATTTCTTAAAGATAAGTTATTTAAATGTTGTTCTATACAGGGTTTTATACCTTCGGGAATATACATATCGTGAGATATCAAGAATGACTTATTATATCCTTCACCTAAGAACGGACATATAACGTAAGACATGTAATTGAATTCTTCATAATATCTGAAAAAACCTAACAACAATTCATGCATCGGCAATTTCGGTACATCGATAGCGATACTGTGATCGACACCAATTTTCCAGCCTAAAATAAAACAAGATGTATCAATTTTAAATTAATGTATACTTTCTAACATATCTTATATACTGCATATACAGAATCTATATTATTATCACAATATATTGCTATATTTACCTTCAATAATCTTTGATTCATTATAGCTCTTGATCAAAGAGGCAATGCTTGGTATTCTGTGGTTAACTTGCAAATAAAAAATAACTAACCAGGTGAGAGCATAATTTGTTATTTTGTGTGATTCGATGAAGTTACATAACTGCATCCATTTTTTAAGAAACAGCACCATTTTTCGAAAGGGCAAGTATGCTTCATTAATAAATCTGAAATTAAAATATCTCATAAAACATATATATATATGTATATATATATGTATATATATATATATATATACTATATACAGTTTATATAACTTCTCAAAAGTAAAATGACAAAAACAATTAACAATTCATACTTAATAAACTTGGAATTTTCTATGGACAGGCTATTCATATAGGAAACATGAACATCGCACTGCATTCCCGTTGCCATGTGTTTCAATTTTATTATGGGAGTTCTGGTATGCTCCAAGATTTCTTCTATTTTCCAAATATCACAATTAGCATGAAAACATTCTTGCATTAATTTCTTTTTACTTCTACTAGATTCACTAGATTCTGGATGAGTATGCTCATTACCTATTATAAAATATAAACTTTATTCTATTATCATAAATATATCTTGAATATATCATACTACTCAGATATATAACAAATTATATTTACTAAAATCAAGACATATGTCAATGTTGCTATTTGACAATGATAAGCCAGTGTATCTTGAACCAAACAAATGCACTTCTACCGCAGAAAAATGATGTGATTTTAAAGTATACTTTAAATCCCTGATGACTTGATCTGTATTCAATTTGTCCGATAGATTTCTCGATATATTAAACAAAATAGTAATATTTCCGTCGATATGTTCCAATAATTTTTTTACTTCAAGCGGTAGTGGCTTAATCATGAAGTCTTCACTGTTTTTTAAGTACCAATGTATTGGATTTGAATAATGTGACGAGTGTGAAAATTCCCCACCATCAAACCAGAGATTAGCGCATGTTAAACAAAAGTCAAACTGTTGATTATTCTTAGTAGATACGATGAATGAATGTTCTTTGTGGAGATGATTTATAAATCCTGTTTTCCCCTTAAATCTCCTTTTGCATGGCACACAAGCGAAATACTCAATAGCATAATAGAGATAATAAGGAGATCCAATTGTCTTCTCCAACAAAATATAATAAGACTTGATTTGTACCAGTAATTTATCATAATTCTTTCGATGTAATATATGATTTATATGTGCGTTGATGCTGACCATATCTGGAGCTATCGCTTTATTGCAAGGGTGACATTTGATATGTTCAACCTGCTTGCTCATCAAGTGCTCTAATAAACTTAATTTTTCATTTGACAGCTGTTGAAGCTGTATGAAGTGTTTTGGGCTAGAAACATGGTTAGACCATATTCCTACATCAAGATAATGTGCAACATTACACACTAGGCAAGTAATGGACTGTGGTACCGTTAGATTGGCAGATGGAATATAAAACTTTAAATTTGTTTGGATCTTTATCAACTTTTGTTGATGGCAAGAGAAGATAATCTCTTCATAAAGAAAATGATCTCTTTTATATATTTCCTCAATCCAAGAGTTACATGTATCCTGCATAACAAGATAATCCTGTCTACTTTTTGTTATACATATTTCATTGAGCAAATTATCCATTTCGTTGTATATATTGGGAGACATAAATAATCCAGGTGTAGAAGCCTTATTTTTTAATAAAGTTATATCCTGTCTACTAATATCATCCGCAACCACAGAAATGTGAGAATTATTAATGCGCTGTATTTTCTGTATTTCCTCCTTTAATTTAACTGATAGTTTATCAATTAATATATCCATAGTATTAATTAGAGCTTGTGTTTTATTTATACCAACTGCTTTCAATATAGATATACTACCTGTATCTGTAAAAATTATAAACAAAACTTTTAGATACTTTATCTTCTTTCAATTATTAACATGAACATATGTCAATTTGCATTTATCCAGAGAAAATGAATATGTAAATAAATTTAATTTGTAGATGTCTTAATAAATATCACATTTGTCTGTATAATTTTGCTGTTAACTTTAAGAAAATTGTTTAAATAATTAACAAAAGATTTTAATTAATTTTATATATTTTCATGCTATCTGTAACTTCAGTACATCATAGATATTAATTAAATAAAAAAATTTATTTATTCAATTAAAAAAATCAACGTTTTTTATTCTTTAAAAAAAATTTAAAGAAAAATAATTTATAAAATATTGATTCTTACAAATATTTAGTACTAATTAAAAAAGAAACAAAAACTGTATTTGAATTCAATAGAACCTGATAATATACAGAGTATAAAAAAAGAAATTTTAATAACATCATATATTATTTTGTTTATAGAAATAATCTAATTAACCTATCATTGTTTTTATTTAAAAAAAAATACAAATGGTCCTTTGTGAAGTTTTCTAAAAAAAAATTAATGAAAAATTTTAATCAAATTATCTTTTAATCTTTTAATTTATATATATTGCTTTAAATTAACAGAAAATAGATTTTTCTTACAAACATAACAATAACAAATAACAAAAACTAGTTTCTGCTTTACTCTGAAAATTAATTGAAAGATCTTTGATTTTTACTTTCACATTGTTTTTCCACAAAGCAATTTGATTCTTCCAACAATATTGTTAAAGTTCTTACATTAATGAAAATAATTCTACTTACCAGTACTAGCTTTCTTGCCTATTTTATGTTTTTGATCTTCTAAATGCTTCTTAACATGGTCAAAACCAGTTATCAGACATTGACAAATTAAACAAAAGAAATCTTCTGGTAAATCATTTAAAACAATTCCATCATATATGAATTCACCACATTGCATACTTGTCATATAAGGAGAATTATTAAGAAATTTTAACATTTGCTCTGTAGTAACATTTTGATCTAAATGAATCTTTTGGAAATGAGATTTTGCCTCTGCACGGTATGATAATATCGATTTGCATAGATAACAATACCATTGTTCATTATAATGTGCCACACGCTGCGCCATTAGCTGTTGATGCATTTTCTAGGAGGATTAAGTTTTCACAATGTAGATAAAACACAATTTTCTACAAGATAGCTGTTTGATTAAAATAATCGAGACTTAATTATACAAGATTAATGTACCCGGTCACAACTATATTATAATAGTTCTTAATTTCTAATTTATTTTTCAATTTACATTGTTTGCGTTCAGTAGAACAAAGGGTGCATTCAGTACTACCAGGGGGTACAAGCTCCCCTCTTAAGCCAGCGGCACATGGTGCTTGTTTTCGTGCTGGATTGCTTGCTGGATGAAAATATTGCGTTCTGATTGGTGCATTTCTATTCATTTTCGAAAATATACCAATTAGAACGCAATATTTTCATCTAGCAAGCACTCTAGCACGAAAACAAGCACCGTATGCTGCTGGCTTTAGAGGGTTTTTGGAGCGTCACCATATGTACCGGAACTAGTGGAACTAAAATGGGTCACGTGATACAGAGTGGGGATACGCGCTACATTGAAATCCAGTACACATATACAGGGTGTCTCAGAACTTTAGGACACGGGCTCCGTAGGGACATAGAGCTAAAACCAGCAACAAGATGGATGGAAATGCACCAATCAGAACGCAGTATTTTCATCCAGCAAGCAATCCAGCACAAAAACAAGCACCGTGTGCCGCTGGCTTAACTCTATGTCCCTACGGAGCCCGTGTCCCAAAGTTCTGAGACACCCTGTATATAAATATAAGGCCTGTTTTTTTCGCTGCACTGCTGCACTGATGCAATAAGTTAGAGTGAAATTTCTCACTCTAACTTATTGCATCAGTGCAGCAGTGTAGCGAAAAAGAACAGGCCTTATATTTATATATACAGGGTTTGTCAAAAGTGTGGATACCCTTAAATAATTTTTGTAAAAATGAAAATATCAAAAAATGGTAAAACACGTATTTTGATTTTTCAAAAAAGCTACCGTATGACATGGATACCGATTATTCCCCACCTCCTGGTACGCGGGGGTAAAAGGGGGTTGAAAATTTTTAATTGGACTAAGGGTCGAGTGGGGGCTTATTTGAAAAGGTTTTTCATAACAAACACACCCTTAAAATTTTAAGTCGCTACGACCCCCCCATTAAAAATGGCGGCCGTTCAAATTTCGAAATTTCATGCACTTAGTGCTATCCAGGATCAACTGCGTGGAAGTGGCATGAATCTGATCCCTTGTGTGTGTGTGTATGTGTGTGTGCGCGCGCGTGTGTGTGTATGTGTGTGTGTATGTGTGCGTATGTGTGTACGTGCGTATGTGTATACGTGCGTATATGTGTGCGTGCATGTGGCTAAACAAGTGTGAATGTGTTGTATGTATAGTCGTGATAAGTTGCAAAACAGACGATTGAAAACTGTCATCTCTCTTTAATGATTCAAAACCTTTTACTCCGTGTTTTAAAATAAATTTTACTCAGTGTGTTAAAGTAAATGCTGAAAGTGGCTGCCATTTACTTCCTGACAATATGCCAATCTTTGATAGAATGCAGAAATGGCTCTACGATTCGTCTCAAAAGGTATCAAATCTATTTCATCTCTTATTCACTGTATCAATTCTTGGATGCTTTCAAGTTTTGTTTTGTAAACCTTACTCTTCAGATGTGCCCATAGATAATAATCAAGAGGAGTTAGATCTGGTGACCGAGGTAGTCAATCCTCTCCTCCCTCATTTCTATTCCTTTTTCCTATCCATCGTAATGGAAAAGTCTCATTTAAAATTTGACGTGGCCCTAAACCAAAATGAGCAGGAGCTCCATCATGCTGAAACCATATTTCTTCGAAATTATTTGGAAAAATATTTCGTATGGCTGGAATTATTTGATTTACAAGTAATCTGTCATACCTTTGAGCGTTCAGATTTTCTTAAAAAAAAAAAAACGGTCCTATTAAGTAGGTATCTATTATTCCACATCATACATTTATTTTTTGTGGGTATTGTGTGTGAGTTTCCCGCATCCAATTCGGATTCTCATCTGACCAGAAACGAAAATTTTGATTATTAACTTCTTCCGTTAACGTGAAAGTTGCCTCGTCTTTAAAAACAATTTGATAAGGGAACATGGGCCGGACATCTATGAGTGTCATCATTCTTTCACAGAAACCTATACGACGCTCCACATCTCCGTCTTGCAATTCTTGAACATATTGTAATTTGTATGGATGGAACTTGTTTTTCTTTAAAATTCTCCAAACGGACTTGGGAGCAATATCGTGAGTTTAAGCGGCTCTGTTAATAGTAGAATTGGGACCTTCAATAAATGTCTGCAGAACATCAAGTTGTTTTTCTTCGTTAATGGCAGATCTCTCTGATTTAGGGCGATTGTTTACGCTACCAGTTTCTCTGAAATGTTCCATTGTTTTTAAGACAGTGGACTTATTAATTCGACGATTCGGATACGTATCATTAAATAATTGAGCGACAGCAGCGTACGACCGCTCATTATCATCCCATCCACGCATCATGAGGATAGTGATTCTTTCACGTTCCGACAATTCGCCAGCCATTTTTAAAATGTTTAATTTTTAATCTGCCTAAGGTCTGTGAGAACTGATTTTAAGTAGCAGTGAGAACAACTGATTTTAAGTAGCCGGTTAATTCTGGCCCAACGAGAAATGACTTATCGAAATGATATCAAATCGACATCGAAAACGTATATCGGAAACTAATTGATAAAAGCATCGATTTTGATTTATTTATGTCACACCTTTCGATGAATTTACGACGGGATAATGAATCGATTTCGATTCAATAATGACGCGATTTCAACTTATTAATGATTCGATTGCGAGTCACTAATGATTTAATTTCGACGCATCAATAATTCTATTTCGACTGAATATTGAGTATCTATTCTATATAATGGTTTTGCCTAACAGTCAAAATTTTGACAGAACCTGCTGACATGCTGTGCTACCAAATTGACAGCAGAAACTAAATAGCAATTTGATATAGCAATTTGATAGCAGATTAGAGGCAGAAATTGAACAAATTATGTAACAACGTAAAAATCTTTACGCCGTTACGCTGACTGCCGCCTAACAGCACGCGGCAGTCAGCTGAGCGCACACCCCCCGACCCGCGCTGATACCGCGCCTAAACGTCGCACTCAGCCGAACATGCCCGACCACCAGGCAACGACGCTCGGGCACGGTCGGCCGCCGAGCCGAGCGAGCGGCACCGCCGAAGCCATCTTCGGCAAACGCCGCATAATCACGATTAATTCCGATTAAAAAGCGGAATTATCTCCGATTAAGGGCGAAGAAAACCGAAGCTCCAAAATCTCGGGTATATAATCCCGGCAGATTTTGACGAAAGGGAAGTCTCCAGAGTTCCGTCTCCGCAGATAGTTCTTTCCGAGAGAGGATCAACCGAGAAGCTCCTGCCGAATTCGTAAGTTAGTTACCAGGCCGTCCACGACGGTGATTACTAGTACCTGTTCTTTGCGATCGTGTGATCGTGCGGCGAGTGTGCCGTCTCTCCGGTGAGTTTTCCGGAACGATCACCCGTTATTGTGCCGTCTATTGCGATAGTGAGATCGCGCGGCGAGTTTGCCGTCACTCCGGTGCGTTCTCCGGAACGATCTCACATTATTATACTGTCTTTTTGCGATCGTGTGATCGTGCGGCGAGTTTGCCGTCCCTTCGGTGAGTTTTCCGGAACGATCACCCGTTATTGTGCCGTCCCTTTCGATAGTGAGATCGTGCGGCGAGTTTGCCGTCACTCCGGTGCGTTCTCCGGAACGATCTCACATTATAGTGCTGTCTCTTTGCGATCGTGTAATCATGCGGCGAGTTTGCCGTCGCTCCGGTGAGTTTTCCGGAACGATCACACGTTATTGTGCCGTCTATTGCGATAGTGAGATCGCGCAGCGAGTTTGCCGTCACTCCGGTGCGTTCTCCGGAACGATCTCACGTTATTGTGCCGTCTCTATTGCGATAGTGAGATCGCGCGGCGAGTTTGCCGTCACTCCGGTGCGTTCTCCGGAACGATCTCACATTATTTTTTCTCTATTTCATAAAATAGGACCCCGGGAAGGCAAGAGCTGATCAGCTAGGATTTAGCACATCAACCCAGCGCGCAAGGAATACTCACGTCGCCCGCACCCCTCGACCACCAAGGCGGTCGACACTGCGGCCGAGGACAAAAACGAGCGCGACGTGTCGCGACGCGTTCTTGTACCGGTTTTTGCGACCCGTCGTCAAGTCGCGTGCCGAATCATCCAAACTCGAGCTTTAAATCACGGCGGAAACACCAGCAGCGCATATTATAGGTTCGGGGCGCACACCGCGCGATCATTAATCGGTGGCTCCACACTCACCGTCTGTATGAATCAAGCGCCGCACGAGATGCTTGCGTAATTAAGCATCAAGCAAATCGCTCACTCACAACTGTGACCCCGCGTGGATCGTAGCGACCGCGGAAACAACTCGCACGATCACCAAACACCCAAACATTGGGATGTCGCGTCGCGGCACGCGGTCGTAACGTGCAAATAAAGACTTATTGTGTTATACTTATTTGTCTTCTATTATTGACACGCACACATACACACACCTTCACCTAAAAATCTCTCCTGTGGTCGGCTCGCAAACAACGATCCAATCCACAGGGTCGGATCAACCCGAAAAACCGAGCCCGGAGGCGCGACCGTTACAATTATGTATGGGACATGATTAGTTTCTGCCACAAATCTGATGTAGAATCATATCAGTATGCTGCAGACAAAACATGAGCTTAGTAAAGACATGAATGGTTATGGTTTTATTGTGAAATTATCACATTTATAACTAATCTGCTAACATAAAGTCAACATAAAGCTAACATAAAGTCATTCTGTTCACTGAGTATTTTGCATTTAGGTTAGATTACCCTATTTGTTACAAAAGGTTGTTATTAAATTTCGAATAAAGTAAATAATATTTATTCTAATAAATAAATAAGAAAGAGAAAATTGTAATTAAAATAAGTGAGAGGGTGAGATTTTATTAAGAGATGAAACAATCTAGCTTTCATAAAATATACTTACCGCTGGTTCTTCCATAATGATATATTACAGTATTGTTCGTCACTTATATCCGTCATTATCAATAATATAACGTTAATGTAATAATTTAATATTTCAACGGTTGTTGCTGGATGCAGAATGTAAGTCGATGTCCCATGAACAGAAATTTTCAGCGGAATGGAACGTGCGAACCAATCACAGCCACTCCATTCTTTTTACGAAGAGAATGGCTGTGATTGGTCTGCACGTTTCGTTCCGCTGAAAATTCCGTCCATGGGACATATTGGTCTAATTAGAGATAATGCCCGAGATTTTAAATTTATTTCGATATATGTTATATGATATTTTTTTAAGAGAAAGATTATGTATAACACATATTCATCGTCAGATTCTTAGATATGGCAAATTATGTATTTCTTTTTGCAAAGACATCGATATTATATCATTTAGATATCGATTCGATTTTATTTTGAGATTAGATTCTTAAAATATTAATATTTTGGAAAAAATATATATAACTTGCCATATTTGAGAATCTTAACGATGAATACATGTTATAAATAATCTTTTTCTTAAATAATATCATAAAGCATAAACATCGAAATAAGCTTTACATTTCGACATTATTTTGATAAGATGTAATTTCGATTATTTCGACGTCAATTCGACATCGATTTGATGTGTCATTTCTCGTTGGGGGATAACACTAAGTGCATGAAATTTCGAAACTTGAACGGCCGCCATTTTTAATGAGGGGGTTGTAACGACTTAAAATTTTAAGGGTGTGTTTGTTATGAAAAGACCTTTCAAATGAGCCCCCATTCGACCCTTAGTCCAATTAAAAATTTTCAACCCCCCTTTTACCCCCGCGTACCAAGGGATGGGGAATGATCGGTATCCATGTCATACGGTAGCTTTTTTGAAAAATCAAAATACGTGTTTTATCGTTTTTTGATATTTTCATTTTTACAAAAATTATTTAAAGGTTTCCACACTTTTGACAAACCCTGTATATTAAGCGTGTAATAACTCATATAGCAATTAAAAATAATTACAATGAATTTTATGCATCAAATTTTTCCCATCCCACTTGCAGACTGCGGACTGTCAGATACTCTTCTGCCATGTACCTGGTGTGGTTAAAAAAATTGGATGCACTAACAACCTGCATCATATATGTGCATCACTACACAAGCATTCACACACTCACTCTTAACATCGATCTACAATAAATTATTAAGGTATGTAACATTTACAATAGTAACGTACAACATATAAAATAAAAACATGTAGCGAAACATGAAAAAATAAGATATATAAACATACTACATATTCACATGCATTCAGAGACAAATTTACAAACGTACGACATGCATTCAGAGACAAGTTTATCCACTGAGTACAAATCGTCTTTCCTCTTCAAAGGCATACCTTCTATATAGAAAGCATGACTTCTTCGAATTGGATTTATACACATATTCATTCATACAACCCTAAAAGATGAAATAAACAAATAAAGGCAGATAGCAGTAAATAAAACAATAACAGAAAATTAAAACTTATATCAGTTAAATTTCTTATAATGAAGTGTTCGCGTCGAGAAGAAGCGAACGAACGCCGGGAGCCGCTTCGAACGAAGCGCGGGAGTGGACGGTAGAGCCCGGTGGAGCTTTGGGCCTCATTTTAGGCAGTTGGCCCCTAGGATGCACAAGGCTGGACTGGCGGTAGCCAGTCTAATGTGCGCATAAGGAGGCCCAGGTTGGAGGGCTGTACGTAAGTGCGGTGCTCTCGATCGCTCTGTACGGTGCCAATATGGGCGCCTCAGCTCCTGGCCAGTGGCAGCGGAAAACGCTTGCTGCGGCAGGCCTTGAGGCCTGTAATGATCAGAGGCCGCGTTCAGTAGAACAAAGTGATCAGAGAGCGCTTAGTGATTATTGTCTGTGATTGGAGCATTCTTTAAGATTCTTCATAGACCCAGAAGTATTTACCAATCAGGAGCGAGATTCAGTGGAAAATCTAGTAATGTTGTCCAACTGTTGAGTCTGCTGAATGCAGCCTTTGTTCTACTGAACGCGACCAATGGCTGCGTTCAGAAAACACAACGATTACACAACGGTTGAGTAATTCGTCAACGTTATTGATCTGAATGTAACGATCTAACAGTAAGGACCAATAGTTACTAAGCGCTCAGTGAGCGCTTTGTTTTCTGAACGCAACCAATGAGCGCTCGATTAGCACTCTAAGTCAATTTACTAGATGCAAAACTTCCTAACTACTTATAGTGAGCGCTTGAGATTAGAAATTTCAGTTGGTAATTCTGTCAGATAACCGTTGGTTAGATTAGGCGGAGCTTGATGAAAGTTACCCTTAAGGGAAAATTACATGATAGCCAATCTCTCTTGGTGAAGTGATTTTATACATCTTCTTTTGGAACGCCTGTGGCGTAATCACCTGTGTGTGCGGAAGTGACAGTAGCAGAGCCAGTGCACCTCTGTGCCAACAACCATTTTGCTACGTGTCATGTACACAAATCTAATTTGTACGAGCGACTGACAACCGTGTCTCTGTCTTTCCAGACTCTTTTTCACATCTGTTCGTCTCGAGCGTCCAAGGTATCCCGACGCTTCTTGAATGTTCACGATAAAACTGAAACAAATTTCACACGATTTTCATTTGTTTCGCTTGAACGGCACAAACGAAAGGTCACATAAACGTTAATGCCGAAACGCGACAAAGAACATATGCGTGATGAATACGTTTGTTCTGCAATTGTTTATACTTGAGTAAAGATATGCGCGGACTTTCTATTAGAACTGAAAACTTGTTGATCGCTTTGGTACTACGTAACATTGAAATCTTCTTCATTCTTCCAATAATTAAATCTTAGCACAAAGAAGTAAGAACAATTCTCTCTCCCAATTGTTCTTATTTTTTTATTATATATATATTTTACATATTGTATGTAATCAGTGGAAATTCAGCTAACTCCAGATTGTACAGATTTGACATTAAATGTTTTGTACTATGTTATTTGTTTTAACACTAATTTTATAAATTTACAGCAACAAAATCATGCGGCAGTTAAAAGGCAAGACGAAAGAGACAAATAAACAGAAGAAGGAACGGAAAAAGGAATTTCTAGAGAACAAGCAGAGAGTGTTCACGGTTGTGTTGCCCACCATAGCTGCGATATTTGTGATAATAGCAGTGTATGTTTATGTTAAAACCCGTCCAAAACTCATCGATGAATATTAATGGCATACTTCACATTTATCATTCATTGAAACAAAATGTATGCATATTTCAACAATAATGCGTGGACAATTCCTAGTTGCATTTTCACAGGCATATGAAGATTTTTCTAAAAGAAGGCACATTCCATCATTCTCCCTAAAATACCTTGTACCTAAATCGTTTTAGAACAAAACAGACTTGGCAGATTAGTTATTTGATTTGATAAAAGGATATTTTTTAAACCTGAGAATTACGAAATATTAAGATACAATTATCAGATAAGACAGGAGGTGCAATGTTTTCTACAAAAGCAGGCAACACAATATATAAGAAGAGTTAAGATATTTATATTACTATAATAAAATTTATTAACATTGAAGTAACTATATTAATTTATGTCTTCCTCAATTCTTTTTCATATGTATACTTTTTTATGCATATTGTAAAAATGTAAAATGACAAGTATGGAATTGCATTGTATATTCTTTACGATCAGTATTTATTTTTTATGTATAAAATATCTATGAAGTTCATATCTATGAAATGCAAATTTCAATAATTGTTAAATCAAAGTGGAGAGTATCATTGGCCTGTTAAGCATTTAAATAATAAATATGGGTCCAATGTAGTACAGAAATATATTTGTATATAAACAATATTGTTGTATTGCATTTTATTTATGTTCCCTGCATACCTATTTTGTGATCTTTTAATAACAATATTGCTATAATTTGTTTTAAAGAATTCTAAATTCAGTTGGAACTTACTATTAATGTACTAAACAATAATTTTTAACAATAACTTTAAACAATAATATTTGATATGATGTGTTACAAAGTATTACACATTTTTCCTTTAATATGAAAATTTATCAATTTGTTTTTCTTGAATGTATTTGGACCGATAATATGCCCATGTGCTCAATGCTCTTCTTAAAATTTCTTCCCTCAAGACCTTTGAAATATTCATTTACTAAGGACTTTATCTTTTCATCCAACAAAATCTCCAGCCAGAAATTTTTTTAGGTTGAAGATAGAAATTGAAAAATGCTGAGTTTAACATGAATAAAGTGTAATGTGACTGACAATTACTTCGACCTTGAACTTTTCCAATTTTTGAATCGTCACTATTTATATACAAATTTATGATAGAGCTTAATATTATTATTAAGTTTTATTAACGTACAGATCTATCTATATTACGAATTCGCAACCATTTTCCATCCTGCTCTTGTATATGTTAACGAGATAGAAGAAGTCAAAGTTTCTTTCGTTAAATTATTTGCTTATGCTTGTACCGCGATAACACGATGCAGACACGTGGATCACACCAATAAGAAATTGACACGTTTTACGCCCCTGTGTTATTCTCCCGGCGTTGCTTCCTCGCTAGTTTTCATTCCGTCATTTATCGTCAAAATAATTACGATGGAATACGTGGTGCTCCGTTTATCTCTTTTAAATATTATGATATTTTTGCTTCACATAAATTATATCCAAGGTATTTTGCATTTATTCTGTAAAAATACAATTATCTATTCGCATATACCGATAGGTTATATTATCGCTGTCACTATATATCTTATATATTATAGTTATTTTATTAATTTGTCGCATATGAAATTTATTTTTCTTATGTATACTGTTATTTATTACTGATTAATTGTATATTTGTCTTATCTTATTTTTTAATCAATATTACGAGTATCTTCAACTACAAAAATATATGTGCTATGTAATTGATGATTTTGGACACTTACTTAATGTAAAATAAATATAAAACAAAAAATTATATGCATTTTTCATTATGCACATCAATTTTATTAAAATACATTATATTTTGTAGCTAAGGGAGCACACCATGTAACCTGTGGTTCTTTGGTAAAGTTAATGAATATAGATTACAACTCGAGACTACATTCCCATGATGTAAAGTATGGAACTGGTAGTGGACAGCAATCAGTAACAGGTATTGAGGTCAAGGATGATAATAATTCCTACTGGCTTGTTAAAGCTGAATCTGGAAAGACATGCACACGAGGGTAAACTGTACACGAGCTCACAGCTATTTTTCTAATCTATATTATATATTAATCCACAAGTTTTTATAATTAGAGTTCTATATTTTTTTTGTTTTTAATAGGGAACCAATCCAATGTAATAATATTATCAGATTGGAACACAGTGCAACAAAAAAAAATCTTCATTCGCATCTTATTTCTTCACCTCTGAGTGGAAAACAAGAAGTATCGGCATATGGAGAAAAAGGAGAAGGTGATAGTGGCGACAATTGGATGGTGATCTGTTCAAATAATTTCTGGGAGAGAGATGATGCAATTATGTTAAAACACATTGAAACTAATATGTAAGTATAAACTTTTTTATTATATTATTATATACACATGTTAATTTTTTTCTGCAAAAATTTAAATGGAAAAAAATTCTTTTTACAAGATATTTCATCTAAAATCTAACATTAAGATTCAAATCTGATATGTAAGTTTTAATATGTAAACTATATGTTTAGATATTTATCTATCAGTGGCAGAGTTTATGGTTCTCCAATTAGTGGACAAATGGAGATAGTGGGCGAGTATTCTTCAAGTCCTCACACACAATGGAAAGCAATGGAGGGTATGTTTATTCATCCCACTGACTTCAAAGCACAGCATCATCATCATACAGAATTATAAACTTCGTAGCAAAAACTGTAGACTTGATTTATAAATGAATGCGTAAGTAAATTACTGGGCATATAATTAAAAACTACAATTCTTTTAACAAATAATTATTCAACCATGTTACATATTAAATAAAATTTTTCCTCTTACAGGGCCAGTTCATCTATTATAAAACTCGACTTTCATGAATATTATATTAAAATCAATATCTAATTTGTTTAATATCGATATAAACTTGATTAGACATTAATGATTTATATTTATTGATTATTATCTGTTTAGTACAAATTGAGTTTTTCTTAGCAATTCCAAGTAATGCAATAATTGTGAGAGGTGTTCACATCTATGTTCTATCGTGTATGAATGCATAAATGTGTTGTACATATTATTGATACATTGTAATAAGCTGATACATATATTTAAGGAGCGTATATGTATTGAATACAATCTTCGTTTATTCATTATTATTGACTAGAATGTCGTTTTACACTTCCTTCAATTCATATTTACCATTAATATCTCTCGTACCTATAAGACCATTGTATGGGAAAATAATATTCGAGAGACCATAGCTTCCGAAAATCTCTCTTAAATTTTGCTTTCCCGTTATATTTGCATAACGTTGTTTGCCAGTCAAACAACTATGTAACTTCCAAATGCCATATACCAAACAGATACATAAGATTGTAATTAGCATGTCGAAAATAGTGACGAGCAATATACTAGAACCATCTCGAGAGTGCAGCAATCGAGCCAGTGCAATGGGAAAGCAGAAGTTCAGAAATATATTGAAGTAATCTGCGTCACTTTTCACTATATGATTAATGTTCTCATACATATATGGTGCGATAACACACAGGGAGTATAGACATGTCAATGAGGTATAAAAGCAGAATAATATGAAATTCCCCATGTTCTGACGCAGCACGCAAGCACCTAAAAAGAAGCAGTGATGATCTTTGAAGTGAAAACATTTACGACAAAAGATACAATGCTGCGTCGGCTTGCACATGTAACTCTCACAGCGTTCACAATGCCAAAATTTGTAAGCTGTGTTATGAGCTGTTAATTGTGTCACACTTAGCTCAAGTTTGCTCTGTGTTGTCACATCGCACAAATTATTCCGTACTTCCTTGACCTTCATTGGATTAGATTTGTAGCTGATACTGTATACAGAATACCAGTTCAGATATACTTGCATACAGAGGAAGATGAACATAGGAGAGATCTTCTGGTTGATATAAATTGTAATAACAATAACAAACACAGTGCATACTAATGTCACTAAAGGACACAGTTTTTTAACAGTCTTTATGCAAGTCCTGATATGTTGAGTCTGAGACATGCTTTACAATAAATAAATATAAAGCTTTTTGCATATGCAAGACATATACATTTGATTGTAATATATATAATATGTAAATTCAATTTTTATGTATTATAATTTCCATTTGTTATTCATATTAAATATCTTTTATCCTTTCTGATATATTTGTACTTTTGTATAAAAGCAACTTTTATCGAACATTTTTAATGTCATCCTGATCTCGTTTTTCCTGAAAAAATGTATATTATTTAATATGAAGATTGCATTGACACATGATATATTGTTGAGCTATTATAATCAATATACAAATAAATATCGTATGATTAATTTGAAGATTATAACATACAAAAGACTGTTCACTGATCGCAATCATAACCTTAACGATTTATTTTTACATATTTCATCAATTTTATGTAACTTAACAGGTTGCAATAATCTTCGAAATGGACGTAATTACTTGTAGTATCCAATTAAATGGATGTCATACTTTAATTTTTTTGAATTCACCTACATTCTATTCAATGTAATCGCATGCTCGCTAAGTGTGACCTCACTAAATGTGACACACATACACGACTGCACAATATACATCTGTGTCAGTGATGCCAGAGTGGAAATGCGGCTCAAAATAAACTATATAGTGAAGGGGGTAATATATACAGTACATAATATATTACGCGAATAATGCTTGAATCACAATTATTAGATATTAATAAATAATAATAAAATAATATATCTAAAGGTATTTCTCTATTTTTTTATATTACACTGTTAATTAGATAAATTAACTATAACATTTTAATGATAGTAGTATCTCTCAATTGATAGAAAACTATACACAATAAATATCTCATCAATTGTAATTGATTTATACAAAAGTTGTTGCAGGTGTACATTGATATATCTAAACTCAATTTTTATATTTTAAATTTTATTTACAATAATTATGTAAAGTACTAGAAAAGGAAATATCTAATTATTGAAAAGATATAATTTCCAGGATATTAAATTGATAATAGTTAAATGTATAACAGTTATATGCTATTTATTTCCCTAAAAAAAACAATATTTTACAATTATGCTTGTATACTGGATTTATAACAAGATGCATTACTAAAAGATAATAAACCTACATCAAATTAGAAATTAAACAATAATCTAAGCAATAGGTGAAGATAATATATAGTAAAAATTTAGCGATTGTAAAATTACATAGCAAACTGTTTTTTAAACAAATAACTCAAATTGAATTGAACATCTTTTCTGAAATACAAATGTACATGTATATTAAAAATCGATTCAACTATTCAAAATAATAAAAATTAATTTGAAATATGTTGCCATTTTCTTTTCTTATTCCTTCTTATCATGATGTATACACTCTTTATCAATATAGATTTTTATACATACTGTACATGTAAAATTATATAAATACATACATATATATATAAAAAAATAAACAATAATTATAAGAATAAACAAAGATCCAATTACGAATACAATTTATATATATTCATAATATACTGTGCACGCAGATAAAAATTATTTTATCATTAGGACGTTTCAAATATATAATGTTCGTCATTCTCGGACAGTAATTTATAGCTGTATATACAACATTTTATAAATATATGCACAATAAATCCGTAATTAGCTCTTTTGTTGTTTATTCTTATATTGTTAATTTTAATCAAAGAGTCTTACAATCATATACTGAAGATAAATATACATAATTATATGCTTGCTCTATATACATCTTTATGTAAATAACATTGATAAGTATATCGAATGTATTACTCCTATACGAGAGTATCGTTAAATCAGTCTCTAGCAATTACAAATAAAGAATGAATAATACAATCGGAATTTACAATAACAATGTAAAAAACAATCAGCTTGTTAAAAATAAAATAGCAACATGATAATGTAATTCAACTTAAGAAATACAATTAAACGCAATTAGATTGCCATTCTTTCAAATACTTAAAAATATATCGATTATGTATACGAATATTTAGATTATCTTAGTATAGAGTTAGTATACAGTTATATGTATTAGAACTTGAAAACTTGAATTGTGCATATCCCTAAAATCACATGTACTATTTTGTACTTTTTTCTCTTTCCTTTTTTTTTTTCAGAAAAGGAATAAGTACATGCGACAAAGCTATAACTCGCAAATTGATTTTTGTGGACACAACATTGATAATATTATAGTCTATGCATTCGTGATATACACTGAATAATTCCGTTCTATATAAATTATATAAAACTACATAAATATTGTGCCGTGACTTGCACATAACTTTATTAAAATATATCGCGACAATGATAAGCCGTCGACGATAATACAATCGACATTTCCAACAATGGAAAATGTAAAAAATATATCTTCACACGATCCCCTTTTTCGTCATGTGCTCATGATAAATTCTGTATACACATATTGATATGTGTATATTAAGTATTTCGGTAAATCTTGAAGGTTGATGATAAATGAATTGTTTATTATTCAAATTATTTTAATCAAAATATTTTCCACTGCTTGTTACAATGCTTTATCTCATCTTTCTGGGAATAAATGAATTCCACGGTAGAAAAGACTTATCTTTAGAAGCAATCCATTCATCGTCAACCCTTAAAATTAATCTCGAAACACCTAATACATGTGGTTTGATCATATATTTATATGATCATATATATGCATTGTCATCGGTTCTAAAAGAGGTTTTTGAAAGAGATTCGTTGCGTTTCTTATTTGTATAAATCCTGATTCTATTGTTACTTTTATAATCATATTTACTAGAATCTGACTTAACAATAATCCTGTATAAGAATAGTATGCTTCACCGTAGTTCTCCGATTGGCGCGTTTTGAGACCATAACTCGTCTATAAACTTGTACAAGGCATCACTGACAGCTACCTGTAAGAAATATTAAGAGTAAAGAGGTCCTCAATAAATTCAGTGTCGGAATTTGAACGCATTTAAGTTTTCGTATATTTCTTCACCTTATACGGCGTTGGATTTAGATTTCTTTTGTGATCGTTACGCAGTGTATTAAGAGATTCTTGTACTCTATTGCGAATCTCTTGCAATGTAAGTAGTGGCTGACACAATTTGCCATCTTTCCAGTATACCTGGAGAGAATATATGACATATATTATAATATATATTTTTATTTATTTTACATACACATATATACGCCTATACACATCATTTAATAAATATAGCTAGTCATGTATAAAAAAAGGTTATTAAATAGTCTAGAAATACAATATTCCCACACACAATCAAACATATATATACACTTCTTTGTGACTATTGCACTAAATTAGAAATTATTGTACTAAAAATAGAAATGAAGGAATATTTAATACAGAATATTAAAGAGTGCAAGGAAAATATTTAAAATAGTTTTCCGTTACTTTTTCACGAGAAAAATTATATTGCTCAAAAATCCTGAATAGTATGACGTAGAATACTTGCCAATGATATTTTGTGTACGAATGTTACAACTATACTTGTTCAAAAGTCATATAATTCGAAAACAATACCTTATGCAAAGCTTCCACATGGGATGGTGTAACATTAGCCCTCTTCGTTTGTTGGAATGGATGTCTGCAGAGAATTTTCTGCATCACTTGCGGTTCTTCTTCAGATGTCTTCTGTAAAAGATCTATTAATGCGTAACCATCTGCTCCATACAATCTATAAGCAACTTTGCTACCCGGTATTGTGACTTTTCCAACTTCTTGACTGAGCTTAATTCTCGGCTCGCCGTTGATCTCTACCATTTTGTAGACACAACCCAACGCCGGTTGTCTCTGACACGTTACGAGGTGCGTACCAATTCCGAAGCAATCAATTTTGTGACTCTAGATAAATATTCAAGTATTAATATACAATCGCTATGTGTTTCTATCTAAAAATCCAGAGATAGTAAGAGGCCAATTTTAGAATTAAAAAATTAGTTTTAGCTCTGACTGATCAATCTCTACCTGCTCGTTCAAACTTATTATGGTTTCTTCATTGATATCGTTCGATGCGCATATTGTCATCTTTGCGAACCATGGTATGTTATACTTTATAGCAATTTTTTCAAAAATGTCTCTCGCTATGTTACTGAGATAGGCCAGGTCGCCGCTGTCGATCCTGATTCCAACAGCTCTGTATCCTAAATCATTCAGAGCCAACGCCACTGCGCAGAAGTTCAAAAGACCGCTCCTAATTACAAAATATATCTAATGAGACGTCTAAACAATTGTTAAATTTCACTAGTCATGAATAAATATGCGTGCATTATTGAAAGGCAACTTAAGTCACACATCACACACTTTACACTATATTGTTATAACAGTTATTTACAATTACTAAGTCTAAACTTGACATGTTTTATAAAATGCACCAGTTTACTCTTTTTATAATTTCTTACTTAAAATAAAAAAAAGAAAGAAAAAACAATAAAATTTACCATAATTGATTGAAGTTTTGCAAAAAAAAGAAAAAAAAAAAGGAAATCTTATCAAACACATAAAAGTTTAAAACTTTTATTACATTGTTCTTATCCATTCAATTATAATGTAATATTAAATTAAAGTTTTTTCTTAATTTTGTCAAGTTTAGGATTATAATGCAATTACAGTATTGCATAAAGACATAACATAAATCAAGCATAATAGCTAAGGCTACCTAAACTTGCATTAATTAGTGTAAGAGAGGTAATATTTTGTACAATCGTCGCCATTAACGTCTCTAAAAAAAAAATTTTTCAACATTTTGCAAAACATTCAAACATATAGCAAATTGATACTGTATAATAATATAGTATAGTAGGACTGGCAGATATTTTAATGATTATAACAGTATACTGAATATCATGGTTTGTTCAATATATTAATTAGAAATATACTGTTTTCTTTTTAGTACATTTCCTCTGACGCAGCATATCTTAACGGCATTTTAATATTTTAAAATATTCAGAAGAGGCATATTTTTGATGATATTGTAATATCCCACAGGAGACACTGCAGTAAAATTTTATAAAAAATGACAAGTGCTTAAAGGACAATTAGAATATATGAGAGTTTCTTTGATATACAAAATGTGCCCATATTACCTAAAAAATAAAGGGCAGAATTGGGAGGGGCACTATATAAGATCAGGAAGGACACTATATGAGATTTTTATCGTTTTATCTCTAGCTGACATAAGATTAATATGATATAATAAATATATACAGTTTGTAATTTGCCTGTTTTACAGAATATTTCTTCTGGTAGCAATTTTTTAATAGTAAAAATATGAGAGGGCAAGAGAAAATTTAGATTTTAATTATATCGCTCGAGCGCGCAAGAACTCTAGCAGAGAGGCGTCAACTTAACAATTTAAGAGAAATTTATAGGTTTTTATTTCGTTTATATTCGATCAAAGGTGATCTGAGTTTCTGAAGCTCATGAGAGAGCATTAATTACTCTTGTTGTAAACTATTGTTGTAAAGAAATATACTAATTATTAGAAATTATTCAAATAATGTAACATGTAACAAACACAGATTCTTAACGAAAACTAACAAGATGGGAGGAAAAAAGGCGGAATTGTATTCTGCAAAACAGGCAAACAAAGCGCGATATCGTACCTCACATAGAGCTCGCCCAATTCGCCTCGTCTTAAAAAGCCGTTCTTGTGATGCGAAGTTGGTTCTGATTTAAATGGGTTGTTTCTCACGCCGTTTTGGGCATGTGTATTGGACCCGTTAGTTAGAAGTTTATTCTTTACATTTAGGCTGGCCACTTGTGCCTGCCGCTTGGCCGACGCTTCAATGCTATAAACACACTCCTGTTAGGCTACACACACACAGTGTGTACGCGTGTCGTCATGCCTGCTTGACGCGCGCTCGACAGAACTAAATTACATAGCCGCCAGTGTGATCGAATTAAAGAAATATAATTCATACATCTCTTTTTTTAAGATACAGACTTATATTCTGAGGTACATCAGTTATTCTTTCGTTTGTGACACGCGGTGTTGTATTCCACGATACATGGTGGAAGTGAAATGAGAAAGATTTTGCACGCTGCGCCAGGTGTTGTACTTGAGCTTTGAAGCTATATAATCGCTATCCTATGCATCTCAGGTTGTACTCCGATTAGCATACTATTATCCATACGAGGATTGTTTGTGCTTACGTGTGCATAGCCTAATGAAATGTATCCTACATACATAAAATACATAAGCTATGTACATATTTGCGGCAAATCGATCATCTCTGCGTTAAAATGTACGATATACGGAATGTCCAAAAAAATACGCGGACGATACCTTGGAATGTTATTTCTGACAACAATTTGCTTCATCGTTCTTGCATATTTTGGACATTCGGTACAATTGTTAAACGTAATTTATAGATATACGTTACACATTGATGCAAATGATAGGCACATATTATCTAACAGATACAAGATAGAAGAAATGTAAACAATCAATCAGAAATGATAAACTATGCGAACGTAAGATTTTCGATTAGAAGTGAAGTATATAAAGTATGTGCATGCAAGTGACAAAGTACCTCGTGCAAAAGACTTTCGGTAAAGTTGATACGAAAATGCGTCAAAGAGAATGTATGTACATATCAAGTTCGTAAGCTACATAATTTGGAAACAGGCGTCGAGCACTCTGCTATTATAACAGCAAAATAAAGATACAAGCATAAAGTAGCGACTGTGGTAAATACGCACCTTTTGACATCATATGTATCTACAAGAGCGGCGAATCTTTCTGGGAAAGCAACAGCGTAACTGATCAGGGCAGCAAATTCTCCGTCAGATGCTTGTGAAGATAAAGCTCCTAAATCGTCGGCGATGTCTTCGCGATATTTGCAAGCGAGTTCGAGAAGATCCAGAACATCTCCTGTTTGTTTGTGTGCCAATGTCTACGAAAGAAAGTAAATCAACTTTGTTTCCTTACTTTTGACTATACTCCCTGTAAAGTTTCAGAAAGTTTCCAAAAGTTTTGTTTAGTTTCCAAATGAATGAATGAGATTTTTCGTAAAAAGAGATCAAAATGCTTACTTTTCCTTGTAGGTCATCGATGCTGGTGAAGGACGTGATGTATGCATGTGCGTGAGTACCACAAACGGGTATATTAAACAACTTTCCAGCTAGAACATTACTAGTACCATCGAATCCACCTGTAACAAATTATCTCAGATAAGTAAAGTCTAAAACCGTCGAGTTAACCGATACTTTAACTTCATTTGTACGTCTATCTATGTGCATATCGAATCACATAAATCGTAAACTCCTATCTATAGTCATACGTAGTAGATTGACATATGTATACAACATATATATGTATGTAAATATATAACGTCAACTTGACCTCTTAAACTGTTACTCATCACTTTGTGAGGCGGTACCAACTGGCACAAAGCGGAACAACGTATCGATTTCGCTTTTCATGAAATTGTTAAGTATAGTGTAAGGGTGATAGAGTGGTACCAGACACCTCCTTCATCCATTACGTATTATATCGCGAATTGACGTTAGTACATATTCAATGTTTTGCGTATCTAAGACTCAATATATTATGTGTGATAAGCACATGCCACTATATCAGATATACCGACACTATGTATTATGTAGAATATATATTATGTAGAAAAATTATTGATAGACCTTACCAATAATCAGAGAAAAATCGTAAAGTGAAAATATTGTTATATCGTTTTTAATGAATATGTAGCTTGCAATTTCATATTATACCTATATATTAAACATACATACACACATTTCTGTATTATATACATTGCATTTTAAAATGGTGTACTTGTTATCCAGAATACTCCGATAAGAGTAATTATAATACACTAGTTCAAAAGTAATAATCGATATAAATTTTATGTGGTATAAAAATTTGAGAAATGTCATATTAATTGATTTGGCTTAATAAACTTACAGACTTGAACTACAAAATTATTTTAAACGCCATAAACTATTTATAAAATTTACTTGATAAAATGTAATAACACTGAATTTAATAAAGTTATAATAAAATATATTCACCAATGTAGCTATATTTAGATGCGCTCAGTCCTCCATCAGGTCCCTGTGCTCGTCGAAGTCCAAATTCCAATAATGTTATATGTTTTCCAGCAACCATGCGATATCTTGCTGCATTGGTCGCCATTAAACTTGCATAGTTTACTAATGTTAATAAAGTTGTCTCTAACAACTGCACCATTATCAGTGGTCCTTCCACTCTTATTAAAGGAACTCTGTCAAAATTTATATCTATACATGTTAGATTCATTTATAATTAAAAAGTTAAGATATTTAATTACAGAATTGCTATAAATATTAATCTTCTTTAATAATAATTATTTTTAAAAATGTATCAAGAGATTATGTGTATTTTTTGTTATAATGGTATTACATTTTAAGATATTTCAACTTCAGATATAATTATAAATTTTTCAATATGTGTGTTGATATATATGTTATCAATATTTCATATATGTGTGATCTTATCTACCTTATCAGTGTTGTTGCTACTTTATCTACTAAAAATACACATATTTCATATATATACATTTTATATTAAGTAGAATATATATCTAGTGAGTTTTTAATCTTCGCGCATATATAAGTAGATAAGAATACATATTCTTGATATGTTATATGTAGATAGAGAAATAAGATTAATTTTAAACTTACCTTGGGAATACAACAGATCCTTCTTCTATGGCGTATAGTGTGACATCTTTTGCAGTAAGATTCTGTAGATAATCGAAGAAATTTTGATCTACCATAGGCATAGTCGATTTTAAGTACTTGATATCTGCAATATAAAACTATGTAATATGGATTTACATAAAAATCGCGAATGCATAGCAGATAAATTCTGTAAATACATACCACTGCAGGAATAATGGAATTTTTTCAGGAATTTTATACATTCCTCCAGGCCGGCAAAAATCGTGAATTCTCCTTGGAAAGGATTTTTTCGAAAGAACAATTCAAATACGGCATGATCGTTTACTTTGCCGCTCTTCCAATAGGCGTAAGCCATCGTGATTTGATACAAATCTGGAAATATACATTATTTAATTTGAACAAGAAATAAATATATGCGAGCTAATAAATAGCTCCGATTATATACATTTAACGCTAACAATTTAGTAGCAATTGCTAAATAATGTTACGTTCTTTATCGTCAATAAGATTGCGCGTTTCAAAGATATCATTTAATCTTTAAATTTGCGCGTTATAGCGTATATCAAAAGCGATTTTTTGTATGTGAAAATAATTTTATGCTATATTATAAGTAGATCTATATTAACAAATGATCTTCCAAATTATGATACAAACTTGAAATGTCCATATAATACAAACTCACATCGTCGTTGTATGTGTGTGTGTACGAGTGACATTATTTACAAATATAATCAATCCCTTACATCATATAAGCAAATAAGAAGCAAAATATATAAGCGTTCACCCCAATATTGACAAGAACCCTATCACGAATATATTTCATGTCAATTTTATACATTATTCTCGCGGTTTTGAGACTATTTCGGAAACACATATCTCGATTGTTAAAAGACACTAAGATCAATTTTCGCAGCGAGGTCTCGTCTCTTTAACTTCATATATCAGTTTTCAAATATAATTTATATAAACATTAAATATTTCCAGTTAAATTTCCAGGTAAATTTTAACAATCGAAATTCAGTACAAGTTATGCAAGTAAAAAATGTCGATAAAAATTGTTTTTCTCTTAATTAGAACTTCTCTTTCAAAAACATTAAAAATATGATCTTGATTGTTTATTAACCAAAATTACTAATATTCTGAAGTTTATTAATAAATAGTTGAAATAATTTTTTCTCTTACATTTTAACTTATGGATAAAGAACTCATCACATGAACAAAGATAAGTATTAGTTGGCATTGTCTATTCTTTATAAACGACAAAAATTTAAAAGATGTCCTTCACTTTAAATATAATGATATTATGTGTCCAGATATACAGAAAAACTTAAGTAGTAAAGAAATTGTTTAATCAAAATTAATTATTCTTACGATCCAAAAATATTTGACTGTAACTGGTTAATTTGCTTACTGTTTACATCTTATTGCTTAAGTTTTTCTGTATATTTGGGCCCTATTAAATCGAAATCACGCTGAGTTTAAGCCATTTTTTGTGGCGCCATCTGTTGAAATTGGGTCTCTTTTGGGCCAATTTTTACGAGAACGGAAGAGACTCAAATTATAAACTTATATATTTTAAATCGATTCGACATAAATTTTAATCATATGTAAAAAAAATTGTCATCATCAAGGGCTCTGAAACCAAGTGAAACGTCTATCTGGGTATTTGGGTGTACTCTTATTAGGAATTATTTCTGAATATATTTTGAAAGATAAAGTTCGCGAAATAAAAAATTCCCTAGTCACCAACTTAATTATCGTGAATGAGACCTTTGCCCGACAGTATGATGTGTAATTGTCGTGTTTAAGTGACCTCCGCGTCATTCTCTCTCTGTCTTTGTCTCTCTTTCTTACTCGTGAAAAACAGAAAGAGAATGTATAGAGTGAGATAGGAGACGTCGATGATGTCAGCTGGATGCAGCAAGCGAGGTAGCCCTCGATAAAGCACAATTTTTAAATGTATACCTGTCAATAACGGCTGAACCACACCATTCTGCCGCGAATTGCAGCATGTTATACCGTCGTCTGTTGACATTTTACGGATCACTCGCGTGCGTTCACTACAGAGGAAATGAGTTTATTACTTTCACTCTTCCTCTCTTTCTCTCTCTGTCGGTCCGTTTAAGCGATTCAGGTCTCAACTGCGCTCTCCTGCATGGAAAATAAAACGAGTGCATATTACATCAGATTCGTATCTTTTATAACCTCTTTAACGGATTAATGATTCTCGCACGTAGATGATTAATAATAGTGACAACTATTATCGAATTCGTCGCCATTCCAGTGAAAAAAATATAGATACGCATGATACATTCAAAATTTCTATTATTATTATTAATATAAATTTACCAGAATATTAACTGCAAAGGTTATCTACGCCGAATGATAAATGTTTGTTATTTGTACATAGACGATGATCTTCCTAAATTGTTTCCTCTTGCCAGTTTTAAATAAAATATTTTTTCTCCTTACCTTTCTATGTTTTCTGAATGTTTTGCGAAAAACTTTCAAAAATCGCCGTAACCACCACTGAATTTCATACACTCGCACATCTAGTAAACTCCAAATTTACTAGAGCGCAAATCTACACGCTTCAGCTACACTTTTCGCACCTTTCCCAATCGGAACGAAATCTAATATATATTCTCACGCTTTGAGGGAAAAAAAGTGGAACAAGCGTCGAAAACACAAAGTTAACAAGAACCTCGCCGACTGAAGCCGAGAAAGTGTTTGTTCATACTAATAAAAGATACGACCGAACGAACCTCTTTTTTCCCTTATCTATACGAGTCGCGCTGGACCGACAGCAATGCTTCTTTCTCTTCCTGCCGCCTTTTTTTTCTCTTCAAATAGGTGCAGTCTTCGTCGAGATATCGTCCTCACATCGTTCTCGATTAAATATAGGGTTAGGCTTTGTGCAAAATATTCAGTCTTTCTCAATCCTTCGGATCGTGCTATTCACCATCGAACACACCGTCACCGTGTTGTCTCTCGATCTACTTCCGATACCATCGACGTACTAACTGCATCTAACGCGCTTCGACGCGCGCCGCACTGTAATATATGCCTTGAGAATTCGCGAATCGATGAGGAAACGTTTGAAGGACATCCGAAGCTATTGGCATGCCTGTTCCACTCTGCGCCTAACTCCGTGCTCGTCGAAAAGTCACTAGACTGTGATCTGTACATTCTGTTTTCACTGTTTTACACTATTTGTCTAATCGGGATGAAATTGAGTTTCTATTTGAGATTTAGCGGAAGAAAAAAACAATATAAACAGTCATAAGGAAACGCGGAGAGCAGAATTAAAGAAAACCAACGTAAAATTTGTTAGATAGCGAGTCATAAAATATAATAATCACATCCGAAAGTGTAGATATGGATCGATTCGATTCGTGACTCTCGTTTCTCCGTTAAGTTTTATTCCTGACTACAGTTTAAATTTTTGAATTTTAAATAATTTCAAATTTTGTTGGACGAAGGAAATTGAAGATGGCAGTATCTCCATAGAACGAAAAGAAAGTGTTGTATAAAATTGCTATTCATAAAAGCCAACTATAAACTTGCTATTCATAAAAGTTACTTTAGGATTATTTAATTCACCCTCAACTTTATTCAGAGAGTGAGGTGAGCTTTTGTATTAATCTATAATGTATAGAAATTGATCAGACTTAATCCCTAGTAGATGTAGTAGTCTTGGATAAACCATAAAAATGAAGTCCAGCATAAACTGGCATCATTTAAGAATCATCATTGGTAAATATTTTAATTGTAATGTTTTCTCAGCTGTCCCATACAGCACAGAAGTTGCAACAACGTTGTTGCACCTTCTATACTATATGGAGTGTCATATATCATTGCGATGTTAAAAATATAATTAAGTTCATATTTGTTAGGTTAGGGTTACCCTCCTGATTCTTAAACTGTGCACAAGAGGGATTTCAAAAAATAATTTTATCCACAAGTATTTGTCGAATAATCTAAAAATTCACATAAACATTTATCTGTAATTTATTGTTTGATAATATTTTGGTTAAGTAACTACAATTTCATTGTTGAGAAAAATTTAACTCTTAAAGTGGTTTGTTGTATATATTATATATTTTTGTCTTATGTAACTACATGGCAATCTCTTGTTACAATGCAAGTCTATATTATAGATATGATTCCATCTTAGCGGTGCCATGTAGTTCCAAGTTCCGAAACAGCTGAATTTGCGTCGAAAGAATCTCAAGGTCGCCAGTTGTTATCGATGCGAAATTACGAGCTTTTAAAATAATCGCACAACAACAGTCTTTGCATAATAGTCTTTGTGTTTTACGACGTAACGCAGACGCATTAATGACATGATAATGTAGCGCCAAATGGAAAAAACCCGGGTAAGTGAACGCGATTTTCTTACTTGAGTTGAGTACCGATTGAGAGTAATTCAGCAATCGATGCGTCCATAGTCTGTCCTGACACCGAGGCATTATGCTACTCTAAAGATATAAATATACGTTCTAGAGCTTGCAAATAGACGCTGTGTTACGCGTACAAGATTCTGTCCCGCGTGTTTTGTCGTGCATTTCTGCTTTACATTGGGAATATACTGGCTTAGAGAGCTTGGAGATGGCGGGCGAGAAAAATACAAACGGTAAATATATTCCTTTAGAATCAAGATTTAACAAACATAATCATCATATACACTCTTTGAACGTTTTTTCTCTCTAATGGATGTTTCGTATACAAAGTATACAGATAATTAGAATGTCGCGATTTGCAATTAGAAACGGTTTTTCCTTATATCAGTTTGCGCTTGAGCTCACATCCTGAATAGCACATGTATGAATGTACGTATAGAATATTATATATTACTTTTCCTAAGTACGTGCCGTAGCGCGCGCTTCTTCAAGGATTAGATTGCGTCATTTGTCGGTGTAGTAAGGGAAGTATAATAATAGTGCACACGTCTAGAGCAAGAGAGCAATAGCGAGAGAGAGAGAGAGAGAGAGAGAGGAGGTGAGGGAGAGAGGGAGAGAGAGGAGGTGAGGGAGAGAGGGAGAGAAAGAGAGAAACGATAATTAGCAAATAGTTCGACTAAACACACGTATCGTTAGGGGCAACATGCCGCGGTTACGACCGCAGTGTGCCATTTTCTCGATCATGCGGAACAAAAGTATTTTCTACTTGGTAACACGCGAGTTTTACATTTCGCGACCTTCCCACAATGACAAGCATATCGTTCACATTGCGACAATACTTGTCTCCGTCTTAACACATGGGAGAGAAAAAGAACTCTTCGGGGCAGAAGTTCGTGAGAGGTTCTGCAGGTTCTACGAGCAAAAAAGCAAGTGGATCGAACGCGAAGCTTCATGAGTCTACATGTAATTTCTTCCGCTGGCGAAATCGCGATCGTTGTAAGTGTGAAGGAGTCTCGAGCTTCATTTCGATGAATCACGCTACCGGTTCGACGCTCGTGCATGAAGAGACGATATTTCAATCGCTTCGTTTCGCGATTGCCTCCATATACCTATTGTCGCACGCACAGTTCTAACTTATGTTTCGTTTATTTTGATCTGCCGAATAAATTTGCAAATTATTATCAGGTCTCTTGTGCAAGAAAGATAACAGTTGCCATGCGTATATCGCAATATATTGCATAGTCAAAGAGGAACTGATAAACATAATCGTATATGCAAGCATCATCGATAATTTATATTTTCACACATACATACACACAGCAGCGTACGCATAAAGATATCGTAGTATATTGTTTTCTATATCTGCACGTTATCGGCACGTTACTGATGAATTCAGATCAGCTTTTCACGAGCAGGACAATTATTCTTCCTTTTTACTTATATCGTACAATATATAATCTAAATTGCTAAATATATTACGTCTTAACTTCTCGCAGTCAATTCACCGTCATCGATCTTTCTATTAATAACTTTATTGCTGACACGATTCTTGTCATGCGTCACTATCTGCGTTATTATCTGTTATTCGAAATATTTACTTTTCGTAATCGTCATATACGATAACACACGTTTCTCGTTCTCATCGATTACATAATTACGAGAAACACGTGGAATAAAAGTATATTATGCAGCAATAATTTGTTTAATGCAACTTACATGATCACACGATTGCATCTTGCGTATTATATTTGTCACATCGTTGATACGATCGACGACTCATCGATCTCGAAGGAATATTTTTTATTCTTGTATTTTATCAATTCACACATATTCACAAGATCGAGCGATGTATGAATTGTTAACTGTTAGCTGCGTTACGACCCGGAGACAACTGTGTCTCGCGTATAAAATTATGCGTTTAAGCTTCAAGTGGTGCAGGAAAGTGGTGATAAAGGGACAACTTCTAATCAGCTACTGATAAATGCCTGGTCATTGAACCCCTGCAATTTGCTCTGCGATTGTTCTCTTCGCACTTCGTCCTCACTGATTTCTCATTATTTTTGCAGAATACGCGTTCATTAATCCCTTCTAAAGACAATGATTGTGCATTGTTTCGGTTTTCATCATGACTCTCTACCTTTGCATTTTATTAGATATTAAATATTTAATAAGAGCATTTAATTAGTATTTAAATATAGGAGCTCATATACTTATAAATATTAATACTATTATTAATAAGTATTTAGGTAATTAGAGTCATAAATTCTTAATTCTCGGAGATATCGTGAAATAAATATATATATGTTTTATCTTTTTTTTAAACATATATACGTATAATCCTCCTGGTGCAAATCCATGTTTACCGGTAACCAATAGTAACTCCGCAACACAGAAAAGATTCTGAATCGTCCTGATCAATAACTCTCAATGCTTTTATTGTTTCTGTCGACTTCAGTTGCAAAGATTGTGTAAATCATTAGTTAAACTAATTATATTTTTAACTAGATAGCTTTTTCTCATAATCTTCGCAATATTATCAGGACTCTTGGCAATCATACGATGATTATGTTGCAATATTTACTTGGTATAATACCGCTGATAATATTTATTTGATTATAAAATAGTAACGAGTTCTATCATGTAAAAATAAATTTTACAAATAATTTTCGTTTTTATCTAGAACGCGCGTAGGATTCTCTAGTTATTGATTGGTAGTTATAGATTTAATAGTTTGATAATCTTCTTTTATGTCATTCGACGTAAATAGTACAAAATAAATTTGCTGATTCGTTGATATCCATTATCAATCTTCGTTTTTTATCTAAAGCATCAAACTTTCTAGTTACTGACAGACTAAATATTTGGTAAGTTTTTCTTATCACGTGAATTATTTCGGTCCGTTTTTTTTCTTCCAAAAAGAAGACTTTAGTATGAAAAACATGAAAAAGTACACTAATCAAAGTATTTGCCATCGCTTGCTATTATTTTTTCCCATCTGTCTGGCAGTTGTTGCATTCCGTGACGGAAAAACGACTCGTCCTTCGAAGCGACCCATTCATTGAGCCATTTCTCTATTTCTTCATAATTGTTGAAGTGCTGGTCCGAAAGCCCGTGTGTCATCGATCTGAACAAGTGATAATCGGATGGAGCAATGTCTGGTAAATACGGCGTATGAGTTAAAACGTCGCAGCCAAGTGCTTCCAAGGTGGCCTTCACAATCTTTCCAACATGTGGTCGAGCGTTATCATGCTGGAAAACGATCACTTTGTCGTCTCTTTGCATATTCCGGCCGCTTATTCTTCAATGCGTTGTTTAAACCGATCAATTGTTGTTGGTAAGTGTTCAGCAGTGATGATTTGGCTCTGTTTTAATAGTTCATGATACACTACACCCTTCTGGTGCCACCATATACAGAGCATTACTTTCTTGCCGTGAATATTCCGCTTTGGTATCGATGTGGATGGTTTTCCTGGGTCGCTAATGGATTTCCTTCGTTTGGGATTATCGAAATATATCCACTTTTCGTCTCCAGTCACAATACGATGCAAAAAACCTTTTCTTTTTTGCATGGCAAGCAAGATTTCAGACATGGCTTTTTGCCTCTCGATGTCTCTTTCTTTCAGTTCTTTCGTATGGCATCCATCATCCTTCTTTGTAAATCTTTCCCATGGCTGCCAAACGCACAGGAATTGATCGATTAACATTCAATAATTGCGCGAGCTCATATTGCGATTGACACGGATCTTCATCGATTAGCGCCTGCAATTCCTCGTCCTCGAACTTATTCGGCTGACCTGAACGAGGTTTGTCATCGACACTGAAATCATCACTTTTGAAACGTCGAAACCATTCCCTGCATGATTTATCGGTGGCAGCACTTTCACCATAAGCTTCTACGAGTATTCGATGAGCTTCACCGGCTGTTTTCTTCAAATGAAAACAGAAAACGAGAACTTCCCGGAAATTATGCTTTTTTGGCTCGAATTTCGACATTTTCTAATCAGATAAACACGATGTTATTGTTACAAACCCAAACGTTTACCAACTGAATATTATTGCCAGATATCAAAACTAAAAAATAAAGCCTTTTGCAGACATTAGAGATTAGAAAATTACATAGTACAGCAATTGATCGCCAGATGGGCCGAATTAATTCACACACCTAATATAACATTATTTGACGTCGATGATGAAAAATTAATTTACTAATTTGTCACATATTTGAACAAAATAGGATTTTCTACATGAATCATCTTTCTAATATATCCATATATCTTTCTAATGTTATCAATATACATATATAATTAACTATATCTCAAAATTTATAATTCTAATGGCTAATGTCTAACATAGAAATATAAGAAAAAAATTATGGATAAATCAAGATTAGATATGTGATTTAAAGATAAATTTAGATAAATGAGATGCAATATTTTAAAAACTTGCGGTACACGTTGATGTTAATTTAAAGAATATAAAGATAATGTTATATACTTAGTTGAAGATGCAACGTATCCATTAGCTCAAAACGTTCTAAAAATGGATATCAGGGACGACCAATCTTCGTGAAATTTCTCCAAAATATCTCCAGTAGTATATATCGTTTATTTTCCTGTAATGCCGATAAATACGTTTATAATACGTTTATAAAGGCTTGTACCATTCCATCGTGAGTTGTCAACCTTGTACTTTAAAGTTGCGTCATTTTTATTACTCATAGTTAGTCATTGTTTCTTTGTTATCGATAACATGCATTAATTGCCCCTTACGGAAGAAATACTCAAATATTGACTGTTTATACTTAATTGTTCGAATTTATTCTTAAATTTGAATGTATATTTACCCACATTTGAGAGTAAATTCGAACAATTGAGTGTAAAGACTCGATATTTGAATGTTTTTTTCCATAAAGGTGGATTGATTTTACACACGAGCGTGAGCGCAGGAAATTGTCAACTCGTTTTTTACACAACGAATTTATTTTTATATATAAGTCACAGATGCGTGGTGCGTGCGCACGCGCACACGCATGTGTGTGTGTGTGTGTGTGTGTATGTGTGCGCGCGTGCGTGCGCGTGTATGTATTCCGTACTAACTCTACAAATGATTCTCCGGTATTTGTCAGTTGTGAATACGCTAATACGTTAATTTTCTGCGTTATGTTACTGGCACTTCTGAAGTATCGTTAATCACTAGTATCGAGCTTTACCAGCTGTTACTTGGTGTCGGCTTTAGAAAAATACTCAATTTTTGATTCTCTAAGGTCTAGAACGCAAGAATGACGATTGAGCCGCGAATATATTGGATCGCCTCGGATGCCCTTTCTGTCAAAAATTGATTATTTTTTGGCGTGTATATCTATATATATTATACCATTATTTATTGTTGCCTATTCCTATGTATATATATATATATATATATATATACACACATACATATACATATATACACATAAGCGTATATATACATATATAATTATATGTCAGCAAGCGGTCCGGAAAAAACGTAATCGCAAAATACACGTTTGTATCTCTATGCGCTAATAATGTGGTAATAATGTTGGTTATACACATTCGGGTTTCGTTTCTGCGTTACATAGTACACGCTACTTATTGTTTATGGTGGTACTGACCATTACACACTTACACAAACGCAAAGATGTTCGCTCGACAAATAGCTCGACGTATTCACGTTTTCGTTTATTTTTCGCTATCGCAATCCTTTCTTGAATGTCGTTGCATCCATCGTTTTATCAAAGCATTCATCTGTTTTAACCGCACATCAATTTCTTCTGAAAAAAAAATCGCGATAAATCGAAGTAATTTCTATATCGATAAAATAATCCTATTCTATAAAATAAGTTCTATCGGTTGTGTGTACACATGGTCCATTAAGCCATCCTTCAAACATCTTATTGTTTATTCATCACCAGGAAATTATTCTTTGCCTTAGTTACATGTGTACTTTTCTGGTTTCTCTGGCTTATTTGCAACGAAATATTATCTCCCTTTCTCTTTCTCTCTTTCTCTTTGCTTGCGCCTCGTTTACGATGTTTGACGCGTGTGTGAATGTATGCGTTATACGGAAGCACGGACTATGATCTACGTTACACAAACTAACTAACTTAACTACATCCTTCCTAAAGCTACTCAGACTTCGGTTTAACATTTACCTTGTGTATCTCGTTTATAAGAATAACGTCACAATTGTATATTTGTAATATCGACTACGGCGTCTACGTCGCTTATCAATAATTAATACTGCATCGACTAGACTCGTTTATGTACGACGCGACATTCAATCCCGCTCGTCGATACGTCATCTTCCCTTAAAGTTAACTATCTAATTTGACACATAATTCTCGTATACAGTCTTAATAGTTATGATAATGTTCGTATTGTGCTAAAAATATGTCAGACTACAAAACTTCTTTTTCTTCTTTTCGCAATCTCTCCTGCTTTTTCCCCCTGTTTTTGGTCGATATACAATGTCTCGTATAAATTTCCCTATGGAATATCTTCCTGATCGGTGTGAATAAAATAACATCTTTCTTTTAGAATTTTCTTTTTCGCCGTTCAAATCCTATATAGATCATATCTACGCTCATACATACATACAATATCCCTATTGTATGTTAGCTTAGCACACATGGTAAGTTGCAAATTTCATAACCAGTATAAAACGGCCAGTTACTAAACAATTATCACAGAGTCATCAAGTTAACTTCGTGTACTGACAGATGATGCACACTTAATTATACAATATTTTCTTATTAAATATAAAAAATAACACTTTTTCTATAAAACATAAGGACGTAAATTATAAATCAATATCATTTCTCCGTCTATATTGACATTATATTAACAATAAAATAATCTCGGCGTAAAATGGCAGTGTGAGTACATTTTATCACAAAAATAAAACATGCTAAAATATACAGGAGAGAAAATGTCTAATTTAAATGTGCAAAATTCAGCATATGCAACAAAATTATCTTATATTCTTAAAAATATCTAAGAATTTTTTACCTTTTACTAATAAGGTAACAGGGACGAATTGCATTAATACATTTCAAAAATAACACTAGGGCTACCGATATTCAGAATCTGGCTATGAAATTTTAAACTTACTCCATTCGTCTTATTTACACGTTGCAGTAAAGCTTCATCGCTAAGCTTACCAAACAACGATGGAAGTTTTCCAACATCTTGCGCTAATGAACATCCCTATCGGACAGTATAAATATATACGTTTATCCAATAAATAACTAACAAAGTATACAATACCAACAACAACGTACTTAAAGCTAAAAATGTAAATAAGATAAGAACAATAAAGTATACAAAATCTCCCGTTCGTCTGTTAGCACCGTTTCACTCTCTGGAAATAAGATTTGTGTTCTCATATGATAACTAATACACGATCGACACGATCATATCTGCGATAGACAGAACAGTTATTCAAATTCTAAGACCAGTCCTCGTATTGACTGCCCATGGTTCATCTCATTAAATCGGCCGCTCTTTGCCGATCGCGATGCACCTCCCGCGGATGCATTCTTTTACGATGCGAAAAACAGTTTCCGGAGCTTGCGAAAGCTTTCGGACAGTAAGGACACTGATAAGGCCTCGCACCCGTATGCTGATTTATGTGAAATTTCAGATCCTGGTTACGCTTGAACGTCTTATCACAAAGTGGACACGCGTGCGGTCTCAAGTCTGAATGCGTTATGCTGTGGGCACGTAACGTCGAATTCGTCGGGTAAACTCTACCACATACGTTGCACGGAAATTGTACGCCACCATGGTACTCCTTGTGTCTAAACAAATTCGACTGTGTCTTGAAACTGAAAAGAATTAAACAATTGTTAAGCGAGATATTAGAAGATCTTACGGAGGTAACAACGAAATTAATATTAGAACTAATATTATATTAATATTAAATTATATCTATAATTATATATATAATATTAAATTATATTAATATTAAATAATATTAAAATTATATATAATTATATATAATTAGAATCACGTTTCAAACGCACATTCTTCCACATATGTCGCAGCCGTACTTTCCTTTAGGCCTGTGCGTTTCTAAATGAACTTTCAAATTTCCCTTCGTAGAGATTTTTTTACTGCAGATTGGACAGATGAAGTTGCTGGACGTATTGTTATCACCGTTCGTGTGAAGTACACCGTTCGTGGAGTAAACGTGTTGAGAGCGTAGAATAGGCTTCCCGTCGAATTTTCTCTCCCGGGGTAAGTGTGACCACAGGTGATTCTGTAAACCGATTTGCGATATGAAGGATCGAGCGCATATTGTACATTCGTGCGGTTTCACCGTATTAGACACAGTTCTTCCATTGTCCTCGTGCAATTTGGTCTCACTTTCATCTTTCTTTTCTTCCGTCTCTACCTCCGCTTCAGTATGTCTAAGCAAATAAAAAATTTATTTGTCAAAACAGGTACACTCTCTCTCTCTCTCTCTCTCTCTCTCTCTCTCTCTCTCTCTCTCAATTGTTAGTATAAACTTTTCCACATAAAAAGCTTTATATGATACTTTATTTATTGGTAGTACAAATATTCCTACTTTTTTGTTAACGATAGTGGCTCCGGTGAATGTGTTCTGATTATTTCTTCCTCGTTGTCCGATGAGTCTGAAGTTTCTGATGCAGAGTGCTCCATACCGCATTGTAAAAATAACATTGGATCCACTTTCACCTCCATTTCCTCCATGCTTGGGGTATGACGTTTCTCCTCTTGAGAATTTAACTCTGATGGTCCCAGTGGCTCATCCTCTGTTAAAATTTCTATTGCACCCTGCAAAAACAACAGTAAGTACTTGCATATTGCACACAAGATTGTAATATATATACATACACACATGGAAATTATTATTAATAGAAAAGCACAGAAGAGCATGTAACACATACTTTTGTCAATATTGAGTGCAATAATCCTCGGTCTTCTATTCTCCTTGGAATATCTTGCATATCTTTAATACTCTGTATCTCTTCATCTTGTACAGGATTTGTATTGTCAACGTTATCATAGAATTGTGATCTCAGTTTTTCCTGGGTACGGTATGCCATCATAGCAAAACGATGGATACCCTCCAATCTCTTAATGCATACAGAACAAACCATCTTTGAAAATTTATCCTCTGATGATACCTGTGGAAAAATTAAAAGATAAGTATATTATATAAGTATAATAATATATATACACACACACACACACACACACACACACACACACATTATATAAATCATATATTTTTTTATATATAATATGGATAAGAACTGTAAAAATACCTTATAGACAATGGTTCTAAAACACATTGTTATATATTGTTTCTTTAAAAAAATATAGGATTATCTTTGTTTTACTTAATTTATTTTTATTTATTAAAAATTTTTTCAACTGTGAAAAAATTATTTGAGCAATGAGGCATCAAGCCAATATTAAAGTCAACGATAAATGTCATCTCCAAGTAGATATTAATAATGTCATTTATGTCAATTGTAAAATTAATTGAAATGTTAATAGCATCATTTTTATTATTTGTCGCACAATGTATCGTAATTCTTTTCAGTATTGTCGTGTGATTAACCTAGCTTCCGACGCGTCATAAGCGCTGATTTCATCTGACAGGAAGGACTGGTGTTTATTTAAAAATTCTCGATATTTTTCGCACAATACATCCGATTGACGCATTCTCCGTAATTTATTCCGTTCGACGTCATTTCCTGACACTCCCCCTCCACCACTACCACCACCATCACAACCACCACCACCACCACTATTACCACCCCTCATTTCCGATTATATTTATAGATGTAGTACTTATATAGCGCTCACTGCACGGTATACTTATTGCAATCAATAAAATGCTAATTTTTAACACTTTTGCAGCCCCGCACAAAATGGTCGCGCACAACGGATATATTTCGCCTACACGATCACGACACGATACTGCCGCTCGCGTGTCACATTATTATTGCGATAAGCTCATTGACATTTCGCAATTGTCATTAGGATTGGTTTAATTAATTTTCGGCCGGAGATCCTCGTCGCGTTCCTTAAAGCACTCGAAACGCATTGCGAAAATGTTGACGCTCACTTGAACGAGCACCGCAGATCGTACATCGTATAATACGATTTACTCGATTTATTCACGATTGGAGAAAAAATTATCTGGAAAAAAAAGATGGTTAACGATGATTGACCTCGGCTTGACATTCTCGTCATGTCACCCACACACAAATCAGTTTTATCACCGATTCTCGCGATCACAATCGTGTTTGCGTTGTTCGTCGATCACGAGGAATTATCTCACAATCATGTTATCACAGACACAATTTCCCGCGAGCGAAAAATCGGCACGTCCAGCACTCGTCGTGTGCGATTCTTTTACTTCGCGATTACACTTTTCGCTTAAAAATCATTGCGATTTTTCGTCCACCGGTCTCGAGATGTCAGGCATTATCTCTCCGTTGCCGATCGTCGGACGGCGCGACATTGATTTCAAAATTCGAAACTCGATGACGAACGAAATTCACTCGTGACTGGCGCGTATAGCTACGATCGTGACACTCATGTACACACACACCGTGCAGAGGGAGGCAAATTTTCAAAAAAAAGGAGGGAGAAAAAATGCGAGTAAGGTAGAAAACAAGGAGCGAAAAAGAGACGACCGCTGCGCATGAGACGCGCGGCGACTCGTCTCGTGATCACTCACCAGGATGTACAGATATTTCCGTATCTTCGTTTGCAGGTAATGACGCCGGCCGTCCTCGGCGAAAATGTGCACCCCGTCGTTGCCGGCGGTGATGTTGGCCGCACAAATCCGGCACTGGAACACCATGGGCCGATGATCTGCTTGCCGATCGCGCTGCTCGAAATCGCGTGCCGCCGTACCCATTTCAAAAAGGAGAAGGGAAGCTAAATCAAGCCTGGATCTGTTGGAAGAGAGAGAGAGAGAGAGGGGGATAGGATTAATTAAAAATGGAGCGGGACAATTTTTCCTCTCGTTTCACAGCTGGAAGACTTTTGTTTTCGCCGATCTTCGCGAGCATGCAGAGAGAGAAAAAGTGTGTGTATGTGCGCGCGCGAGGGGAAGAGAGAACGAGAGAAAGAGAAAGAGAGAGAGAGAGAGAGAGAGAGAGAGAGAGAGAGAGAGAGAGAGAGTGAGAGAGAAAAGAGAGAGAGAGAGAGTGTGAGAGAGAAAAGAGAGAGAAAAAGAGAATGAGGCACGCGAAGCGAGTAGTAAACGTCGGTGGCGGTGGCACGCACGCGGTATTCGGCGAGAGTAAGAGCGTGACGACGTCGGCGCTCTTTTCTCTTTTCTTTTCCCTCGTCCCGTCACGTAACGACGGCTAGAACGCGCGTCGCCTCACCGCCCCGGCGCGACGCGACGTCTTCATATGTCCGGACGACGACGGTGCATCCTCGTCCTCGTCGTCGCGAGGAGCGGCGAGATGCTATGTGCGAAGAAGCCCCGAGAAAGACGATGCCGCGCGCGTGTCTCCCCGGCAGCCGAAAGCGAACGCGAGCGCACGACGTGCTTGATTATTCTATAACGATTTTCTCTCTCTTTTTTTGTTCCGCCGTATGTACTTTTGTGTGTGCGAGCCACGGGGATTGGACGAGGAGATTATAAGCCGCGCGCGGCCACGGTACGGCACGACACGGCACGGCGCGACGCGACGCGACGCGAGACGTCTCGTCGTGCCCCGTTGCTTTGCTTTATAAAAACAGACGCGCGGCTAGGTATCGCACGGCGCGGGCACCCGCGGGCGTCGGCGGCTTGTACGTCCGTCCGTCCGTCTCGTCTCCCCCCGAGTGCTCAATACAAAATATATAATAGCATTCGTCGATTTGAAAAACATATGTATATAACCAATTGTTTTATTTATGGATTCCGCCGGCGCTTCGCGGAGCGGCGCGGCGGCGCGCCGCTCACTGCGGCGTCGCGCGCGCGGCGTACATACCTATAACACAACAACGGCGTCGCTTGAAAAGCGTCGCGACGGTGAGCCGCCACCGCCACCGCCACCGCCGCTACCGCCGCCGCCACCGCCACCGCCACCGCCACCGTCACTGCCGTCGTCGTCGTCGTCGTCGTCGTCGTCATCGTCGTCATCGTCGTCGACATGGTGGTGGGTCGCAAAAATCGCGTGTTACATCGCGCTCGATGACGACGACGACGACGCGGCCATGCGGCGCGCAAAGAATAAAACGCATCGGCGCGCAACTTACTCTTAATTGGTCCGCCATGCTGGCCATGCGCCGGCCGGCTGGCAAGCGGAAACAATTTTTTTCATCCTGCGTACGATTTCCCGTTTGCGATGTGTATCACAGAAACGCTTGTTCGCGTTGCCAATGGTATGGTCGACGACGTCGCGATGCTCGTTGATTCGCACATTGTGCGTTTCTGTTCGTCGACTGTCCGAACCCGCGGAAAATCTCTCTCGGGGCGTCTGTCGTTTCCCGCCATTTTTCGCGTCCTCTGAATGTTACTACGCTCACATGCGCGCGCGCACGCCGCGTTTTTGCGCACCGCGGAAAATAGTTCCGGATACTTGACGCGAACGAGCATCCTCCCCTTCAATGGGGTGGGAAAGGGGGTGGCTGGCGCTACGCTCCACGTCCCCATTTAAAAAAATCAATACTTAATAATTAGCAATTAATACGCGCGCCGAGTGCACGTGTGTGCGTATGTCTGGCGATTACCCTCCTTCCCGCCCTTCTTCCCTCTCTTTTCCTCTGCTCCCTCCCCCATCGGCGTGCCCGTCGATCCTAACAATAAAGCCGCGTTCGTATAATGAGGCGATCATTATTTTGTTAATTATTCGTATTGACGTTTATTATTTTCCTTTTTCGTCCTGGCGACTGCGGGACTGCGCGCGCGAGATTACATGCGAATCGGGAGAGAAACGTGCGATGCCCGAGAGAGGAATTTTCGCTGTGACGGATGGATGAAGATAATCCTCCGGAAAATGTAACGAAGCGATGACGATTACGTGTTCATCACGATCGGCGATGATAATGATAGCGATATTTCCAATCGGGTGACAACTCGCTCGAACGTTTTGATTTCGTCGCCTTTTTGACGCTAAAATTCTGACAATGCACAACTGCTATGAACAGTGTTTCAAATTGAACGAACATTAACGAAGCAAGTACAAACGATATCGTAGCCGTAATTATTAATGCAATAATATTTGAACAAACAAGTAAATATCAATCGCGTAGAATTATTTTCTTAGCATGAGATATTAAGGACCATGAGCAATTTCCGACGATTGATATATCTCATTATTATTTTTATATTATTGTTATTAAGACCATTGTTCATTATAATTATGGCTCATTATTGTTTATACATGTATGTATGTGTTCGAGTATTCTTTTCAAAATGGATTCATTTGTTGAAGATGTTAACGTTGACATTTTTGACAATCACGATAGAAAACGTAAAGAAAACAAAAGCAAATAACACAGACAGGCTATAACCTATGAGAACATCTCCAGAGCAATTAAGAGCATCAGCATGGAGATAATTACTAAATTTTCGTCATTCTCTACGGGGACTCCACGAGAAAAAGGCGAAATCACGTATCGCAATGTCTCATAGAATACACGTTATTATCAGAAAAAGTCACTTTGCATTACCTTTCACATATCTCTAACAAATATATTTGTAACACGCGATCTCTCTTCTTCTGTGTAAATTACCGGCGAGAAAGAATGTCGAACAATCAAATCTGTGGCTACATATCTTTGCTGTACAGCGTCGCGGGCAAACCGCTGGATTTATGGTCGAAGCACGTTTCTTTGGGCGGCAAGATCCGTAGGGTGAGCGATGATATGCTACACGGCGACAGAGTGATCGAGATCGTGGGTCCCCATGACAGTATCGTTTCCACGAGCATAACTGCTCCTGCCGAGGTCGTAAACACTTTGAACATAAGGCTGCCGGTTCTCGTATTAATAATAAAGAATTTGAAATCACACTTCAAATTGGAAGTCCAGGTATATTGCACTTTGTGAGTACTGAAGAGTGTAAGTGCGTTATTTCTCTTAATGTCCTAACGATGATCTCCTGTTTTTTTTCTACGCATAAAGATAACAGATAAGAACCAGTATCGAAAGAGATTCTCGTTCATGACATACAATCTCGAGAAATTACCAAGTATCAATGCAAGCACGGCATGTATTCCACTGAAATTGGAAGAATGTTGGAACATCCTGGAGATAAATCTTCAGACACTTTGTCGCATGGTGTACGGGACGGATTACGAGGCGCTCCAAAGGATGATTGTCTATTCCGATTGTCGTCTAAGGAGAGTATATCTGCAAGATCGTCATTATGGTCATGATGAAACGCCTATCGAATTGTGCAACGCATTTCTCGATGCGTATATGTCCAAGTGGGGAATTAATTTCATGGAGAAGACTTGTCAGACAGAAGAATGTTATACAGGTTTCACACATGTATTTCATACAAGTAGTAATCATACACATCGATATGTCTATTTTTCGTTTAACTTTTTAGGATTATCAAAACAGCGCGATTCGAATCCTTTGAAAAGTAACAATACGGCTGTAAAAAGTAAGGCTACTGTTTTATCAGTAAAAGCTGGCTCATCTAAAGATACTAATGACACTGATAAGTCGGATAATTTAAGCGCACTTGGTACTATCATGAATTTGCATGATTCTAAAATATTGAAGGGGAATTATGTATCATTAGGCACATTAAACAATGAAGCGAAAATGCATAGCAATCAGTATGTTATCAGACAACAAAATTGGATTGGTCGTCCGAAATTTTTAATGAACGAAACGACCGTAAGAAATAAGCTAAGAGAGACTAGTAATAACATGACGGAAAAACAGGAAAACCGAAACAAAAAAGTAATACACGAGACAGGGGATGCAAATTCCTTCGTGAAACTTAATCATATGTTGCATCTTGCGTCTCCTGCCAGAACAAGTCAGTTTTTGAGGATGCATGTCGACAAGACACTATTCCAGAATAATTCCCAAAATAAAACAGAATTTCCAAAACGTCTGTATCCATATAGAATTCGAGATTCGAAAGATACTCCTGTTGCACAAAAAAGTAATGTTGATTCTGTTACGAATACAAAATTTAGAATATCTGTCACCAATTTTCCTGTAGCTTCTAAACCCAATTTATCTACAAATACTGGCATTAGCTGCAATAAAATGAAGAATGATATAATTGCCTCAAGTGACAAATATTTAAAAAAAAAAAAATAACCATTAACGGTTTAAGATCTTTGGTTACTGTTGAGGAAAATGTTGAAGATGGTTGTATTTCACATTTGATCGGAGAAAGGACAGAACAGAGTAATGTGAAATCGCAAAGCCTGAATTTGAAAACAAATGATAAAACTATATCTGATCTTATGGCTACATAGTCTTGTAGGTAAAAGATCCTTCGAAAAATTACAGGATAAAGAACTTATCAGACCGTTAATAGAACTGTCTACTTATAACGCGAGAAATTCCTGCAGATAACAGAAACTTGTACATGGACGCAGATGATGCATGCAGAAGTATATACTGGTTTGTGATTAATTTAATCATTAGCTGGAAATTCATCTAAAAAAATATACTATTTAAGATTTCATGTAAAAGGACAAAAATAATGTGTAATAAACATAAAACATTATTTTAATTGTTGTTGAGTAAAAGAGAGTAATCTTAAAATTTTAACATTTTATTTTTAAAGTGGCTTCAACAAGTTTCAGTGAATTCAAATATACAATTCATTAATAATTAATCCTTTTAATATCTTTTAATACTTTTTTTGCTTTTTTGAGCTAATAAAAATCATTTAAATTCTACTGACACAACTTGTCCTTTGGATACGATCGATTCAAAGAGCACATTTATATCTTGTGATTAACCATGGACTCCAAGTGTTTCCATGTAACTTATGTCACATATACTATAGCTTTTAATTTAAGTAAAGTCAAGTTAAGTTAAGCAATATCTGGTTTTATCTGTAATCCAATTTTTATGGTACAGCACAAGCTTCATCTTTCTCATAAACTCATAATCATTGATATTTTTTGCTGTTTTTGATGAAATATTGAAATAGATGATATTCCAAAATAAAATCTCCTGCATATTCCATGTCTCTTAACATTTTGCTTTATTTTGAATTGGTAAAAATAATTTAAATTCTGCTGGTAATTCGTCCTCAGAGTACAATCGGTCTGAAAAGTACACTCGTCGTATCCTACAATTAGCATGAATTTGGACTCTAAGTGTCTCTACATAATTCGTTCCATATGCACGACGTGTGAAGTCAGCCAAGTTGAACTGTATTTGATTCCAACCATCGTCCAGTCTCATCGGCATAGTACAAATGAATGGCTTAACCCTTGTTGTAGATTGATAATTGCTAGCACGAAATCTACGGCGTACATTTTTATCATCTATTATCTGTAACATATGAAATATACATCAGGAAAGAGGATAAACAACTAGAACAAAAGATGGGCTAGTTCTTGATATTTAAAATCAATAAGAAAATCAGCAATGAAAAACTTACTTGAACCTCAAATGTGAAATATTTTTTCAGATTCTTGATGATCATCACCAAGAAAGGTAACTTTATACCCAATGTCTTTCTAGGATCTGCAGGACAAGTGATATATGTCGTGCTAACATTGCTACCTAATATTTCCAAAACAAGGCTCTGGATGTCATTATCAGTAATCCTCTTGATATGTCCATTTCTAACTTTCTTGTCCCATATTTGCAGTGGTTTACTGCCAATACTATATAAAATGGATAAAAATCCACTTTGGAATGTGTTCTTGAACATTTTTACACCTACCAGAGATTTTAATGCTTTAATAATTTTCCTTAGTGCTCTAAAACAAAATATTGGAAGTATTAGTTATATACTATTGTAAAAAAATATATATGTCTGATGAGCAATAAGATCCTGGTATAACTTTATATATATACAAACCAGAAGTTAACCTCTTTCCATTTTAAGAAAGATTTGCTCCAAATGATAGATCAGCAAAGTCATGTTTACACTTGAAATAAATAATTTTTTGCTTTTAATTTAAGCAAAAAGAAAATAGTTTTTCTAAAATAAAAAGCAATAATATTGAACCTTAGACAAATTCACTGCAACTTTTGTCTAATTTGCATATTTATTTTGAATATCTTTTTTATAATTGACATATACTTTGTGAATTTTTAAATTCAGTTAATTCAATTAATTAATGAAATCTGCATATGGATTAAAACGTATATATAACTTGAACAGAATACAAATCACTGCAAATTATGAGAATACTGTAAACTTTGTATAGACTAGGCTTCAACATTACCTTTTTTATAAATTTACTACTTTTATAAATCAGAACTCATTTTTACATTTTGAATTCGACATTTCAAAATATTGTCTGACAAAATATTTGGAAATGCATTTAACCTAAATAATGTTTGATCAATATCAATGAAAAAGTATATTACTCTGAATTACTTTTCTTCTTCAAGTCGTAGCTAGAGATGGATGATGATCGATCGATAACTTGGATGTTTATCCTCTTCTTAAAAATTATTAAAAGATTGAACTCTTGATGCTTCAAATTCGTCCAATTTTCATAACTATATAATTCGGTCGTACAATTGAAAAATAATTGATTCGTTAGAAGAAACTGTGGTAACTCGTAGCGGACGGAGACTTGGAAACTAATACAACAATCCGTCTCATTATCGAGCTGCACTACTTGAAAGATAAGAAAGGTCGTCTGACCTGCTATTGATTCATACTACGAGCTCAATTTGTCCATAGCAGCGACTCATAACGGAGACTTTGGAACTAATGTGGTAGTTTAGTCAACCTTCTATTTTTCGACCAGCTTGACTCAATAGTGGGTATAAAAAGAATTTTATTCTTGAATAATTCAATTTTATCAAATTAGATTTGTAAACAAGGATTTAAATGAAACGTATTGATTCGTGTGCCACCTTGTCATGCGTATATTTGAAAAACGCATAGTAAAAAGGCCATGTACATATATGCGAAACCTTTCTACGGTTGTTATCAACGTCAAATATATAAACTGATGCAAATAGAGGAAAGCAGTAGATTCCCATAAAATACATTGTACAATTCGTTTTTCGAAATGCAATTAAAAATTTCGTCGATACGAAGAACCTTACCGGATTCTGTAGGTCTTATTTATTCGAGAAGTAATTATTCTCATTCAGAATTTACATTTTACATAACTGTTTCATTGTTACATACCAACAAATTATTTCGCTTGGGTAAACTTAACACAATAAAGCTATCTGACGATGTCAAGCGTATCTTCATTTTTCTCTCGCGTTCGATATTAAAAATAAAAATTGCGAAGATTCGTTACACTTGCCATAAGTGGTCGCAATTTTTCTTTTTTTCTTTTTATGTTGCTAACTAATTGGTTAAGGTTTTTTCTAATGTCCCGGAAATAAGCAAACGCGTTCCATAATGTGTTCACGCGTGGACCTCGTTAAAACACAAGAATGAAACGCAATATAGATTACGCATGAAACTGATTACACCACATCAATTCCGCGGTTTTTCCTCTCTTCCTCTTTCAATCGATATCGACGCATCGGGTTTTACGTTTCCTCGACATTTTGCGGATTCGCGCCCGCGGACTACGAACCGGGTTATACTTTTAATACGAACAGGCCATCCTTAAAGTGTCGAGGAATTCGTATAGTTCCTATATTTCGGTGAATCGACACATTGTTCGCTTACCATTACGATTAACTATAGTATTACAGTTTACGCGCATAAAATTGCCCTCCCAACGTGGGGGACCCCAGTTGTTCATCAAATTGGTTTCTTCTTCTGTGTTCATCTTGAAAAACTATATATATGTATATATAATGGGAACTACTACTATGTCTCATAATACTGAATGCCACATGAACAAGAAAGGCCCACCTATTAAAGCGACGTATGATCAGACCGAAGGAGGCGACTTACTTCCGCGAAAGAATCTCCTCTAAAGAATCAATAAATAATTTTCTGCAAATATGGCCTTCAACGAATGGTTAAATGTAACCACGTGTTATCTCGGAAATCGTGTCGGATGCTCGACATTAGTTACGCAATCTACGATGTAAAAAGTGGGCGTCATTAAATCAGTACATGCACGACTTTAGTGAACAATAACAGTTCAACATCTGTTTCTTGTTCAATAAATCGGATTGTAGGATGCGAGCAATGAATGAGAAGACAGGCTGAGGTTGAGAACGCCGGTACAAAGATCTCTGCGGAACAGCACAACGTCGTCAGCGAAGGCGGATATTCAGCACATAGTCATGTTGTTGAGTATGAAAAAGAAATTCTAGTTTCGACAAATAAAAGCAGTGCGATTATTCGAAGTCTGTACCGTTTCCCAGTGCCCGTTCCTCGTTCATTATTGAATTTTCTTCGTACTCTCTCTCTCTCTCTCTCTCTCTCTCTCTCTCTCTCTCCCCTCCCTCATTCTCTCTCTCTCTCTCTCTCTCTCTCTCTCCCTCTCTCTCTCTCTCTCTCTCCCCCTCCCTCATTCTCTCTCTCTCTCTCTCTCTCTCTCTCTCTCTCTCTCTCTCTCTCTTCTTCTCTTTCGGGCAACAAGACAAAATTCACCGTTGTCTGAGGATTTGTGAGTCGAAAATTAAAACAATTCCGTAACAATCTCGATGCAACGGGACAAATTTTGAGTTATTACCTTCCTCTTCTCTCCTCTTTGTGTTCTCGTTTTCCTTTTCTCTATCTTTTTTTTTTTAAGATTGAATGAAATTTCCGATACACAGCGTATCCATTGTTTATCCACCGCCAGAGATAGTTAGATAGATAGGTGTATGGAAATTTCTATTTCCTTCACTTCTCAGTATTTTACGGAATATGAATGTACGAGCTCCAGAATGCTTCTGGCCCCTGTAGAAAAGCAAACTGGGGCGTGGGGAGAGTTGTATATCGCATTACCTATGGTATGGCTTTTTACCAATGAAACAATAACTATTCAATCTTTCACACAATCACTTGTCTCTAGCTGACGTGGCCAGAGTATACTCTGGAAAAAGACATGACACATCATTTTCATATGCGACATAACAGAAATTAATTTTAAGATCTATTTCGTATTGGATGAAACGACAAAAAAAGTGTTTCGTGAGCCAATTGACCACAAGAGCACAATATAAGATATATTGAAATGTAACAGAAAAAAGAAAGTAAGCAAGAAATAATATTACGATCGTTAATCTGCGTTTTAGTATTAGGTAATAAGACATAGCTTCTTTTTCTTTTCATTCATAATAATGAGAAAGCCAAGGAACTCGTAATTCAGAAATGAAGAGATGGTCGCATTTCATCTCCAGATTTCGTGACTTTGCTTATCGTTTCTACCGAGTGTTCCTATGATCATTGGTCAATACAAACTGGCAAATGATCATCTCGAATTCTCGTGGGTAAGTTATTTTTCGCACTCCGTTTGCGATCCTCTCAATGAAAACGTTACACAATAAATATAGCGGTTATAGCTGGTCACTGCAAGGATCGCAACCGCGATCAAGCACCAATAATAAACGTTTCTCATGATCTCACGTGATGTTAATTTATTTCGCGAAAGCTGCAAATATATATGTGAATCGTCCAATGATACGTCGTTGTCTACAATATGATAGTAACGCATCTCCGACAATCACAGAAACTCGATTTTATCTGTCACGACTGTGTCGAATCGTTATTACTAATGGAACGAAAAGATTCTCACGTAGTTATTAAATACACGTGGCTTATTGGTGCTTGAACGGCATTTCAATATAATTAAGACACTGTGAAAGATTAAGAAATTTTTATGTAATAATACATTAAACAATAATCAAACATTTATTATATATATATATATAAATTATATATATATATATATATATATATATATATATATATATTGATCGGATATTTGATCAAATTTTTATCTGAGTTTTTATCTCCAGTCTCGTAAATGATTCAACAATGTAAACTTCAAACATATAAGATAGGAGCATAGAATATTATGCAATAATCTTATTTGATAAAGTTTCTTTTTGCGAATTATCATTTTTCCACAGTGTATGTACTTCTAATAATGCAAAGCGTAATAAGATCATTACGTAATAAAAAGTAAGAAAAAATCAAGTATAAAATAAATATGTCCACAAATGGATAATAAAACATGCATGAAGTTGTTTTTGGCATTGATAATGCTCATTTACTACGATAAATTCTACAGTAAAAAAAGAAATTCAATGATAAATGCTCTCTTTCGCAGTGTCTTAAAGAAGCATAAATATAACTCAACGTTGTATGCGAGTCTTAAACACTATTCGGTTACTTATCGATAGCTCCATCCATAATGTTGTTTTTAACTTGAATGCTAATGTGTATTCCATCACCAGACGCACCTTTATCTTTCTTTGCTTGCGCATTCGCGGCATTATCAAGTCCTAATTTCGTGAGAGTACGAAGAGCCCTTAATGCCGCTTGATTGCGGCTCGCAGCTATTGTCGCTCCGTTACCGTGACAAACCTGTGGTGGATCGGTGCTGAGTGATACAAGCGAAAGATATTCCTTGTTTATGGACACTCCCTAAAACGATAGATGAAGCCTGAGATTTGTCGTTTTACCACACATTTCAGTGTTATATCAAATCACGAAAATAATACACGAAAAATGTTTAAAATGTAAAATAAAATAAATAAAAAATAATATAAAGAGATTATACCAAATAAATCATTCTGTTAAATAATTCTATAAATTGGAATCCCGCAAGTGTAAGATTTCTTAAAAACCTGATTAAATAATTGAAGCATAAATATAATTAAATTAAAATCTTAAATTTTACTTCGACGCGAGTCAAAACTGATTCAAGTTTTACCTTCGGAAAGTCGCTGAATTCTACACTGAAGTTAAGTAACTGAGATAGATAATGTAATTGATCCTTGGGCGAGACACCGGCAGAGTTTTGTTGCTGTTGCCCGCGTAACTCTTCAGCGACTATCTGCACACTGGGTCCGCTCCCCAATTTAGATTCTTGACCTCCGTCCACTAGTAAAAGACCGGGTGCTAACTGGCGACCGATGGTACCTAAATGAAAGAACGATATATGTAATAAATGATAAAATCTCAGAACTGAATCTCGAACAACAGTTACAACTGATATTTCTAGCTTACCTCCTACCGAATGAGGTTGAATATCGTTTACTTGATCATCCTCAAGAAATGTCACCTTTCTGGGCTTTGTTTCCGTATTCTCACTATCTCCTGTCTTGATAGATGGCTTGGCGGGTTGTGGTGACGGTTTGCTGTAACCTAATTGCGCCAAAAGAGCTTCAGCGGCGGCTCGTTTGGCCAATTTTTTGTTAGGTCCAATCCCTTGAGCTGAATGCTGACCCATAGTCACCTCCATGACGAATTCTCTACGTCTAGGCGCACCCTTCTCATCTATGAGATTGTAGACAGGCTCCCGTTCTCGCTTCGCCTGCTGAATCTGAACCAGACGCGAGACCGGATTAACCTCCTCCGCGGCTTCGTTCTCCGAACGGGGCTCTTGATAGACTTTAATTAAATTACGAGATTTCTTCTTCGTCGCCGGTGGCTTACGCTTGACTCGCAGCGATCGGTTCTGTATACTAGCTGGTAACGGGGGAAGACGCTTCAGTTCCTCTAACATCAATTCGGCGGCGCGTTTCTTCGACACCTAGAAAAGAAAAGGGAGAATGGAGAAAAGAATAAGATATTAGCGTGTAAGATTGTCACGGTCTTCTTGTACGAAAGATTACCTTCTTCGAAGATCCTTCCCCTACGGTAACTTTGTCGCCGACAGTGCACTTCGTCATGAAGGTTCTTATGTGAGGTTTACCGCTTTCTGACACAACCTCGAAACTGACCGGTAATCCACGCTTTAACGCAGTCTCGTGGACCAACGATACTGGACTCTTCAATTCTGCATTTGGATCATCGATTCCGCCCAATGTACCATTCTCGTTGGAGTTGTTAGCGTTCGCAACTTCCTCCGGCAGTGGTAATTGGCGTAATTGTTCCAAGGCTCTACTGGCCGCATCGTGACGAGCCGCTTGTCCAGTCAGACCTCTGCCTGTAAATTCGCGCTCACCGACCTTCAGAGTGACGAGATACAACCCTTGAAGATCCGTGTGAACTCCGCGATTGTACGGAATTCGTGGATTAAACATTCGCGGGTAGTTTCCGAAGCCGTGCGTTACTGCGTACTGATGCTGCAATGCAGCTGGTGGAGCTTGCCGAAACGTGTAGACCGTAGGTTCTCCACGTTTCATGGCTAGAGCATTCAGTTCAACGGTAGGAGGCAAATGTCCTGTAAAGCGATGAAATTTTATTAATCATAAAATTGTTAAGTATAATATCATTTAAGTATAAAAGAAAATAAAACATAAATATATAAAAGATGTCAAGAACGTAAAGAATTTTGTATTTTATTTCTCGAGTGAGAGATGATATTGTGTGTATAACTCGATATTATGTAAAATTTATAACACGAATTTACCCGAGCCGGTTGGACATTTGCCTAGATGACCAATCCTCATGGCCTTGGTGGGTTTAGGCGGTGGCTGACGATACCAGGTTTTCGTTAATGCTTCCGTCGCTGCGCTGTGTTGAGCCTTCTTTATGCTGGGACCTTCCGCGATGTATTCCTCTTCGCCGAGCTTCAGTGTCACCGTGAATCTCTTCTTGTGCGCCGGTCCTTGCTCGTTAGTGAGTCTATACTGATGTTGAACCCTATTGAATCTTGCCAGCTCGTTCAACAAACACATGGGTGTTTTTTCTTTCATGTTTGCCAAAGCTGGATTGGTTGCGTTGGCATGATTCTGCCCAGATGAACCGTCGTCCCTAGACTCTCCGCCGTTGCCGTCGTTTGTCACTGTTTTCGTTTGTTCCACGACAGCCTGTTGCGATTGTTGCTGCTGTTGTGGTTGCGGTTGTTGTTGCTGCTGCGCTTGCTGCTGGAGAGGTTGATTTGGTTGGTTATTCGGCTGCTGCTGTTGCTGATGATATTGGGACTGCTGTATATTTGAATTCTGAAGAGTTACAGAAACTGTGTTTGTCTGGTCCTTCATGCTAACGCTAACCATAGTGTCTGAAACAAGTTATTCACCATTAATAGAAAGTTAAACTGATATTAATAGAAAGTTAAACTAATATTAGTAGAAAGTTAATAGAGTTGGCAATTAAAAATCATTGCCATAATACGCATTATATACTTACTGCTTGTATTGTGCGTATTCATGCCCATCAACATCGGCTGTCTAGGATTTCCATGCGGCGGGCCAGGATGCTGCATGTGATGCATATGCTGTTGATGGGGGGGCATGGACAGTATCGGTTGATGTGGATTCCGATGCGGCAACAGATGCTGCGGCTGATGTAAAGGGGGCAAGTTAGCCTGCTGCATAGGCCGCATCGGACCTGCCATTCTACATAAACATCATGTTTGTTTGGTTAAAATATATTTTTAGATATTTATTATATTAACTATGAATTAATATAGACATGCAGTTACATTATATCTATACAAATATATATCAAATAAAGATTAGCTGATAAAATATTAACCTATTATCTCGCAGCTGATTCTGCATTGCGTGATGTTGATGGCGTAACATCTTATGAAAATCTACACAGGGAAACCTAAAAAAGAGAATTTATTTCATCATGCTTAATAGAAGAGGAAGCAAGTGAAGTCCTGTCATTAGTCACAGGTGTTTATTCCAGGTTTCAATTTTTACAGTCTCAACCCTATGTATTTATTTATTTCATTCTAATACATGTGCTTCTTGAATCGTTTCGTGATAAAAATTTCGAAATAATGTTCGTATGAAAATAATCATCCATTCAAGAATAGGAAATGGTACATTGAGCTACCGGCAATCTTCAATGCGGTTTCGTAATGCCGTGTGGGATATCGCGACATCATCATAATCGTACTGTGATCCGAACAACGTGTACGCGTCGAGAAGGATGATATTCCCATCATACAAAAAAGGGCGAGCCACTACGGTTAACGACCGTTACTGGTGGACACGATTTTGCGGCGCGTCGTTGCGGCGCGTCGTCGTGGTCACGCGCGATCTTCGTACGCATGGACGTAGCACGAGTTGGTGCGTGCTCAGTTGAGATTCCGTCTATAAATAAATGTCAATTCGACACAAAATGATGGGCTTGGCCCGACGACGACGACGACGACGACGACGATAACGACGGCATTTCCGCCGAATGCCGAACGCGGGCTGCCCTCGTTCCTCGCTCTTCGCACACTTACCCGGTCTAGTTTGTTCTATTTCACGGAAACTTTGCGCGCAACGGACGATACGGTGAAATTTCCAGCGAAACAGATCGGCTACACTGCGTAGCGAACACCGCCAAGCCCTCAGCACGGGATATTGGCAAACAGTAAAGAAAAGTATACTCTGTAGACTAAAATGCGGCCATTTTAATGTGAGACTGAGCCTTGACCATCGCGCACGCACTGTCACATAGATCGACGTACGAGCAACCAATCATTGGATCATCACACGCATGGTACCACCGACGAGGTAATACAGGCTGCGTTCCGATATATTCACTGCCAGTACTGAAAATATATACTTTATGTTACATATATTATAGATTTTCAGTACTGGCAGTGAATATCGGAACGCAGCCATAAAGACTAACAGCCCTGAGTAAATTTTCATATCAGCCAAGGGAGCTCTAAAGGGCCCACAGGTAATTGAAGAGCGATGATAATACTGACTGCTTTAGTGGCTACGCCACCGACGAGGTAATATAAAGACTGACAGCCCTAGGTAAATTTTCGTATCAACCAAGGAACCCGAAAGGGCCCAGAGGTAATTGAAGAGCGATGATAATACCGACTGATTTAGCTACGCCCAAGATAATATAGCTAGCAACTATTGCCGATGCACGGCGAGGGGAAGATAACACGTCGCTATTCATGTTTTATCTCGCCGCTTCTATGTCTCTCGACGCACGTCGCCAGCAGTTATTGAATCGAGGCCACGCTGTGACTCGAACGGCTGCGACGCTTCTCCAATCATTCATCCCGGCGCACGCTTACTCGTTAGAATTCTGTAATTAATAACTGCATAAGTATTAAAAAAAAAATATATATATATATATTACATAACATTTACGTTATATCACATTTATATTATTGCAAGTAGTAAATTATATACACATTAAGGTTATGTCACCGATAGATGTTTATTTATTATATCTAGGTTATATTATTTTTTTAAAGCATTTTATATTATTTAATATTATAAAATACTTTACAAAAAATGTCTATAAATTTAATATTAAAAAGTTAATATCATATAGCGAATGCAGATAACGCATTCAAATAAATAGCAAAGAAAAATGTAGATAAAGCAGTTGCAAGCTGTAGTACTGGAAACGATACTTTAGAAGTAAAAAGTACGTAGAAATAGATAATGTTCAAGAAAAAGAAAACATATTAATAGATTATTATTCAATTTGTCTACATCAACACATATAGATGCGTTCAGAAACGATCCTATTAATTAACTTGTATAAAGAATATATTGATAAATTCAACAACCGAAAAGTTTCTCAAATCTGGAATAGTGTCTCCAAAGAAATGGAAAAAGCAGGATATGAAATATTCGGTATAAAATGTGCAATAAAATTTTAGTGTTTGAAAAGATCTTACAAATCTGTTGCTGACCATAATAAAAAGTCAGGTAACAATAGGAAGCAATGGGAATATTATGAGGTATGTCACAATAACACTATATTTTAACATTTAATGACTTTAACGATATGCTTATTAATTACTTTAAAAATATATTTGTAAAAATTGTAAAGACTATTCTAAGCAATAGTAAAAATAGACTAATATTTTTCGTTTTTATACTTTAAGTTGTATATGTAAATTTACAACGCACGCGCATATTTATTATTATATCATATTATTATGTTCTACGAAATATTGAACGCTTTAAATCCATAAAAATAAGGAATATCAAAATTAGAATTTTTGTTAATTATTTTATTAAAAATTACAATTTTCATTTTGTAAATAATACATGATTGCATTACGTTTTTCAATGCCTTCTTCTCGTAAACCTTGTAAGATTCCCATTTCGACATTTTGTGCATATTTGTTTTGTTCTACAATAACAGGTATATCCATATGATCATTTTGGAGTAAACAAATGTTATGTAGAATACAACAAGCAACGATATATTTAAGGATTAAATCGGCTCTTCTCATGGGTAGTGTATCTAAAAGACTCCGAAACCTTCCTTTTAACAAGCCTATTGCTCTTTCTACCATCATCCTGGCTTGAGACAAGCAAATATTGTATTTTATTTGCGCATCAGTTAAATGTCCATTGTCTTTGAATAGCAAACCATAACATATTTTTGGATACTATAGGCAGCGTCACCTAATATGTGATTATTTTCAGGAAAATTTTGTGCTGTACATAAATTCTCTAAACTTGATAGTCGAAAAACTCATATCATGTACTGATCCTATTTGTCCTGCATAAACATGAGTAAATTTTAAATCATGATTACTGACCACCTGAAAAGAAGAAAGAATTTAAAAATATAAAATATAAATTTCAAGTAGGATGAGTAGAAATTATACATATATATCAGACTCCATTAATGCATTTTTAATTATTTTAATTATTGTATTAAAGAAATCATACAATTGTCAAACATACATGTAACTGCATGGAATAATAGCCCTTCCTATTTATACAGGGTGGTTAATTATAAGTTGCCAACCCGAAATGTGAAGGTAGATTGGGTTAAGATAAAAATAAAAGTCCCATACTGTTTTGCGAGATTCGCAATAATTATCGAGTTATTAATGACAGAAATCTGAGGAATGGGAACGCGCCGACATCGATGATTGGAGAAGCGTTGCAGCTACTCAGGCCACAGCGCGGCCCACTCGACCCAGCAACTGTTGGCGGCGTGCGGCGAGACGTAGGTCCGGCGAGATAAAACAACGAATAGCAGCGCATTGTCTTTCCCCTCACCGCGCACCGGCAACAGTTTCTGGATCAACTGGGCCGCGCTGCGGCCTAAGCAGCTGCAACGCTTCTCCAATCATCTATGCCGGCGCGCTACCACTCCTCAGATTTCTGTCATTAATAACTCGATAATTATTGCGAATCTCGCAAAACGGTATGGGACTTTTATGTTTGTCTTAATCCAATCTACCTTCACACTTCGGGTTGGCAATTTATAATCACCCACCCTATATAAGCATCTGAATGTAATTTTGGCGCTGCAATTTTGATATGCGTCTCATCTATTGTTCCTATCACTTTTGGAAATTTGTATCTATTTTTAATACATGTCCAAATTTCTTCAGCTCTTTCTCTTTGTGACCATGTAATAAATCTGTCAAGATGTGAATACAACGCATTTTGGACTATTGGCATTTTGGAATACAACTTTTTGGACACAACTCCGAGCAGTTCCTTTACCAATACCGAATCGATCAGCAACACATCTACATAGTTAACGAAGCATTAAATATGACACATATATTAACATTATATTTTTATTATATATAAATTTTATTTATCTATATGAATTAGGAGTTGCCATCATCCATATCGCTACTAATAATGTTTTTTCAGATGATATTGTACATCTGCCACATCCCTCTAATTGTTTCGATAATTTTTCGCTTAATAGCTCTAGCAAAAACCTAAATGTTAATCGACTGAGGCTATGCAAAAAATGTAACGTATTAATTTGTATTGTATATTAATTGTATATATTTTTAATATATTCTCAAATAACTTACCGAAAATGACTTTTAAAATCAATATCAGTATATTGCCAAATTACATCTTCCACGTAATTTTTACAGTGTACTTTGGGTATACGTTCAAAATGATAATAGTTATCTAATATTTCCATTGTATCAGAATCACTGGATTCCTCGCTGGAATCATCGTGTACTATTTCCAAAAGGGTTTTTAATAACAGGCGTTTTGGTATGTTTTGCTCCATGATTATTCTATTTTAGATTAACTTATTGTATGTTATCTCATTTTCGCTGCAAACACTGAAAATACCGTTCCAATTTGAGCCTACCATTCGCACTGATAGTATGATTGTTTAAATTGGAACGCTGTTGGTAGCATGCTTTTATGACATCATACTTACAGCACTGTCAGTAATTTTGGAACACAGCCTATATCGGAACGACACTCGTAGTACTGTCAGTACTGGCAGTGAATATCGGAACGCAGCCATTGTCGCAGCGTGCTGTAATGAATTTTGGAACGGTGTTCACAGTGCTGCCACTGTTGCCAGCGCTTGAATTATATTTTGGATTACAGCCGGACACGACGAAGATGACGGATACGGCGAAGACGATGACGAACACGACGAAGACGACGAACATGGCGAAGACGATGACGAACATGATGACGCTGACAACGAAGACGACGAAGATGACGACGAATACGACTACGAAGACGATGAGGACGACGAAGATGACGAGGACGGCGACGAAGACGATGACGAAGACAACGAAGACGATGAAGACAACGAAGGCCGTTTCAAAATTCACTGCTAGTACTGAAAATATATAGTTTGTGTCACACAAGCTATAACTTTTCAGCGCTGGCAGTAAATTTTGGAATACGACCTAAGACGATAAAACGCGAGTAGCAGCGAGATAAAATACAAGTAGTAGTGCATTGTCCTTCCCCTCGCCGCGCACTGGTAATAGTCGCTGTATCAAATGGACTGCGCTTTGGGCCGCTTACAATTGCCGCGTTCAGTAGAACAAAGTGATCAGAGAGCGCTTGGTGATTATTGTCTATGATTGGAGCATTCTGTTAGATTCTTCATAGACCCAGAAGTATTTACCAATCAGGAGCGAGATTCAGTGGAAAATCTAGTAATGTTGTCCAACTGTTGAGTCTGCTGAATGCAGCCATTCCTATAATTAATAACTCTAGAGTTATTGCGAATATCGCAAAATGGTATTGGAATTTTATATTTATCTTAATCCGCTCTATGTCTACATGAATTCCTCGGAGCGAGGAATTCGTGAAACCCTCTATACATATGTCTGCGACCGCAATTTTAGTATTATTTCAACTTTGAATTATTAACTCAAGGAATGCCAACGTGTCTTATATATTTAAAATAAAACTTATTTCAAGTTTTCTTACGTCTCGCAATCCTAGGAACATACACACACACACACATTCTACCTGTTTTCTGTATTTTGATAGGATTTTGATACTTTCCGATATCTTTTTCCCATTATTCCATACCTGTTACCATCTATGCTTATTTCGAGTTATGTTTCATATTCCGGCCACGATATTCCTAAGAGGACGCTAATGCGCAGCGAGATTTCTCTGGTACGCTAAATTCCGTAAGACCAATAGTCTTTATAATATTTCGTCGGTGATGTAAGGGCAAGAGCATAGGCTTTTGCATAACACATAATACATAACACATGAGAGAATAAACTAATTAGTTTTCTTCATTTCCCTCCTCAGGATAGAAATGAAGAACCAGATTTCTATCCTGAGGAGGGAAATGAAGAAAACTAATTGGTTTATTCTCTTATGTGTATGTATTATGTGTTATGCAAAAGCCTGTGCTCTTGCCCTAAGTGTTTGTCGCGTATTGAAAATACCTCCACAGATCGTGACGTTCAAATATGGCGTCCTATGATGGCGTCGTAATGACTGATACCGAATGTTCAACGTGAGATCACTGAGATCTCATCTAGATTCGTACCCTCTTTCAATAAGAATGGGCTCGAACGAACGGTAACACTGTTTCCTTTCCCAGGATGCTTGTAAATTATAGAAAATGAAGAGTAATCAATCGAGCGATTACTGGGATTGTGTATTACACGTCATCCGAGATCATGTCGACACTTTGGCGGCGATTCTCTTCGTCTTGAACCGGTGATAATGGAGGATGCTACGGTCGAAATTTAAATTCAAGTATTATAAAAATATGTTTGTTATTTTCCGAGGAACTTCCTGATATATTAGTTTAGGAAATTCCGCGAGAAAGAACATATTCAATGCTTAATATAATTACAAGCGATGAATTGGTGTTAATTATCATATTGATTGTTCTGAAGAGCTTGTTAATTATATCGGCATTATTAATACGTTTCTGTAATACTGATATTAAAAAGAAATGAAGAAAGTATTTATTATTAGAAATACAAACATTACTAGAAAATATCACATAAATATTAAGTTTATCATTATTTATTAAGAAATATTTACTTATTTACTTATTTGCAGAGTGTTTACATAACAAAAATTTTCATTCATTTTGATCTCATATTAGAATTGCAAATCAAAAGAAGCATTTGCGTTTGGCATGTATTATATCGTTTTTTTTTATTTTTTATTCTGCAATAAACCTTAAGTCTTATTTTTACAAGTTAACTAATTTGAAATGAAAAACTAAATGATTCAATTATATATTTTTCTCGATGAATACGTTCCAACAAACAATATTTTTTGTTGTTATTTTATATTGTTACTACTATCTGTTCTCTTTTATTTACTCTTATAAAATAACAGTGTAGCTACATTGTTCACTGCTATTAATTGTATATTCCAATTGTTACAAAGGACTTTTTCGTAAAATATTACTTAGTTAATTCGAGCTTGAAGAGAGTGTAAGCGATTATTTATGGCTGCAAGCTATTTGTAGAGAGATGAGGAATATCCTTATACAATTTCATAACTCACACAGCATAATCATGTTATGAAAAAATTTGAAAGTTATAATAATTTATATAACATCTTCTGTATAAATACAAATTGATATATTAATCTCGTTGCATAAAGACAAAGTTTAGTGAATAAAATGCACAAATTTACAAATAGATTCTTAATAATCATAAATTTTATATTGCGATTATATTGAATTCATCTTCGGTGTTTGATCCCAATTAGAAGATGCTTGTATTTAAAAATCGTAAAAGTGAAATCTTCCTTCATAACGCCGGTGTCCGTGTACCAAAGATAATTGGCCGTGTAAATTTCACACTTTGAGATCCGTGTAAGACGGTAATCTCACAGCATATGAGGGTTGATTATTTTCGCTAACGAAAATCGTGCCATTTTCTCCCTTTTCGATTAACTCTACAATAGCAGTTGCCACGTGTTCAGGTCTGTTGAATAAACAAGACTTATGTTATGTATTCTTAAAAAAATTGTTATCATAACAAATTCAACTGTATAGCACGAAGTTATGCAGTATTTGTAACTTACGATTGGCCATCCATTGTTGTCATCTCCTTCGCAGCAATCTCGTCATCGAGGATGTCCATGGCATAGATTTTGCTAGACATGAATTTCGTCGCCATGGCAGTATTCGTGAGACCAGGACATATCACCAACACGCGTACACCGGTCTTCTCGTAAAAAGTCTACGAATATACAACATTTCAATAGAGTAATTGCGCCTATAATATTCTTGCGGGTCTCAGCATTTTACTAAATGCAAAGTAATATCAATATAATTTACATAATTTTACATGAAAAGACTGAAACATTAATTTATGTGACACATATTCGTCAAATTATACTTGCAGAACTATTCGGTATTTATTTAGTCAAGCTGCAGTTTTACCTGTAATGATGAGCTAAATCCAAGGATGGCGAATTTCGTACCGGCGTAAATCGGTGCGATCGGATTGCCCTTCAGACCGACTATGGAGGACATATTGACGATAGTACCACCTTTTCCGCCTTTGTGCTTTCCCATATGATTCAGACCCAATATTGTGCCACATACAACTCCTTTCTGCAATCATAAAGAACGATGGCTGCAATTATAAAGGATAATAAAATGGCTATGTTTTGTGCGCATAATGCATTTCTAACGGATGTGCCATAATGTATTCTCAGAGAAACGTCTTATTGAATGTAATGAAATGAACGGTAATTTTCACACTATCTATATCGCTAGTATTTTATAATTAAGCAAAAGGATAAGAGTAGAAAAGAATATACTAAGATATTTTGACCAAGAGTTACGACTGTCGTTAATTTAAAAAAAAAAGGATGTATCTCATTAAAGGCATAGAAAGAAGCATATATTAATAGCTAAATGAGATTTTGTACAACAAACCGATCATTACTTACGTAATTAATATCAACCATCGAGTCCCATTCGGCATCATTCATAATCCCAGCCCCGTTGATAACAATGTCCAACGTGCCAAGCGTTTCTATCGCCTTGTTGAAGCAAGCTATATGCAAATATATTAGAAATATTCTCGTTTAGAAGAAATGTTTCGTGAAAATTGGAATAAAAATATTAAATACGCTTGTGTATTTGAGATCGGATCCAACTGAGATTATATTTGCAACGGTGTTTTTTTCTCGCATCAAGCGATCAACCTGTAAGTTACCTGTAAGTTCGTCAGCATTTGCCACATTCCCAGGGAGGAAAATCGCGTGATCCGTACCAAATTCCTTCTCCAATTCCTCCACGGCATGTTCACCGTTCGAATCGGGCAAATCTACAATTGCAATGGCCTGCACGAAAATACATAGAGTTAATGAATGTCGTATAAATAGACGCAACTAAAACTCGAAAACTGAATTTTTACTTAGTCAGTGTATATGTAAAATTTTATTTAAAATTTCATATCTTTTTATATGAAATTTTACCACGACAACATCCTTTTTTCTTGTAATGCTATAACTTGTAAAAAATTAGATATAGATCCTATCCAATCGCTTTGCATTATCTCATAATTACCTTTGCTCCACTTCGCAGTAATTCCCGAGCGGTGCAATAACCGATCCCGTTGGCTCCTCCAGTGATAAGCACGATTTTCTCCTGAATTTCCATGTTGGATAAGTCCGTTCGATGTTCTCCCTTGCGAATGCAATTCGCGGATTTCCCGATCGCACTGGAGGTACGATCTCGTCGAGCACCGATCCGCAAATAAATCTGCCGGATACTGCTGGGAGCGAGCCACAGATGTTGAAATTCGAGAAGCCGATGGTGATAGAATATCATTCGCGAATCTGATATGGATAATGTGAACCTGCTCTCGAGGTAAACAAGATCGGATTCGCGAGCCGATAGGTAAGAAGCACGGAACAAAAAAAGAATGATGAAGAAGGCGCGTAGATGCGGAACCAAAGCCAGCGAGTAAGTCCACTCCTTGTGTTGTCTGAGTTGTCAGTGTATAAAATCTTGTCCCCATAAGAGAAAAAGATTACACTATGTATACATTAAAAATTACCATATTAATATTAGTGAAATCGACAATATACAAAAAATATTTACTTACCATAAAACATATTTGTTGGGAATTATATATTCCTGATGAATTTGTGTTGCTAACTTTTGCGAGGAATTTGAGGCAAGAATAAAACGAAGGGTAAAACAAGCAATTCTTATACAGGGCAAAAGCGCGATTGAGAAAGGTTCAAATTGATACTTGTAATTTTATTAAAAGGCAATGCATTTTATTGGCAAGGCTAGCAACGTACATATCGTGTAACGCATAACAGAAACATACTCAACAATCGTCACTGAATCACACTATCGATTGAAAGCTACAAAGAATCATTCGAACGAGCAATATCTCTCTCGAACAAATTCGACGGATTCGCCTGGTTAACTAGATATCCGACCGATCTGTGTCGATCTGAACGATACAATTTGGTGCGGTGATATTGCTGCATACCGTGAAAAAACTGAGACAAAACAGGAACAAGTTACGTCTATCAGCCGGTAGATTCTAATTCTATCGCTATACCGTTTCTCTAAATATTCCTTCGTTTTCCCTTAAAAGACTGTAGAAAAATTACTGACACGATTGGATACGTAGTTTCACTTGGAGTAATCGTCCGACGGATTTCGGTTTAATTCCACTCGCGGTTGCACCGATGCAGATGATCCTTAACACACATATCGAACTTTGAGCTATAAGTTCACAAGAAATATATTTTTCGGCAAATTCTTCTAAGACACGGCATGAAAATTGCATTTGTTTTTCCTCTTGAACAATATATTCATCCTACTTCATTTTCATTTGAACTACATGTCTCAGTAATGTTGACTATATATTTCGGTCAGCCTACCGTATTAATATTTTTTCGTAAATATAATATACCTAAAATGTATAATATATAAAAATGTTTTCGAGATGATAAATTTATTTGATTACTTTTTAGATTGAAACGTTGTTTCTCTTTCTGCTGAATGTTGAAAAAAGGTATATTTACGATAATAATGTTCAATATAGCGGGTTCCACTTGCCCTTTCTTACGTAAGAGAACTATCGTATTTTGCGACATTCTGCCAAACGGAAATGTCCGTGAATCCAGGATCATTTATATCGATTATCATAAGAGATGCCTATGAGCTTCCTCTCTCACCTCTTCTTTTGTACGTGTCGAGAGCGCGAATCAATACTTTCATCTCTCTCACTCGATTTCTCTCTCTCTCTCTCTCTCTCTCACACACGCTCTCTCTCCTTCTCTTTCTCTCTGCCTTCCTCACACAAGCAATAAATACAAAGTGTCTCTATTATACTCGACCTAGTAGTGAGACGCGATTACATTACACTTAGCGACGTGAGACGGCATGAAGGGAATCGTTGAGATTATGTTGGATATCTTAGAGAGAAAAAAGAAAAAAAAATTATCGGCTATACGTAAGACGAGTAACTTGCGCGACGATTACAAATGACTGGCGGCAGGATATAGATATCGTTGCGATAATTTCCTTCGGCACATCGCACGAATATTCGCAACGCTTGAAAAATGAAGATTCCTCGTGCGAGAATTTTCGACTGATACAAGTGAATGCGTATTGCTGAATTTAGACCCGTGTCGAAAACCGACGCGAATTCACAACGCGGGTGCGGGACGGAAGCGAAAGCCATTGTTTTTACAATGTTTTGCATTTTTTTCGCGTGTATTTTGTGCGTGCTAAAAATGTTCCCGCTATCGTAACGCGCATTTCGCGTGCGGGATTTTCTTATTCTTTTTTTTTTGTTTTTTTTTTTTTTAATATCGCAATTGTCTCTCGCGATTATTAAATCCGAGGTACTCTCACCTGCGTGTCGCAGATTCTACTATAAAGTCAGTATAAATAGTACGAAAAGTATGACTTTCTATCAAAAATCGAAGGTGGTGTAATCTTCGGACAATACATTCGTTGTCGTCAGTAAAAAACATATTCCAAATATCTTCGCGAAATATTTCGTATGAAAGTATATGAGTAAAACTACGTTTCGCTCGTCATTTCGGTCATCGTCGACAACGGCCGGCGGAGTGCCGACACACAAATGATGGGATACACATGTCGATACAATTACAGTTAATTGTGCGATACGGCGTAAGATATTTGCAGTGAAGCGAGGAAGAATCATTGCACGTGGACGACACTCTCTCTTTCTTTTCTCATCTCTTTCTTCCTTTCTCTTTCTTTTTAGTGCTTCGAGAAGCTGATCTCGTGCGGCGGCTGCTCCTTCTCCACCATCCACACGCTTCCGCTCTTGCCGGTATTCAACACATGTACCAACGCCTTCGCCACGTGTTCCACCCTGCAGTATTTTTTAGATGTGCTTTCGAAAAACGTCTCGTATATAAAGTATTATGATTTTCATACTAAATTGTAATTTACATCGGATAATGAAATAATTAAGATTTTGCACTTGATGCTTTAAAGGTTCGTGACAAATATTTTAAATGTTTGTATCAATAGTGATAATTGATAAAAGACTAAAGTCGTGTAAAGTCGTGTAAATTGTACCTTTGAGGGACTGACGAAGCTGTATCTCTTTGCCAAGCATCCTCGTATCGAGCTAGAAGAAGCTTCCTGCCGACGTCTCGCACTAATTTGGTCTCTGTGGCACTTGGACAGAGTGCCATCACTTTAACGCCCGTCAAGTCCACGTGATATTGATCCTATTGATATATTAAAAAAAAAAAAAAAACGTAATGTATCGCAAATCAGCTTCGCATTCTGATCTTAGATCCAATTCGATACATACATTGAATATTTCATATATAAACTGAATATTTTTTTTTACATATTTCGTAAGAGAGAGACGGACTTGGTTAATAAAAATTTTAAGTGTAAATCTTGTCGAATCTGTTCTCTTGTTTCTGTGAAAATAATGCTATTTTTAAATATAATTTATATTTCCGCATTTATAATTAATATTTATTGAAATGAATTAATTCTCCACTTTATTTAAAGTTGAAGAGATCCGTGCTTCGTTGGAATGATTGGAATATCGACGACCTACTTGTCGCTATTCCGAGTCAGCAGTTATGATCAATAACTGAGGTACGTGCAAGAAGAAACTTCTTACCCCGAAAGCCCTGGTGAAGTTGACGACGGCCGCTTTCGTCGCGGAGTAAATCGGCACGCTGACGTAAGGGTTGATGCTGACGTTGCTGCCAGTATTAATAACGACTCCACCCTGGCCGCCCCTGTCCGTGCCCATAAACCGTTGAGCGAGCAAAGTGCCGCGAATCACTCCGTTCTGTAAACATATTTGCGATGACGTTAATTTTTAATGCACATACGTTGCGGTATCAAACATGTCGAGAACTGCATTAAATGATTCGAGATAGGTAACATATATGAGAAGCGAGGAAAAGTGGAGAGAGGAGGCCATTAAATTTGCATCGGCGTGCCCAAGAGTCATTTGCTAATACACCGTTGGAATGAGGCATACGAAGTACACAGAGAAATGTCTATCGATGATATTTACTTACGAGATTAATGTCTACTTCAAGCTCCCAAAATCGATCATTCATGATACCAGCATTGTTAACAACGATATCAATATGACCGAATTCGGCGATCGTTGTCTGAAACGATTCTGCAAATCGAATCGCACCGTATTACTACATGAGTAGTCGCCGTATTGTTGCAAATTATATACATGTATATATCATACCTTCAAATTGCGGGTAATCTGTGACGTCGCATTGCGAGAAGATCACGCGATCTTTACCATATTTCGCGGTCAATGTCTCCACCAGCTTCTCTCCTTCTTCGGTGTTAATATCACAAATGGCCACCTATAGATAACGAAATGGAAATGGACGAAGCTTTTTGCGTACTCGCAATGTCGTTAAATAAGCTTGGCATCGTTTGTAAAATACTTCTAGTTATTCATTATTAAAATGAAATATGAAATTTGCGAGTGTGTGTGTGTCACACACTCAAATCACACAGCAAATCGAAATTATTAAATAAATAAAAGTTAACTTAAATTTTACTCGTATAATAATGAAATATTTGTTTGCAGAAATTTTTTCCCGCAACTGTCAAAACGAAATAAAAATTTCCTAAGGATGGAAAAGGATGCAAAGCACTTATTACCAAAATAAGAGCATATATTTTACGAACAAAATTCTACGGTATGTATAATATAATAAAATATAATGCAACCATAACTGAATATTAAACAACATGATTTAATAAGTTTTATATATTTTTTTCGTATATTAAGTAATGTATATCTGCCATCGGTGACGGTAATTTGACTTTTCAAGATTTGTCTTGAACGAGCGATAAATTTATCGTCTGCATCCGAGAACGATCTAAATATAAACCGGCTGTTTTGATGAAAAACGGCAAAGAATTCTCGAAAGATCTTTTTTGCGCGAAACTTTCCGTCGAAGACATGCAAATCTACGCAAACGGCACGTGATGTTCACCGCTTGAAAAATCACAATGGCGAATTTCCGTTTTCCGCAAAAGAACGAAATATTTTCGTGATATGAGAAAAAATAAGTCAAAAATTAAATAGATTTTCTCTTAAATTGTAATTTTACCTTGGCACCCTGATTTAACAGCTCGATGGCACATGCTTTGCCGATACCGGCAGCGGCTCCTGTCACAAGGGCAACTCGCCCTTTTATCTCCATCTTCTCTAAAGATTGTTGTCTGCTCTTATATCTGCACATATGAAATTCGGGATTACAGCAGGTCACCGTTATTTTATTACTTCACAGCTAATTGTACAGATAATAATACTATTTCAAAAATACTACCTATCATTAGTAGTATATCTTTAATAATATACCATTCAGCAGAGAACCTAAAGAAGGAGAGGCAAAATGTTGCCTCTCTTTTCTCGCAGAAGTTTGCGCACAACATCTCTCCGGTAATCTAACTTTGTCCCCTATCCCTCCGTTATCTCTTTCAAACCACCCTTAACTCCCTTTGCTCTCAAGAAATTGATTCATCATTCATTTTCCAGGAGCAGCAGAAAGGTTCACGCAGCTAACACTAACACCACTTTCTCACCTGTCTCTCACTTCAACCACGGACATCACCGAGCGAGACGATCCGACGCTCTCAAATATCAGTATATCTTCGTTCAACCATACCGACATGCCCTCCCCTCATCTTCTCCGCTTACAGGTAATTCCAAAATCCAACATCACGACAGAATACCTCGACATCGCTCTAATCTCCCACTCCCAACCCTCAAAATAAATTCGCCTATTCTCCGTCATCTATCGTCAATCGTTTGTTTCGTTTATCGCACACAAGATCAAATTCGCCCGTTCGTTTCATTCAATTTGCCGTACCTTCCGGATTTTTCCAGGTGTACTATGACGTGATCGCGACACAGGCGGGGGTGTAACGAGACAAGTTGGCAAGTCGGCTGGCTTGCGTATTCTGGTCTAGCGGTCCAGACGCGCCTTTTTCCTCGAAGGGGTGTAATCGACGACGATGGCCGTAAGAGACTCAAGGAGAAAGGTGTGGTTGGTGGATGCAACCACTACTGGCTGGCTAACTGACGACCGGCCGGTGCGACAGTCAGGGCGCACACCCGGTATAGCCCGATATTGATTGGCGCGTCTGCGTGCCATGCGGGTGTGCGCGACGCGTCTGCGAGTCGATGCGTGCCCTTCACGCACGTGCGTGAGTGCGTGCGTACGTGCGTACGCGCGCTCGCAACCCCAGACCGTCCGACGGGCCTTCCACCACGTCGGCCCGGTGGCCCCTTTTATTTTTAGAACGCCACCAAAAAAGTGGCCGCGCCCCGAAAGCTAGCGTTCGAAAGTCCTCACGTTTTCTCAATCGTACGTGCGGGCATGGGAGTCGTCCGATCTGAGAAGAAGGCGACCTGAGAAGCGCGAATCGCTCGCGTTTGAAGACATATGAACACAATGTTTGATTTTGTATGTTAATTTCGCGATTGTTACGTCGTCTTCCGCGTGATCCGCGTGACGGTCTGTATAGAGGAATCCGAAAGCTTGGGGTAATTTATGTACATGAAATCAAATCTATACCTGTGATCTGTTAATCAGATTTTCATACAAGTTTACGACTGATATAGTCAATCCGAAGATAAATAACGCGGACTGAAATCGAACTAGGATGAACGAAACTTCGCTACATTAAATTCATGAAATGCTCATCGAATGTTCTTATCAAAATAATGTCGCCTTGGCTTCTTAGTTTCATAATCAGTTAACCCGTAATAACGATAATGCATAAGGCATTCGCGTTATCTTTATATGTGATATGTTCAGCTTTGTCACTATTATGTTTATACCAAGTATTGCACAGGTCCGTTATCGCGGAGGAGTCATATTTTATTTAAAAGGGACGGATTTCGGGCTTCAGGAAATCTCATGCTATGTATTATCAAAGATCAATACGTCAAGGACGAGCAGCATTTCTCGATTGAGAAAAAACTACGACACATGGACTCTATTTTAATCTTACTCCCTCGTTTCTCTCCATGCTGAAATAAGCGAGTACGATGAATGTAAGTGTAACTTACGGTTTTTTACCTCTTGTATTGTCCTCTTGAAGAAAATATTAAACATACACTCGGAACATTATCGCACTAAACTGCCACAAATAAGAAGCCACATATGATGCAGGAGATAACGGACACACGGTCGAAAAGATGAAGACATGCACGAAGTTGCGTTCTCGGATAATGAATCTCGCGCGACGAGATACCCCGCCAGATTGAACGTCACGCAGCTCGTGAGGTCGAAGATCGTAAAACGAAAACAACGGATTCTTCCATATCGGTTCAAGGAGGCAGCAGACGCGGTCGAAGATCCGCGTCACAGCTAGTGGTGATCAACGAAGAGACGTCTCTTTATTCCTTGGTTGCGTGTGGTTAATTGCCTTTTCTCGTAGGCGATATTGAATTTGTGAATGACAAACTTTACTGGCGTATCTTAAACGTGACTGAATTGCTTTGTAGGTGAAGAGTACAATTTCGAAAATAAGAGAGAGAGAGAGAGAGAGATTATTCTTGAAGGATTCTCCGAGAAAAGAAATGCAGATCAAGGATAAACGCGCTATAGTGACCGGAGCAGCATGTGACCTGGGGCTGGCGATTAGCAAAGAACTGCTACGAAATGGTGCCTCGGTACGTTATTTGATATAATATCTATAACATCAGATTAATATCTATTTATATCATTTGTTTTTATCGACATCAATGTATAGAGATGAACGTTCTAACAATTAATAAACCAGCTGAGCGCGATATATTCTCAAATATATAAAAATTGAGAATAGTCTTTAGCATATTATTAATCAATAAAAACGCGAAATTTATCGTGAAATTTAGAGCGTTGAAAATTGCCACTACGCTAATTATTCTATACAACTTAATGTGTAGTACACGTAATGTGGAGACGTTGCGAATATTTCCAGATGATAATTATGATCGATACCGAACAGTCGTCTGGGGAAAAGGCTGTAGAGATTTTAAACAACGAATTTGGTCGGAAACGTGCTGTATTTCTACACTGCGACGTGACAAATAGCTCCGCGCTCGATGGTAAGTATGTACAAAGTATTTGCTTATACCAAAAAAAAAAAAAAAGAAAACAAACTAGATCAAAAAGGAAAGTTAAGTTAAAACTAAGTTAAACTGAACTAGACTAGGCAATTAGAATAGAAGTAAATTTATTTCGGTAAACTGCGGAAGACTTTTAAAATCGAGAACCATTTGTTTCAGCTACGTTTAAAGAAGCAATCAGCGCTCTCGGTGGACTTGATATTTTAATAAATAATGTAGGCATAATAAACGAAATCGACTTCTCCAAAGCCATTGACGTCAACGTGGTAAGTGTTATTTTCGAATTTTGATTTTAATTTCGGAATAATATATCGGTCTTAAGAGATAATTTCCATCAAACCCGTCAAAGAGCTTCCGAAACAAAGTTTCTTTGAAACTGCGAAAAGTATAGCTTTATGCATTCATGTAATTTGTTCTCACGTTATGTATAAAAATTATAAATGAAAAACAAACAATACATCAAAGTATCAATATACACGGTTTAATTGGTGTGGCTAATTTTATAAATGAAAATATTAATATTCTTCTTACCATAGACGGCTGTAATTCGCGGAACTCTCCTGGGAATTCAACAAATGCGGAAGGATTCCGGAGGCAAGGGCGGTGTCATCGTAAATGTTTCGTCTATTGCCGGATTACGAGCGTTATCTCAACTTCCGGTGTATTCCGCTACGAAGCACGCCGTAGTTAGTTTCAGCCGTTCTTTTGCAGTGAGTGTTCGCAGATAGTATACCTAAAAGCATACAAACAATAGTATTAAAGATTTAAGAACAGTATTTAAAATTTAAAAAATAAAATTGTTGTAAAAAATGAGTTAATATTATTACGTTGCAAAAAAGCGATTAAAGAATGACAAATATAAATTTCTCGAAAATTTAACGTGAGACACATCTTAAGAATATCATCAAGGTGGAATAATTTTTCAATTCTGTTATCTTGCACGAACTCTTTTGATATTTGTTATCCTGAATAATTTCTTGTTTCTGATGTGCAGCAACCCTATCACTATGGAAAGACCAATGTAAAGATAATCGTACTGTGTCCCGGTTTGACGGGCACCCTAGAGGACCTACCTCAAGACATCTCGCACAGTGAAATTTTGCAGAATTATCAACCTCAAAGGTTAGTCGACCGATATTTCGCACATTTGAAATCCGCAACGGAATGCAAAAGTAAATTCTGTCATCAGGGTGGAAAGCGTCGCTCATGGATTGGTGTACGTGATTCGGTGCGCGCAGAACGGCAGCGTGTGGATCAGCGAAGATGAGAAACCAGTTTATGAGGTGCAACTTCCTGACACATTGCCGCAAAAAAAAAGCGCAATTGACGTGGAAGGATTTGTTGACACGAAGTCGATCGGGAGTTAAATGGTCGTAAAGTGGAACCGTGCCTGCGCGAATCACATAGTAATTATTTTTAATTGGTCGGATTAACCCTTTAACTGCTACGGTCGAGATAACTCGAGTGTGGGAAAAAAAATGGCGGCCTTGCTACGATCGAGTTTACTCGATTTGAACTTTCAATGTGTAATACCCATTTAATTTAGTTTGTAAGAAGCATTTGAATTGAGCGGGCATATAGTGCCATCTCTTATCATTATAAAATATTTTATAATTGTAAAAATAACTCAGCAAAGAGGGTCATACTGGTCATTTAATATCTCAGCAGTTAAAGGGTTAATTGTGTCCCTCGCGTATGATAAATTTATCAACTATAGGTAAGTTTCGTCGGGTAATTAACATTTTATCGTTAATCGATTGAAATTGTAACATGGAGAATTTATAAACGTTTTTATGTTTACAAATATTACATGCGTGTCTCATTCCTTCAACTTTGCACAATTCTAGATGCAGAGGGAGAAGTGATGCTTCTTAAGAAATACTTTACGTTATATTTCGTAGTCACACACATATGTTACATACACAAGTCACAAGAACGTGCGTTAATTTCCATCTGTAAAACCTCGATCAATCAAAAAAACGGATCGCTGTACAACACGGCGTACAAAGTTTACAAATGGAATCTGCGTCTCGGCTTGCGGTTTTTATCGCATTCGCATCAAAGGATAAAGGAAAATATGTGTTTTCGCAGCAGCGACAGTAATAGCGATAGTAAATAATATGCCATAGAGAGATAGAGACCGGTCATTCGGACAGCCGCGCAAACTCAGAACCGCCGCTCAGAAACAGAAGTGGAACGTAATCTCACGCAGACAGGCGTATCTGCATAGCGATGCACCTCCGACTCCGACTCGGTCGCAGACGTGCAGCGAACGCACACAGATACGAGAGACGTCGCGCATTCATGGGACGCGGAGCGCAAAAATCACACGAGGGGGAATTACTTTCGTCTGGATTCAGAGTAAAGTTCGCTCGGAACTGACGCGTACCGGTTACTGGTATCGGCCGGCGACGATACCAGTTTCGCTCTGTGATTTATGCGCTCATCGTCGGCGCGACGCGCACCGGACGTTAAATAGTCTTTTTTTCATCGATAAGGCGCCGGCGAGCACGAGCTGTGCGCACGACGTCGCTCTTATCACCGCTTTGTGCCACACGACCGCGTCTCAACTCGCGTTATTTCTGTAGCCGACCGATCGCCACGAGCAGAGAGACGATCGGCGATAGGTGAGCGCGTTGCGATTTGCGAGTATCACGCGAGCGTCCCGATCAATCGCCCGTCGCGAATTTTACCGCGCGACACTCGGATTTTTTCGAATACACATCGACGAGCTTGAGAATTTTGAGAAATATAAGGGGAAAAGAATCACGTAACGAGTAGTAAAGTCAACGAGCGGAGAGGTCGGCAACATTCGATTCGGACTAACTGTTGGCGATAATGCGATATCGATAGCGATTTATTGCGTTGCCTCTCGCGCTTCTTATATCGCTTGTTATGCGAGCATCCGGATTTGCGCGAACAAAAGTTATCGACGATCGTCGATAACTTCAACATCACGTACTCGGAACATACGATAGTTCATACGGGATTGACCTCTACGAGCGTCACTTCTCACGATGTTTTTAGAATCGTACGTTGCGACGACGCTCTATGTCAAGTGTCGAAAAGTGTCGGGGGAATTTTTTGCGAGGCGCGCTTCCGATGCGATTAATTGGCGTAAAATGATCCTAGCTCGCACGAGTGCGTCGTAATCCGCGCTAGATCCATTCTCTTTTGTCGCATCTCTCCCGTGCGTCTTTCTCTCCTCTCTCCGCGCTAAAGAGATAAGAAATTGATGTACTTTCAGGTTTTAGAGAGAGAGAGAGAGAGAGAGAGAGAGAGAGAGAGAGAGAGAGAGAGAGAGAGAGAGAGAGAGAGAGAGAGAGCGAAGGGGCGCAACAAAGGACTGAAGGAATTTATTATAACGCGCTGAAAGGAAATATTAATCCGGAAGTGATATAAAGACGGTCGTCTAAAAACTGCGCCATGATATAGGGAGCGTAAAACGACGAGAATATTTTCTCCAGTTGCACCGCGATGCGAGTAATATACGATCCAGCCCAGCAGCCAGCACGGAGCCCGGTGTCGTCGTAAATTTTTATTAACGGAACGGCTCTCTCGCCCGGGATAAGATCAAATATGCAAAAACAGATCTTTCCCAGGGAGAGCTCCCGAAAAATAAAGCTGCACGATCTTCGGCGGTCTTTGATCTCGCCCGTTCGTCCCTCTTCGAGTTATTTGTTACGCTACAACATAACGCACCGCTGCACTGCGTCGCAGCATGTGATAGAGCAAACATTGTCTCGAGAAATGGATTACTTAGTCTGTGATATATCGTCTGGATCACGACCTAACGCGAAAGATACGCGATACCGCCGCACCGTAATTATAATACGGCGAAGAAGGGAAAAAGAGTGTGCGACCGCCTTGGGAAATCTTAGTCGGCTCGTGTTCAGTGGGTTTATTATCAGGAGACGAGCTCTTACGACGCCATGCGATTAATTGGCCCTCGTGGAAGGGATTAATTAGGGAAACGCTATCGGGAACGGCGCGAAGAGAGAAGAACGAGACGCGATCGACTGCTCTAGCGAGGGGGAAGATAAGAGAGGAACAATGACGCAGCCGAAATGTTGCAGAAGATGCGATCGGAAGATGCAATACCTGAGTAAGTATCATTCACTTCGATGTCCGAAGTCAATTTCGAGGTCCGTTGACGGTGAATCTAAGATTTGGAGGCACTAATGAATGGTAAAACTCTTGTAATTATCATAGATTCGCTTTTATCAAAGTCCTTCTGAGAGAAACAAAGTCATATTTTATGTTTTCCATCACAAGAGCCTTAGCGGCCAATACTTTGCGATAAAAAACTTCCTGAGCTCAATGATATTTTTTTCGCGATCTGTCGTTTCGGTGCATCCGCGACAAGAGACTTTCAAGAGCGAATAGGTCGCCAATACTCTCAAGTCCCCTGAGCGGAGGAGAGAGAGAAAGAAAACCTAACCCGAACGACTTGCTCTCAATCGCGGTGCTTTTCTATCTATTGATCTGTGTGCGTGCGGTCTCTCGCCCAGAGAGTTCATCCTTCGCCCCCCTTGAATCATCCCCGCCACCGCGGAAACTGAAGTCGCTGTATCACGAAAACCCGCGCTTATCGCGTATAAATACCATTCGGCGAATCGTCTCGAAAGTCAGTCCAATCGAACGTGCTATTCTGACGCGAGTTCCTGATTTTGTCGCCTTTTCGCCGCATCGTCGCGGGGATTCGAACGGCCCGGAAATTGGTTGTGTTTATCTCTCGAACATTTCGAGCGGTTTCAACGATGGAGAGCAAAATGGGTATGTTTCGTGTCTTTTTATCACGCGATTCGCTGATCGGCGATCGGCAAGTGCCTCGTCACGTAAAATGCAACGCAACGTAATGCGAACAGCATTTTGCCAGGTCTGGAGATTTTTTGCGCCGTTTTTGACGGAGGAAGTTTGCGAATAATTGACGAGCCATACATGAAAGACTGAGACAGCTGCGAGTGCGTTTTCTCGAAGTTGTTGAAAATACGGGCTGAAAGAACGCGAGCGTGTCTAGAATTTACTTGTTAATGTGAATCGAACTACTCCCGTTTTTATTTTTCTTTTTTTTTTTTTTTTTTCATGAAATACGTTATCTGAGACAAGTTTAACTTTGCGGTTGTTGTTTTGGTAAAGCGGAGATCGGTGGGCCAGCTTCGCTCGCTAAATCGTTCATGCGAGGAAGATAAACTCGTCGTAAGATAGACGTATATATTTTCAAGGGTCTCCGAATGAAAGGAATGGCGAGAGGCGTACACGCGACGTATAATTTTAAACAACAGCTCGTTAACATAGTGTAATTAATGTAATGCATGATTAACTCCTTGCTCAGTTTGTCTGATACATTGAAGTGAATCTCTTACCCCGACTCATTGGACGAATCTCATATTGCAGAGACGTCATTCCGTCCAAGTATGAGGTCATTCCGTCGTCGTTCCTCAGCATCCGAAAGAGCGAAGGAGATCGAAGCGATCAACTGCATCGTTTCCGGGAAAAATGTTCTAATTACCGGTGGTGCGGCAGGATTGGGTTACGCTTTCCTCAACCACTTCTTAAAACACACAGCAAACGTGAGTTTAATAATAAAAATAACAATATGCTATACACGGCGTAAGAATGAAGCAAAAACGAACTTACTTGAGGAGAACTTACAAAAGGAGAAATCTTCTTCGATCGCTTTTCTATCGCTGCCTGCACGAAAGTATCAAAATACAATGCGAATTTCTTACAGAAAATAGTTATATTGGATATCGACGTTGAAACTGGCAGACGGATCGCGCTTGGCATCGAAAAGTCTTACAGCGAGAAGAAGGTGCATTTCATACACGCCGACGTGTCCAATTATAAACAAATGTCCGGTAAGTTACAAAGAATGAGACTGCGAAGCCGCGTGTAAACTACTACCAAATCTACTCATCACGAGTGTCGCTATCTTACATTTCTATGTGTTATTAATTCTACAGAAGCGTTCGAAGAAGCGTCGTTGTTGTTGGGAAATATCGACATCGTGGTGAATAACGCTGGCATTTTGGACGAGCGAAGATGGGAAAGGGAAATCGCGGTGAACATCGTAGGTATCTCGTTAACAAGAATGCGATCGCAAGAATGCTTCTTGCGATAGCATCTATCCACACATTGATTGATTTCCTTCTCCTTCGCATTTTCTCGCGGTATTCTCGCGATATTTCTCTTCAATGTCATCGGATATAGTTCAGGCGTTCAAGCGTACAACAAATATACAAAATAACTTGGAGACATCTCCCGATATCGGGTCTGTAACTTGTTTACTTCGTTGCAGGGTGGTATGATCAACACCACGATGTTAGCTATGAAATACATGAGCAGAAATACGGGCGGCCATGGTGGTATTTTAGTAAACGTGAGCCAACATGTGGACATGAGGAACACGGCGCAGCTTCCTGTTTACACTGCCACGAAGCATGCCGTCATCGGCCTGTCCCAATCTCTTTCGGTAAGCGGACGTATGTACATGAGCAATTACAAGTGGCTAAATTTAGACCACTTCAACACAACAGTTCTTTCTTAATAGTTCATTCTTGCTTTTTCAATTTGTAATAAGACGGACGAATTTAAAAATATGCTAGTAGAACTTTTAAGTTTTTGTCGATCGGTTTTCAACCTATGTTTGTTCGCAAACAGGACCCTAGTCAATACGAGAAGACTGGCGTCAGTGTGATAACTTTATGTCCTGGATTGACGGAAACCGCCCTGACGGTAGACAGCCCCAATAAATTGCTTTCCAGAGTCATGAAGGCGGATTTCGTGAAGAACCTTGAACAGTTCTCGATACAGACGTGAGTTATTGGGATCTTGGGTTTAAAATTCCTCCTCTTTTTTTCAACAAATAATAATAATAATAAATTGTTTGTATTTATTACTACAGTAACACACTGTAGTAATAAATGCAAAATATTTTAGTTAGAGATATACATACATTCGTGCATCATTTACAATATTCGAACTTGAGAAAATAATTCTGTTTCTAAGAGAAAGATATTTGCAATCTCCTTTTCTAAAAACACGCAGACGTGTAACCTGTTTATGTTGTGTGTGCGATGTCATCTCGACTTTGCGTTGCAGGCCTTACATAGTCGCGCAAGGGCTAATGACGATCCTAAGGATCGCCGAGTCCGGTAGTATTTGGGTCATTGAGAGCGGCAAGGCGCCATACGAAGTTTACGTGCCAAATCCGTGTACGCTGCGTCGTTACTACAAGAACAACTTCACGCACGTCGACACTAAGGTCACGAGAGGTCGCACGATAAGGGAAGTCTGTGATACTGCGAGAACAGGCCTGATGAGTTGTGCCTGACTGTTTTGCTGATAATTAGCGAGTACCAAACCCTGATATTTCGGTCTAATCAACGTTGAAAATTTTCTTGCGCAATTCGCATAGCAAACGGAGATTTAATCCTGCGGTCGTCGTAGAGGAATTTCACGTGCGACTTGACGCAATAATGTTGCCAAGTGCGTTAGTATTTAATGAAACGATCGTATCGTTCTGTTAAGTGTATAGTTAAGCGATAAGACACGTTTCTTAAATATTACGGATATTTAATTGCTAAGTGGAAACACTTAGCTGCAGCAATAATCCACAACGATATACCATTGATTATAAACGCAAAAGGGACAAGAGAGAGATCGTTGTATAGACGCGGAGCGCGCGTCGTGAAATTTTATAAATTGAGATTAAGTAAAATCTCTCTTCTCACGATTTCTTGTGTCTCTTCTGTCGGTTATTTCGTATTAACTCTAGGACTGTATTTTAAGAATATTTGCGGGTTTTTTCTTTGTATCTCCTATACGCGCTCATTGGGAGAGACTTCGGATATTCCCGTTGATTTCTCTAAACATAATTGTTCAATGTTCATTTCTTAAATAAATAATATCAGGTTTTAAGAAGAAATAAATCTGTGATAAAGGTTTCACATGCAATAAATGCATTGAAAGAAAAAAAAATAACGGAAATTCTAATGATACATTGAAACTTCATTGGAATCTCATAGATTAATGCGATTACTTTAGTTCGAATTAATTTGTCGTATATTGCAAAATATGCTCTGCATAATTGCATTCAGTGTAAGATTTAAAAGATCTCGTTGGGTTCAAGTTATACGAACTAACGCTGACATTTGTCATTCAATAAATCACTTTCGTGTCGCTTGCCGATTAGACAAAACACAGTGGATGTAGCGCGTGGGGCTTCTTTTTTATGAACGTTCTAATCTCGTATATATATAATGCGCAGTACATTTCTGTAAATATTTCGGTATCATCGAGCGCACGATAGCCTTGTAACATGCGTTAGCAGAGTTCTATAAAAGACGTGACGTAATTCTGCCGACACTCGACCACGTTTATTTTCCCGGAAATCATACGACTTTGTACTTTCCTCATCTCCGATCGTATATAGCTAACTCAAAACTTTAATATTTAACACTTAAACGTATATATGTATGAGTTACCTTTTCATAATGGCATCATCGTTATTGAAGGAAGCATTGGAAGGGCAAACGAGGATTAAATGTAAAACATATTGGAAAAATTTTAAGCTATAAAATTTAATCATGGATCTGCAGCAATATTCTCTGGATATCTCAACTTCGCCAAGGAACAAGGTAATTCTTTGTCACGTTTCGAGCAGCCCGAGCAGAAAGAAACGTGTAGGAGACTGGAAATGACACGATGCATTATTTCATCATCTCAGTATTATTTAGCATCGGGGATCACAATATTGGCTGTACAAAACAAAAATTCATTCTCGGAAAATTGCGTACATTATTTATTCTTCGCATGCTCTATGCATGAAACTTAAAAATTAATTTCCTCACCACCATATTTCTTTCTTTATTCGCTTACACTGCTTTATATAGTTCTATGATTCTCCTTACTTTACTCTGTGTTTCCTTTAATAGCCTATGGAGGTTTGCTTAATAGTTATGTAAATCTCGAGTTACGTGTGTATCTTCTTGTGTAGGTGTATGTGTGTATGTATATAATATTTGTATGAGTTGGACTCCGTATGAGCCATAGAAAAATAATAGTCGCAAATAATATTCTTATTCTGTCTCTTCTGCGTCTCTTAACCTTTAAGGACATTATCATGCTTTAGTCTTATTCGCATCGCCATTTAACACAAATCTACGCACAGCGTCGTCGTGTATCAAGGATTCTTCGAAAGCATGAGTAACTAAACAAGATCGTATTGTAACAACAAGATGAATACACAGTTATGAGTTCCTTTTTATTATTTGTATTTCGTACGTTTCATATTTTAGAGGTGTTCTTTCATGAAGTCATTTTCGAATTTACTTGACTCATAAACAAACTCAGTTTATTGTTCACAGAGTAAGATTTTTGTTCACAGATCGCGTAAACATGTTGATGGAAAACATGAATTAATTATTATAAGTTCACTAGAACATGCCCGTATGACTATTGATCTCATCAAGTCACTCTCAAACGTGACTCTCAAGTCACGTTTAAATGAGATTTAAATGTCGCAATTTCCTTTCGAACAAACAATGCATGTTATAGTAGAGTTATTAGAATTAGTAGAAAAGAAAAAAGTAAAACGACAAAATAATCGTCTAAATTGTACCAGTTATACAGGATCATCATTATGTCTTTCGAATAATATAATTTTAATAGGTATTAATTAAATAGTAAATATAATATGCTATTGTTTCATCCTATTCCCATTAGCCGAGACGCAGCACATTTGATACATTCAAAGGCAGTCGAGGAATCCTTAGTTGTGGAACACGATGACAATTATATAACATGATTTAGAACTTAGCTACTTACAACAATAAGACTGATGCTCACATCTTTTTTAATTCTAGAATGCAGATCTTGCAAAGAAAGAGTAAGCAGACCGCAAAATTTCAATTCAATCAAATTTAATGATACAAGATTCTTTTTTAGTATGTTCTCTCAATTATTCCCCCCCGATTTTATTTATTCACCCTAATAAAATGAAGTGTATTACATTAACTTTACGCCAAGGACTTGGAAACTTTATCTGCGTGTACTCAAAATGAAAAAAAAAAAAAAAAAAAAAAATAGAAAAAGAAACCCAAAAGAAAAAGAAATACGGCATTTCGCCAGAATTTTCTTGTAACATATCTCACAATATCCTATATTCTCGACAAATGCAAATAGATACAATCGATTTCTCACTTCATACTTTGACGAGAAAGTACTTTTATGCACGTCTATGCCATCCACTTCCGATATACGGATACAAACCAGCTATTCCATAACGACCAGTATAATCAAGTCACCATCATTGTGAAGCCACTCCATAATTGCTCATAGTCATTTTTTTTCTTTTTTTTCTTTTTTTGAGAAAACCGTACTGAGAAAAATGATCACGATCGAATTTAGCGTTTATCAACTTAACTACAAACAGATATCAACCACTGTCAGTATCATTGACAGGCTCAACGTGGCATCTTGGAATCTGTTACTAACCGATAAATAAGTATTAGTGTAAAAAAGAGAGGAGAAATCTATATCTGTCTGTAATTAACCCCGCTTCCCAGACGAAAATCTATTTGTAACGTAAATTCACCATGATCATTGTCGACTAAGCGGTAAGAAAAGATTTGTCTTTAAAAGTACCTTCTTCGATCATTCAGCCGCAAAATATCGATGCAAAGAGTCATATGCGCCAACATAGCGTCTACATGTGCGATTTTTTCGTCACTTAAACGCCACACAAATCACCGGTTCGACAATTGCAAACGCGCTCCGTTCTAAAATAATCTACATTAAATCCAATTTCTGTATACCTCCGTTATGCGGTTGCCAAATTCGAACCCAAATCAGTCCATAACGGTGGAGCACATATCAGTAAAAATCTTAATATATAGAATACTTATACATAGCAGCACATCGCATATTTTTCCTGCATGCCTTATTATACCTACGCTGTACCAGTGACAAATTAACTTTTTTCTTTTCTTTTTCTTTTTTCCTTTTTTTAGATTACATTGGGCTGCGATTGAGAGGCAGACTGTTCGTTGGTCACACGATTTTGACTCTCCGTGTTATTTTGTAATTGGTTACCAGATTTGCGATTACCGCCCCTAGTACCTCGATAGCCACCGCGGAAACCGGTATTACCGCCACCACCACCGCCGCCGCCGCCGCCTCTATACATGCCTCCCATCCCGCGATTGTAATAACCGCGTCCGCGGAACCCGCCACGTCTTGTGGAAGCCACACCAAATGTTTCCGAATTCAGCTTTCGTTCTGTTCTCCAATCCGTGCGCTGGAATCGCCTGGAGAATGTTCCAAACATACGTAATGTTTCGTGATACGAATCGTGAGAGTGTAAGACGAAATGTAGCAAATATTGAGTCTAACTTTAGGTCTGTTTTTTGGAAAAAACTTGGAATGAGAGAATCTCGAAGTTTGAAAATGTTTTATTTCTATCCGAATCTATTATATCATACATATTGAAATTTAAATTGTACAACTGTACTTCTACTTGGACTATATCGCTTCTTAAAAAAAATGTAATATTACTTATTACATTCATATCGACGCTTCCAAGTTCTCTCATAAGAAACAAAATTAGCCCACTATCGCATCGAATATTTTAATCGCAAAGTAATTATATTATTAATAAATACGCACCCTTTACTCCTTTCAACTGCTTCACAGCTAATATTATCGAAGAATGATTTCGACTTATCATAATGAACAACCTCCGGTTCTTCCTCAGGTTCGCCTTCACCCGCACCTGTTTCGTTCCCACTGTCGTCTTTCTTCTCATTGTCAGTACCGGCATCGATCTTCGTCTTTGCAAATTGTGACCTACAATGCAACATGTATGTCAGCATACTATATGCAAGACTCGGGAACAGTTATTGTCTCTTTCTCTCACAGCCGGTCTCCCACTCATGCGCCTGCTAAGTGTCGAGTGTCGAGAATAACAGTATTGTGTAGGCTGTACTCTCGACGCTCGATCATTAGTAACCTCTAAATAAATTATGACATTCAGAGTAATCTTTTTACGACAAGACAATGTTAATGCGACGCGTAAGCAATGCGCAGTATAGTACAATCGCGAACTGCTTTAAATTCGCATTTGTTTGCTCTGGCATGGTATCCACTTTGGTCATTTCAAATGAATACTTGAAACGAATCCGGCACGACCATGCCGCTAAATCGCGAGTAAGCGAGTAAAGTTTAAAGTAAAAACACATTCGCGCCTACCTCAACTCCTCGAACTGTGTGTTGGCTTGCTCGAAATCATAGTCATTATCGAATTTCAGCGTATTCTTAGGCTTGGCGGTATTGCCTGCTTGATTCGCACGGAATCCACCGCGTCCTCTGCCTCCTCTACCTCTCATGTTTCCGCGATTCACCCAACCACCGCGATTACCTCGGCCACCCTGAGCATGACCACTTTGTCCCTGCATCTGGCCATCCTGCTTTATGTCTCTCTTCCCGTCATTGTACTGCGATACGCCTGTGTTGTTCTTAGCACCGTGACTGAAAATACACAAAGATTAGTACAAACGTTAAGAATGATAACAGAATAATAGCAGCGACTTGCTTCAATTAATATTATAGCGATAATTAAATAATCAAACATTATTGGCAATAAAATAAAAAAAAAAATTTCAAGTGGCCTTATGATAATATCGCAAGAATCTTCATTTCTAATAATATTTCTAGTAATATCGAATACAAGATGGTATTTTCCACAATAACGATTTTGAAAAGAACAAGTATCTCACTGCAACAGCATGAAATATAGTTATGTAGTTTATTGTAAAATACAGGAATTATTATTATTATTTAAGCAAGATACCTGTCGTGGTCGCGCCGAGGTGGTTGGACGGTCCTCATGTTCGATTTATCGTTCAATTTCCCGATATTATTCTGCTGTTGCGATTGTTGCTCGTGTCCTACCTGAATCCCTTGATCCATAGTAGGACTTTTTCTCGTGAGTAAGGACGACGTAGGAGTGGTAGAACGGGAACCACCACTAATAAGATCTAACACACCTATTGCCGCGAGAGAAAAGAGAGAGAGAGAGACAGGTAAAGTCATTATGTGATACATGTCTCAACTGAACGGACTATGGCGAATCGAGAACATCTATTGCATACAAGCATTTACAATACATTACTAACATGACTAACATAATTTGGCTATAAGAAAATAAAAACATACATAAACCTTTCAGTCCCAACTGTAAGTGAACAATTGTAATTTTGCAGAAGAATTGTGTGTATACAATATAAAAGAAATCTCTCGAGGATTGTAGTTATTAGCACACATTATTACTGTTCTTGCTATTCTGTTACTTGTCATAGTGGCAATACGCATAAACGGAATAAAATTAAAGACACATATGCAAAAAAATCATGCATTTATTTTCAAATAAGTAAGAGGAAAAGTGCATCAAGTTAAATATAAAAGTTGAACAAATGTGTATTAAAATTGAAAAAATGGGCATTATTAAAAATATGTAAAAATATTTTCAAGATTTGCAAAACATCAAATTATAATCTGTGCATAAGTGCAACAAATTCTTGTACAATTTAGATCGCACATCCAAGCCAAGCAAAGCATAAAATTTATGAGAAAATGTTGAAAATTTGAATAAAATGAAAAAAAGAAGCAGATTTTACAAACTTATTTTCACATATGAAGTAAAAAAAAAACGTACTCGCACATGCACGGCAATTTAACGAAAAGTTACTTTATAGTTGTAAAATTTGTTACTACAATACACATCATTCAGCAAATTCCGAAGAGCATAGATGTCTCAAGTAGAAGAGAAGAATTTGTGAATTTAAATGAGAAGAAATTAGAAGAGAAGAAATTATGAATTTAAAACGCATCAAGTTCAAATTCTTATTAAATTTTCTAATAATAATTATGTCAATTGAGTCTAATTCTCTAACTGGTATAAAAACTAGATATACAGAAACAATGTAGGATTCACAGGAAACTGTGAAGATTACAAATAAGAAAGAATTAAACTATGTCAAAATATATACCGTTACACATATGTGTAGCGTGTTGTGATAGCAGTATCAGATATAAAGCATTACCAAGCAGCAAGCATGCCATTGGCAAGGGATACTTCATAGCAAAAACAGTTTACCATCTTCCAGAGATTGATCTTTTTGTATTGGGTCGATATTGGCCGTTGACAGTGAGTTTGGGATAGAGATGGCATTGGGTTCGGCAGAGCCCAAGCTCAACTCACTTGGCTGTTTATTCATTGCTCCGCGGGGATCTCTAGCTGCAGTAGGCATTCCCATTACCGGACCCATCGCTCCCATACCCATACCATAAGGAGCCCCATATTGGCCACCCATCGGACCCATTTGGCCCATCATTGGATGAGCATAACTGGGCTGTGGTTGATAAGATTGTTGACCCATAGTTGGTTGGACTGTCATCTATAAATAATTACAATTGCATTATACTCAAGTTTATATATAATGCAATTGATTCTTTTAAGATCTCTTTTAAGATTCTTTTGATCTCTTAAGTTGTGTTAATGTCAAATTCAAAATATATGTCGCTGTATAAAAGACATATTAAAGAGTAATTTTGATAAAACAATTACCTGCACGATAGCTGGATCATTGGGTATAGAACTGACATTGTTGACAACTCTGATGTCCTTGATATCAGATCCACGAAACAGAATGTATTCATACACCTGATTTTGAGGTGCCACAGGAAGTTGAGTTTCTCGATCCTCAGTACCAAAAGAACGCACTGTAAAAAATAATAAATAATTGATTATTTACATGTATTAAATTGTGATATATACTAAAAATGTTATTTATTTTATATAAATTTATCATGCAATATGTACCTGTGCAATACTTGTTTTATATCTACAAATTTTATCTTAAAGAAAGTTTCATATTTATAAATTTTCTTTCATACAGCTGAAAGTAAGATTCATGGAAATCAATATGAATCCAAGGCATAAGAATATTTGTTTCTTATACTTGAAATATTCTAAAGTCATTTGTTGCCTATAGGATTACATCTAACAGGACAAGAATAGCAAGGACATGTAAACAGTCCAAAGAAAGAGACAAACATTCCACGTGTATGTCACATGTACCAAATTGAAATTTAAAATTACATTTTCGTCACAGTCTTCAGTAACGTACTGAACTTTTCCTAAGTTGATGTATAAGCGAGTATCTTTCAAAATACGAATCAGCAACGTGAAAAATTGCGTTCGCAACTTTTATAAAGTTATAAATTTCATATAACTATTGAAGAACACAAAGGTTCCAACGGTATTCCGATCAATGAGTCGGACGATTAACAAACAAAAAATGCAAGAACGATTCTCGTCCATAGTCTTACAAAAGTCTGACAATTGCCAGTGTAACCAAATAACTGCGACATAAAAAAAGTTAAATGATCTCGAACGGTTCAAATGATCACCAGATACGTAGCATTTTCGCCGATTGTGCTAATTATATAGTCTGTTCTTTTCTGAAGAACTTTCTGAACTAGTGCAATAAGTTGGAGTGAAACGAAATATACTTGTCTCACTCCAACTGATCGCGTCATTTGAGGGAATTTCTCGAGAAAGAACAAAGAATTTAGATCGTACAACATAAAGCGAGAGCCCGCGAAATCGCTGCCGCGATTGATAAGACGCGTCGGCTGCGGCGTCGAGTCTTTGCAACACGACACTTTCACGAAGATCGAGCTCAAGTATCGTTCGTCGGCTTCGCGAAAGTATCGTTCGTTATGAGAAGCGTTCCGGTCACCGCGACCCCGCTTGTTTTGCGACAGGATGTCGCATAGAACAGAACACAGACATCGCAGCAAACAACAGCAGCATACAAAGATGAACACATTCCGCGACTCGAGACAGCAGTGAGTAGCGAAAGCGAGGATCTAGGATCGTTGTCCATCCGGCGAAAGATCAAAGCCGGTACTCTCTCAGCCTCTTTAGAGTTCAGATTCCGGCGCCGTAAGTACGGGAAAATGACCCCTATGTTTATCCACGAATACGGAAATGCAATTTGGCGCGCATCAAGTTCTGTGCGGGAGATCGAACCCTCGCGGGAGTCGATGTTGCTTGCGAGGTTCCGGACATGTAGGTTCTCTCGTGAAATGAAACGGCCTTGATATACGCGATACATCGGCGGCGGGACGGCGGTGGATGATGCGGCGGTGTCCATCTTGGATTCCCGTACTCACCGTTAGCCAGAGCGATCGTGCATTCCTGTGGGTCGACGGTAAACAAGCGACCCTCATAGCGAATATCCGCCTTCGATATCAAGCTGATCTTCGAGCCGAGCTCCGGCATTCCACCGCTCATCTTGACTCTTTCTCCGCCGCGTGCTGATCGATGTGATATTACTGGATTCACGACACCATCTGAGGCGACCTGCCAGCTGACACCAATGGTCGACGGCGGACTGCCAAGAGTGCCAACTGTGTGACGCATGCGCAATATATATCTCCCCCCTCCTACTCCATCACCATTGCCACCGTGACAGCAACAACTTCAAGCCAAGGTCGGGAAAAATAATTTGGAGCATCGTGAGACGTGAGACGGAGATGACGGTGTGAGGAGAAATAGAAAGGTTACTGATCTCTGCTTAGCTGCGCTAATTCGTTCTCACGTAATACATAATATACATTCAACGTGGCGCAGTAATGAAAAAGAGGAGGATGTTACTTTCTTCATATGTTTGCCACCGGAGATGATCCATCTAGTTGTTCTCTCTCGTCTATGACCGGCGGCTTTCAAATATATAGCGATCATGCGATATATCGCGAGCGTGAAAGATGTCTTTCATTGCTAATTTTGGCATGAACAATTCCAAGTTGAATTTGTCCGAATTCCACTGCAGGTCTCGAGCCTCGATGAGAGAATGAGAATAACGCGCGGTGACAGTTTTTATCATCACACGTCGGTCGAACACGAGATCGCAGAGTTCTTGGTTAGATCCCAGATTATCCTGGGACAGCAATCATGATTATAGAGGATAACGGAGTATTTTTTAAACTCTCGTCTCCTTCGTGACTTTCGAGGTTGTTTATGTGAACAACGATTGCACGATATACGACAATCTAGAGAGCGGTGTATGAACGATAGCGTTTCATGTGAGATATAAAATTGTAAGGATGGTAAGAGGAAAATTCCGCTCTTACTAAGCTAGATAGATACAATTCGTTTGTTGCAGCTGCACTTTCGGCACTTCCTTCAAATTCCCTCTTTTCTCTCTCTCCCTTCCGAACACAACGTAGAGAACGCAACTACGAAGAAGAGTCACGCGAGCGCTGATTCAAACGGAGCGAACGTTTTTGCCGTAACGTTGGCAGCCTTGCTAAGTTCGACCAAAGTCATATGTCATTTCGTGTCCGCCTCATCTCGACCACTCACGACGGACTCGCGCGATTGATCAATTCCGATTGAAATAATTACAGAACAATTTTCTGCGAGAGTGGTGGAAGTAGATCCTTCGTGTGCTCGTGTTGACGAACTCTTCACTGATTAGGCTCCTTGGCACATTGTACCTTTGGTTAACATGGCGGCGACGTTAGGTCGGATTTGTAAATCAGGACTTTTAAAACCGAATTATGGCACGCTGATCGGTCAGGTAAGCGAACGACGAACATCGTCGGTTTCGTAACTCGGTTTCGTGCGAGTACTCGCGTGAATTTAACTGACCACGCGACGTCTGTGTCACGATGTCGACGTCGCGACGTGTTCACTCGCGAGGGCTCGCAGGGCACCACCGTACGGGTGTTGTCGGCTGCTCCGACAACTTTACTTTCCTAACAATATCGCGCACAGCGAAACATTCGCGCGATGTCAGGACGACGGCGAAGGGTACGACGTCGCGCGACTCTCACCCAGTGAGGTGTTTCGAAGACACTTTAACAGATGTTATGTAATAGTAGAACGATACCGCAAAACGCAATGCTGCCATGATCAAACGTGCGTGCGTGAGATTGTCGTCGTGGGATACACCTGGGGGACGAGCAGCCGATAACACGAATGAACGCGAGTATTAGCGTATTTCATGAGTTAGTATGCATCGGTAGATTTTTTCCGTTTAATTATAAGAAAGAACGTATCAAGTCAAGTATTATTGTATATTTGTCAATTTCAAGGGAGAGTTGGGTCGTATGTTATCACATGGTTTACACATTGAATCGTTAATTTTTATTAACTATGTTATCTCTTGGTTTGATTAAGTCACAATGATGTATGTGACAAGTGAACAAGTGGAAAGTTCAAGTGTACTAATTCACATTTATTGATATATCAGATATTTAATATATTTTTGACAGGTAGAAAAGTACACATATTATATGTTTTATGATATGGATATTATTTTATATAGCCAGGTTTATAGTTTGAGTTTGTACATAATTATATGACCATATTTAAAATGTAAGTATAAAATATTTATAAATTTAAAGCAATTGATTAAACAACTCAGCTAATATGTAAAAAATAGAAAGCAGAATCATTACTTTCAATACTTTTATATATTCTTGTATTGATTTAAGCAGCATATAAAGCAATTCTTTTCTCTTTGTAAAATACTGTATAAATCTATTGTTTAAATTTCTTAAATTTTGTCTTTGTAGACCAGCAATTTCTCCACGGTGAAAGATTGGTCAAGGGGTCGAAAAGTGGTATGTGAATTTTATTTGATTTGATCGAAGATATCCCATCCCCTTGTCCTATTCCTCGTCTATCAGAATCAGCTTTATATATTTTCACTGCATGTTCTAATAGTAAGTTGAAATGTTTTTCATTCGTTCATTTATATTTTTAATATATAACAATGTTATGTAATATGTGACAGTAATGTTATGTAAACTATAATACAAAGTAGTAGGTAATAATACTTGTATTGCTTCTACTTGCAGTTATTAACATGCTTAGGAGTAACAGCTGGTGGCATCAGTGCCCTCATCTATGCGTTAGAGAACTCTGTAAGAGCTAGTGATCTCATAGCTCATCCTCCGACATACAAATGGGATTTCTATGGGTGGTTTAACTCATTAGACCATGCTAGGTATGAATTTTTGGTACATAGTATATATATATATATATATATATATATATATATAGAACTAGCAGAAAGATTAAAAAGTTTTTAATCACACATTTTTCAGTATGCGACGAGGATGGGAGGTGTACAAAAATGTGTGTGCGGCCTGTCACAGTTTACAATTTGTAGCATATCGTCATCTTGTTAATAACACGCACACCGAAGCAGAAGCGAAAGCTCTCGCGGAAGAAGTTATGGTGCAGTATCAATTATAGAAGATTTCATACTCGATAATATTCATGAACGTAAGATATAACAGATACCGAATTTTTACGATGCAGGTTGAAGATGGCCCCGATGACACCGGAGCTTACTTCCAGCGCCCAGGGAAGCTTTCTGATTACGTGCCATCTCCTTATCCGAATGAAGAGGCTGCCAGAGCGGCAAATAATGGTGCTTATCCACCTGACTTGTCTTATATGATTAATGCCAGGCATGATGGAGAGGTAAGCCACTTTTTACAGTATATTTTGCTGAAGAAAAGATCGGGCTTAAAACCTTTGGGTGTGAATCTTTGATAACACAAATTGAACACTGTATATGTACTACAAAACGATCTTTGGTATTATTAAATCTCTTTACTTTTATTTATGGATATATTTTACGTTTCACAGAATTATCTTTTCTCTTTGCTGACTGGATATTGTGACGCACCAGCTGGTGTACATTTGAGAGAAGGACAATATTTTAACCCATATTTCGCAGGTGGTGCCATTAGTATGGCACAGGTGAGTTACTTGCATTCTTTAAATGTCGAACAAATATTTCATTCTTCGTGTTTTTCATTTTCTGTAAATTATATCAACTTTAACACTAAAAGCAGCTTTTATTTGTCAGTAAATAATCAATTTTATTATTTCATATTTCCAGGCTATTTATGATGAAGTCTTAGAGTTCGAAGATGGTACTCCTCCAACTGCCTCTCAAATAACAAAAGATATTACCACATTCCTCATGTGGACTGCTAATCACGAATTTGACGATAGAAAACGAATGACCATCAAGGTGAATAAAAATGATTACATTTATATTTTTCATATTAAAATATGTATCTTATATCCCAATTTTATTTTAACATATATAATTTTCAGGCACTTGGAATTCTGGCAATTCTCACTGCTGTTTCATATTATGTCAAGAGACACAAATGGACGACCGTAAAGAGCACGAAATTAATGTTTTATCCCAAAAAGTAGTAAATTTTCTTACACGCGAGTTCATCGAGCCGTTAACCAATGAATACTCGACGATGTTAGCGTGCTGGTTATCGGGATGTAGTTTCACAATTTAAGCAATGTATCCGGCAAGTTGTGACTTCTCTACGAAGATCCAAACTTATTCATATAGCGTTTGACGATTCAGTCAATTTGTCATTAATACCAAGTCTATTAAATTGTACATAGCTATGCCGAATGGAGTCATCGTCTGATTTAAATAAATTGTTAAACATACGAATTCGTTCTCCTCAACGATGCAATTAATGATTTAAACACAAATGATAGGATTTATCGGAAGTACTCACGGAGATTTGATTTGCAAGATTGAAGAATATTTCAATTCTGAATTTATTAATTTCATAAAGTGCACATGATTTCATCATTTAAATTTGGTAAACATTTTAGTTATAATTCATTGTTGTGATATATCATACGAATCAAATCAATTTGTTTAAATTTTCTTTTTAGCAAGGCATTTTTTGGATTCATACATGTAGCATGGATAAAGATATATGTTGAAACTTGTAAAAAACATATACGAAGAGATACTTGATTCTAAATACCTTTCTAAATATACTCTCGAACCGCACACACTCGGTTTCACTGAAGTATCGGATTGCACAGAAACATTTAAGAAAGTTGAAGTCAATTAGTACTACATATATATACAGGCTTGACAAAGACGACATCACTTCTAAGGAAATCATTTTATTCTCCTTAAGCTTGATTTCGTCCACATGGAGTTATAACTTGTTATTCCTTCAATAAGATGATTTAAATTACACTATTACATTACCCATAGTGTAATACTGAAATGCGAAGCTGACAAAGAGGTATGTATATTCCGTTCCGGATAATCGAAAAAATTTTTTTTTTTACATTACACAAACGTGGAGATATTTCGAAATCTACTTTGGTGGAACCGACTTTAGTCTATGAATAAAGGCATTATTCTTCCGATCAACTGAACAACATGTAATTCCCAAATGACGTCGAAATAACTAACTTATAATTATTTTCTTGCTGTGTGTAGATGTGTGTGTGTGTGTGTGTGTGTGTGTGTGTGTGTGTGTGTGTGGGCGTGGGGCGAACGTAACAAACACGTCGTTTTATATCGGAAATCATTAACAGGCTGCATATAACTCGATATCGCTTTCAGCAATAATATGGTCCACATAATTCACCATTGTAATTGCACTAAGGAGCGAGATAAACTTGATTTTGTAACAATTAATACGCAGCTTGTATACTTTACACGGTGTGTTAAGAATTAAGTATGACTCTTTAATAATTATATAATAATTATAATAAAAATAATAATGATACATCAATTATGAAGCCTGGATCGAACATGAGCATTGTCCATGCAGTGACCCTCTTTCATTTTAATAGATACGATCGTAATACACGTGGCTACGATACTTACGGCTTTCACGTATGTTCAAACATAGTAATTAAAAGTTGTTCATCCACGATGCTTTATATACTGATGTACCTCACCATGCAGCATTATATACCACATTCGTCATAGAGGATTACAATAAATCAAATTGCCGCTTATCCTTCGGTTACAAAGCGACATTTCTTTTTGCATCGATTATGAAACATAAATCATACAATGCGACAGGCCGTTTTTAAGATTAAATTTCTCAACCGAATGCGCGCAACGCGTACACATTGTTATTTACGTCGTCGAAAGATCGCTAGTTGTACTCGCGTAATTGGAAACAGTACGCAGCATAGAAACATAAAATGGATGTATAGATTTACAATTCGAAATTTACAACTTTTGTTCTTCTTTTCTTTTTCTACAACAGCACTGAGAGAGTGACACCTCCGCAAGAGATGAAATGGCACTTACGCGCAAACGGAAAAAAGTCTTAAAATGGTTCACAATACACAGGCGTTGCCCTTCTCTTGTTTAAAAAACTTCGAAGGCATAAGTTATTCTTATTGATTACCTTGTTTTCTTACAGTCTGTTTTGAGTTTTAAGATTCAAAATATGATTTTTTGTTTGCTTTACATCGTACTAGCTTGAAAAGCTGGAGCGAATTTCTTAAATCAATCACACGTCGCTTAGACGCGATTCGTGCGTACATATATTAACTTACAAGCAAAACGAAATATCTCGATAAATATCCCACGGGAACGCTAAATTTGTTCTTTTCCTTGAAAAATTCCGATGAATCAGTTCTGTTTTGACAAACAAAACTGTTAATTTCTCTATCTAGCCTATACATAAGCTTAATACACTCATTCAACTTTCCAAGCTATTACCTCTCTCCTTTCACACAAAGCTGTTTTTTCTTTATTTTTTTTTGTTTTTTAAACATACATCTTCAATGGGCACCCTTTTAATATTATTTGGTACCTTCAATTAGATCTCGCCTCATGCTATTGCAAAAAGGAAGATGTCTTTGTTTATATGGTTAGGCTAAAAAGTGCTGCCCTCCGGAGGCTGAGAAAGTTTCATGTTTTCCTTCAACGTCATCAAACGACGAAGCTCCTGAAGAACTGTCTTAATTGTGTATTCTCGCTGCCATTTAGCGAGAACTGGTACACTGCGATTATCCACCTTGCAAATTTTACATGTTGTTTCACATATGTACATTTAACCAACATATGTATATTATGATTCGATACTTACAGCTCCAGTAGCACTATTAATGCAATTCATATTGATTCTGCTTAAAAATCTAACATTAGGTGCATCATCTGGATATCTTTGACCACAGTCAATTTTTAAACTATACATCCTATTTTCATAAGGCGTCTAAAAAATATCAACACAAAATTATATTAGATGTATACTAAACTACTAAATATTTCAAACTAGCAACTAAATATTCCATACTCCACTTCTATAAGTTTGGCACAAATATTTGTGACTTTTGTACGATAAACATTCCTTATTTAATACAGTATACAGTTACTGACAGTGGCATTTTATTATTAAAAGAAAAAAAAGAAAATTTAATATTTTATTGCAATTGAAGAAAATGTAAAAAAAGGATTTAGAGGAAGAATTATCTAAAGTAGATTTGTAAATAGTTTAGCTTTAATTTAAGAAAAAATAAATTCTCAATGAAAGTGATAATATTAAACAACAAAACTTGACTTCAAATTTTTGTTACAGCAGCAGGAAATGATGCATGAATGCGAGCTGTCTTACCCTAGGCGGTCCAATTATCATACCAGTCCAATGCGTGAGGGTCATGTCATCGTCGTTCTCTAAGCCCCAACTGATCGTACCATCACCCACACCTTTTTGTCCCTGCTCTAACTCTTCCAAGAGACGAAAGTTTCGGGGTACGACTGCAACGTGTCACATTTTACAGCCGTTATACAGCCAACGCAAGTACATTGAAACAGTCTGACGAGACTGTCGCGCTGATACAGAGGTTATGGCTCTTGGGGGGATATTGAGCATAGTTAACCTTTCGCACTGTCGTCGTGACTTCGAAACTATCGTGGACAGCGTTTCGCGTGCACGGCAAGGTCGTGAGATCAGTCGTGACAGTAGTGCGAAAAACAGCCTCGGTAAGAAGCGGCGAGAGAGGATCTCGTTAGCACAAGAGAAATACAAGCGATTCGTGATGATTGCGAATGTCGCCGTGCTGTCAACTCGCGTTTCTCGCTGGCGCAACACCGCCGGACGACGGTCGCCGGATCGTCCGGATGTTCGCCGCCGTTCGCGACGTGGCCGTGAGCATCGCGAGAACGCGCGTCTTTTCGCACCCGGGACCCGGTTAACGAGATAACTCACCTACACCGGTGTTGGGCACCGCCATGATCTCGTATCTCTGCGAGGTGCCGTATTTTTTCAGGAAGTACCAGTGGGCGAGCGCACCGTTCGCGACCGTGCGCGGCGATTCACGTGGGGACTGGCGCGATTTTAATTGCGGTGCGGGGTTTTCATCACTCGTTAGCGAGGCGTGTGATATTCAGCGCGCTATGACGGTCAGCCTAGCGCTTATCCGACACGAAAATACACCTTGCGCGAATTCAGCCAACCTCCGCGAGAGATTGCCCGTCTCCACAGACTAGTCACTCTCTAGATCACGTTACCGCATTGGTGGAGCATCGCGGCACCACGACAACCGTGACTCATTGAGGTCCGTTTGTTCCAATTGCGCGCTCTCTACACTTTTGTTCGTTTCCTCTCGTGCACCTTCCGAACTTCGAATATGTACACTTTGAATGAAGACCGGTGTAGGGAAGTGTAGTCGAAACGAACGGAGTCGCAAGTTCGTCCTTCGCCAGCTGCGGTCCTCCGAATCCGCTCTCTTCTCCTTCCTGATACGCTGATACGTGTAAGTTCTTGTTGTTGTAAGTGTGAAAGTCACAGGAAGAATGCGCGTGTATAAGACGAACGTATAATTACTTCGTAATTCTCCGAGTCTCTCTCTCTTCATTTGGACGCGGTTCTTTCTTGGCGACATGCTGAAATTTTCGAATTTGAAATTCTACGGGATACGTCGTAAACGTGCCGACGAGTTTACTATATGTCAGATCTGCTTTTTTTGCTTGCACTGCGCGTTACAATTGCTGTATCTGAAAAGAAAAACACGGGTTGCGTATTCCAGACGCATAGTGAACATTAAATATGTCTTCCCCGTTCCAAAAGTTGAAAGAAGATGACATGAGATCGAGGTTATACTTTCATATAAGTGCAATTGGAAAGACATATTAGCGTATTCGCCCAGAATATATTCGCGATAAGCCGACTGCGAGACGCTTGATTTTGAAAGCTGAAGGCGGAAAAGAAAGAGAGGCGGTAGGCTTTTGCAGCGGCAAGTGCAGAAAGTGCAGAAACGCATCGTGCATCCGAGAACTTTCCTCGAAAGATTGGCATTAGGCGGGAGCGGCAGCGAGAGCGGGAGCGGGAGCGGGAGCAGGATTGAGAGTGAGAGGGAAGAACGCTTGTTGTCGCGCGCGGCGGATTGGCCAGCCTGGCGACAGTGGGGCAGCGCCGCGCGCGACGGTGGGGAGACGCGCAAGCGGCAGTATGTGGTATCGCGCCGTTGTCGCCGGTTCGTCGCGCAGGAGCAGTCGTGAGCGCAGGCTAGGAGGGTAGAGAGAAAGAGAGAGAGAGAGGCGTACGTCCCCGGTAATAATGAACTGTCCGCGATAACTGTCACTTCGTTCCGCGGGTGCATCTCGTCGCGAGCGTTGCGATGCGCCGTGTGGCGTCGGTTTTGTGCGTATGGGAGAGGTGTGCCGTCCGCTAGACGATCACACACTCGCAACATCCCGCCCGCCCGGCCGTGGATTACTCGAAGAGGACGAGCGACGACGACGACGACGGAACGACAACGTCGACGAGAGGCAGCGAGACGACGAGACACGCGGCGGAGCAGTGGAGCACGAGGAGCAGCGTGGCGTATTCACGGTGAGTTGAATCTTGCATCATGATAATATCGCGCGTGTTTTGGTCGCCAGCGCCAGCGAGCTGGACACACACCGGACGTCCGCCACCATAATAAACAAACGCGAATACGCCATTGACCGCTGCGCGGCCGCGCGGTGTCCGATCCGCAGCCGGTTTCGGACTTGCACGAGTGACCTTCTCGAAATCAGCCGTGACAGACGCTGTCGCCGACGCCGACGCGCGTTTCGATGATAATTCGTGCGAATCGCTCGATCGCGCCAGGTGGAGGAAGATTAGCCACTACGTGCTGGTGTGATGTGCGATGCACGCCATTAGCCGTGTGCGGACGATTATGTTGTTTTCGACCGCGAGCCCAGCTTGCATGGGGGCGTTACGTTTATATGGACGATGGGGGGACGTTGCTGACATTGATCGTCGTTACTGTCAAGTCTCATTAGCACGCTCGCGAATAATTATAATGAACACACAGTTCGATTTAACGGCGCGTGACGGCGACGATAAGGGCAACGGCTGGGATCCGTGGGATTGTATTTTGAACAGATATTCGCGAGCGCCGATAGCGTCTGGAGGAGACTTCAATGCGCTGGCATTGTCGCGTTCTTCTCGTGAGAGATAAGTCATTATATCGAGCGGCTCGACGCACGTCGACGACGGGCGTTATTCGAGCGAGAGAGAATATACTGAGCGCACATAATGTAATCGTCGAGGCGGTGGCTGTGGCTGTGGAAAAGAAAAAAGCATGCACCAGCAAGGGTCCCATTTGCCTGGAAAGATCGAAGGCTCGTCTCCATCTTTCTTCCTTCTCTCTCTTTCACACTCTATTTCTCGTTCCCGTTCTCTCTCTCTCTCTCTCTCTCTCTCTCTCTCTCTCTCTCTCTCTCTCTCTCTCTCTCTCTCTTTCTCTCTTTCTTTCTCTCTCTCTCTCTCTCTCTCTCATTTCAAAGCCGACTGAATCGCGATTGTGCCGTGAAGTATGCCGCGAGACGAAATTACATATTCAAATGTTCTCGGTGGGTAAGTCGTAATATAGAGCGTTATCGACGTCGACCGTCGTTCGAACGAGAGAACGTTGCACCGAGTGCATAATAATCGAGGCGGTGGCTGGAAAAAAGCTTCGCGCGCGCGCACACACACATACACACACACACACACACACACGTGCACAGCGGCAAGTTCCTTTAAAAAAATTCTCCGTTTCGGGTGAAAAAAGGGGGTGTGTTCATTTATTTTTAAAAGCCGATGCAGAATCGCGGTTGCTTTGAAGCGCGCTGCGAGATGAAATTAAATTTTCAAATGCACTCGCGGTGGATATCCGTTCCTTTTAGCAGCTCCACGCCGCTCTTTCTGTACTCAAAATAAAATGGATATATATATTTGAAATTTGATTGAGACTGAGAGAAGAGAGAGGAGCCCAAGGGGGGAATATCGCGAAGAAATATGGGACGTGCAAATGTGCCTGCCCCCTCATGGAATAATACTTTTCGTCTGCACTTTTATTCGGCTGTCGCTTCGATCGTGCATGAAATTTCCAAAAGAACACACGCACGCACGGACGGTAGTCGAAGAATACAATACACGCGGATTTTTACGCCAAGCCGCGTTTTGAATATGATAATGAATACGGTAACACATGATCGACTACTATTTTACGTTCATCGCTGACCATTGATCATTCCTCACGTTGGACTTAGGGAAGGGTTATGGCCGCCGATTTCCGTCGCTCGTGTCTATTCTCGTGTATTTCGTCCGTATATATTCATGATGATTATTAATCGCCCATGGAAACGGGTAATGTATTGACTTCCTTACGTTTTCCTGTAAGCAGGGCGTAACCACCTAATCAAGCGCGAATGGGTGCGCACTTGGTCCGGATACGCACACTTGGTCGTCGGATTTTTCTAATATTTAAAATAGCGCAACACTTAACGATTGCGTCCTGTTTACACGTTTCATTACGAATGGAAAAAATAGGTAGCATATCATTTAAATGATCGCGTCAATTCGGTCATAGAAAGGTTGCTGCACGGTTGCCTTCTCTTTTTTCCTTTCCTATATAAGCCGAGTTGAAACTTGGAGTTTCTCGCAAATATTGACTTGTACCTCTCATAAATCTTGCACTGCGAAAGTTTCACTGCGAATCTTCTTCAATCAATCTTTCTCTTTCTATTTTCTTGCTTTTATTATTATTTTATTATTGTTTAAGATTGTTATCGTACTGAATCCAAATTTAAATCTCTATAATGGATGCTTGTACTAGACACAACCTGCCTTGCGATCGTAAATTCTTTCGACTCACAAAAATTAAAGTAAAGATTAAATACAAACAGAATATTGATATATAAGCGCGTATTAAATAACTCCAAAATCCAGATCCTCGAAATTTATCGCGGAATTTGCAGCATTTGTTAATGCAGAACAAAAATCGAAATTCCGCCCCGGCAAGCTCCCGGTGCAAACGAAAACAGCTGAGAAAACGCTGAGAATTTTCAGTCCAAATACAATGAAAAAAAAAACAACCTTCCTGCGACCGAATGTACACAGCCAATCCACGGGAGCGTACGCTCGTTCGTAACGCCAATAAATCGTATCCCTCCGATAAGGCAATAACAAACATTACGTCGCTACAACGTCGTATTGACGTTACAACATCGCGTATCGATGTTACGCCCATCCCGTCGTGCAACCGTCGTGAAATCGTGTTTCCCCAGGGTGATACAATATAATAATGTTCGTTATTTTCGTTAAACCTCTTCGCTAACACGCCCCTTGTCGTCGACACTCGAGGTCGCGCTGTCTCGCCGCTGTCGCCGCCGCCGCCGCCGCCACTTGCGATAAATAACGACAATGTGCGAGACAATGTTGAAGTCGGAGAATCGAAGAGTCGGAATTACCGAGCGGCGGCGTTAAGCGACTCAGAACCGGGACCGGGTTCGGATGAACGGGCGAAAATTGAATGTAACGAGCAGCCGATCGAGGCCGGCTTAAATCGACGTGCAGGTCTGATTTAAGTTTAACCACGAAGCCCTTACGGTCGATTGGCCGACCGCGCGGCCAACCTCGGCTTAACCTTTAAATCACGTTGGCGGGCGCTCGCTTCCATCGGAAATTGCACGCGTCATCGTGCATCCTCGCAGGATAAATATCGCAGGAAGGCGGGAGGAAGAGATAAGGATGGAGAGAGAGAGAGAGAGAGAGGGGGGAGAGATCCGACGAGATTGGCGAGCGTGAATTGGCCGCAAGACATCTCACAAAGGATGTGCGTCCCGTGTGAACTTGAACTTCGCGACGCTTTCTCAAGCGCTTCCCTCGATCTTCATTTGAATTGCAACGTCGAGTTGGTCCTTTGATTCGTCAGCATAGTTTGTCGCGCGACAATTAATGCTATTTACTTGTATCTCATCAGTCTCATGAAAGCTCGATCGTGCTGAAGAGAAGAGGAGAACATTGTGTTGCCTGCTGAAAACAATGTAAAAGATTTTCTACGAGACGTGCTTCCCATTCTCTCGATATTTTACCTTCAACATATTTTACCTTTACGATGTACACGAGGGGTCTTCAGAACGACGCGCACTCTCTCTCTCTCTCTCTCTCTCTCTCTCTCTCTCTCTCTCTCTCTCTCTCTCTCTCTCTTTATTTCTACTAAAAAAGTGAAATTACACTTTTACGTCGGTTAATTCGCGCAACATTTTTCATG